CCCCCCTCCCCAGCACGTCGCAAGCGCCGAGCCTCCCACGAAGTGGACAAACGCAGGTCGCGGCAGTCCAGAGGAGAGCAAACTCTGGAGGCGGCGGCCCGTCACAGCGGAGAGGAGAGAGACACCCGACACAGCCTCCTTGGGACAGCCGTATATCACGTCCCGGGACGGCCGTCTGCAACTTGACCTCGCCTCACCATGGTGTTCGGCAGTCAGGGCGAGCAACCAAACATTATCAAAACACTTCCTAAAGACTCTCTTCTTTGATATTCTTACTGCTTCGTCGTTGCGAGTCCCTGGCCCCCTCCCCGACCTCGTTACATGAGCCTGGACGTGTCGTCGGCACACCGCTGATGCAGCCATGGCGAGCACCAACACCAACACCAACATCAACAGTAATAGCACCCTCGCCCCAAGGCCGTCCCCGGGCGCCATGCTCCAGGTCGACGCCGCCGCCCGGCCACGCGCCCCCAGCAACGCCGATACCATCGTGTCCACTGCCGGCTCCAACCCCTTCCTCACCCCGGCGACCGCCAGCCGCGCCACGAGCATCAGCGAAGACTCGCGCAACCCGCTGGCCCCGGACCCGGGCACCGAGGCCGACTTTCACGTCGACGACAACCCCTTTGCCTTTTCGCCGGGCCAGCTGAACAAGCTCCTCAACCCCAAGTCGCTCGCTGCGTTCCAGGCCCTCGGCGGGCTCAAGGGCATCGCCCGCGGGCTGCAGACAGATGTCACGTCCGGCCTGAGCGTCGACGAGACTGGTGTTCCGACCAGGGTCCCCTTCAACGATGCGGTGTCTCCCATGCCGTTGTCGTCCGTCCCTCCTCCCCCTTATAGCAAGTCTTCTTCCTCGTCTCCTTCGTCCGACCCCTTTTCCGACCGCATCCGCGTGTACAAGCGCAACGTCCTGCCCGCAAAGAAGGCGACGCCGCTATGGCGCCTTATGTGGAACGCCTACAACGACAAGGTCCTCATCCTGCTGACCGTCGCCGCCGTCATCTCCCTCGCGCTCGGCCTCTACGAAACACTTGGAGTCGACCATCCGCCTGGGTCGCCCGCGCCCGTAGACTGGGTCGAGGGCGTGGCCATTTGCGCGGCCATCATCATCGTCACCGCCGTCGGGTCTCTCAACGACTGGCAAAAGGAAAAGGCGTTTGTCAAGCTCAATGCCCGCAAGGAGGATCGCGAGATCAAGGTCATCCGCTCGGGACGCTCCTTCATGATCAACGTCCACGACATTCTGGTTGGTGATGTGCTTCACTTGGAGCCCGGTGACCTTGTTCCTGTGGATGGCGTCTTCATTGAGGGCCACGACCTGAAGTGCGACGAGTCCTCGGCGACTGGAGAGTCGGACGCGCTGAAGAAGACTGGCGGCGATCAGGTTATGCGAGCTCTGGAGACTGGCAATGGCACCAAAGACCTGGATCCTTTCATCATTTCCGGTGCCAAGGTCCTCGAAGGTATGTAAAGCCCAGCTGACAACCCGCATTATTTCGATACTAACACCGGCAGGCATGGGCACCTTTCTCTGCACCTCAGTCGGCGTAAACAGCAGCTTCGGCAAGATCATGATGTCTGTCCGCACCGAGGTTGAAGCCACGCCGCTGCAGAAGAAGCTCGAGGGTCTCGCCCTCGCCATCGCCAAGCTCGGCGGCGGCGCGGCTGCGCTTCTCTTCTTCGTACTGCTCTGTCGGTTTCTCGCCTCGCTATCCGGACACACGGGTACGCCCTCTGAGAAGGCATCTCTGTTTATGGACATTCTCATCGTGGCCATTACCATTATTGTTGTCGCGGTGCCCGAGGGCTTGCCGCTTGCGGTGACGCTCGCACTGGCCTTTGCCACGACGAGACTGCTCAAGGAGAATAACCTGGTGCGCATGCTGCGCGCTTGTGAGACCATGGGGAACGCAACAACCATTTGCTCCGACAAGACCGGCACTCTGGTAAGCCTCTCTTGGTCAACGGATATGGTCCAGCGCTGACTTGTATCTGCGTATAGACGACCAATAAGATGACTGTGGTCGCCGGCACGTTTGGCACCTCCAGCTTCGACAAGCCTGACGCGGAGAAGGCTTCGGCCTCGCCTGTCGGCCAGTGGGCGTCCAGCCTCCCGGATGTGACCAAGGAGATGATTGTGCAGTCCGTCGCCATCAACTCTACCGCCTTTGAGGGAGAAGAGGACGGCGAGGTCACCTTTATCGGCTCCAAGACGGAGACGGCTCTCCTGCAGCTCGCGAGGGATCATCTTGGCCTTCAGTCCCTTGCCGAGGCGAGGGCCAACGAGCACGTTGTGCAGATGATGCCGTTCGACTCGAGCAAGAAGTGCATGGGCGCCGTGGTCAAGCTGCGTTCCGGTCAAGGCTACCGACTTCTCGTCAAAGGCGCCTCCGAGATTCTGCTCGGATACTGCTCCGCAAAGGCCGACCCGCACTCGCTCGAGGAGGAGCCCCTGACCCCCAACGATGTCGACTCCCTCCGACAGACCATCGACCAGTACGCCAGCAAGTCGCTCCGCACGATCGGCCTCGTGTATAAAGACTATGAGTCGTGGCCGCCGGCACACGCCGAGGTCAGCAACAGCGACAGCCAGCACGTCGAGTTCGCTTCCCTGCTGCAGGACCTCGTCTTCCTCGGCGTCGTCGGCATCCAGGACCCCGTGCGGCCGGGCGTCCCCGAGGCGGTCAAGAAGGCCCAGCACGCGGGCGTCGTCGTGCGCATGGTGACGGGCGACAACGTCGTCACGGCGCGGGCCATTGCCACCGAGTGCGGCATCTATACCGAGGGCGGTGTTGTCATGGAGGGCCCCGTCTTCCGCAAGCTCTCAGAGCAGGCTATGAACGAGATGCTTCCCAAGTTGCAGGTGCTGGCGCGCTCGTCGCCCGAGGACAAGCGGATCCTGGTCACGCGCCTCAAGGCGCTAGGCGAGACGGTCGCCGTGACGGGTGACGGCACGAACGATGCGCCTGCGCTCAAGGCCGCCGACGTGGGCTTCTCGATGGGCATCTCGGGAACCGAGGTGGCCAAGGAGGCGTCCGCAATAGTGCTCATGGACGACAACTTTGCCTCGATCGTGACGGCCCTGAAGTGGGGAAGAGCCGTCAACGACGCTGTCCAAAAGTTCCTCCAGGTACGGCGTCTGCTTTCTCATGACGAAGTGACCCCTGACTGACATGTTCCCTAGTTCCAAATCACCGTCAACATCACCGCCGTGCTCCTGGCCTTCATCACTGCCGTCTACGACGAGCACATGAAGTCTGTGCTCAAGGCAGTGCAGCTGCTCTGGGTCAACCTCATCATGGACACGTTCGCGGCGCTGGCCCTCGCCACGGATCCGCCCACGGAGAAGATTCTCGACCGGCCGCCTCAGGGCAAGAAGGCGCCTCTCATCACCACCAACGTGAGTCTCCCGTTTTGTTGCTGCTTGTTGAACCTAAGAGCGTCCGCTGACTGACCGACGCAAACAGATGTGGAAAATGATCATCGGTCAGGCCATCTTCCAGCTCGTCGTGACCCTGACGCTCTACTTTGCCGGCATGGAGATCCTCGGGTACGAGCCGGAGCAGCGCATCGAGCTCGACACGCTCATCTTCAACACGTTTGTGTGGATGCAAATCTTCAACGAGTTCAACAACCGGCGGCTCGACAACCGCTTCAACATCCTCGAGGGCGTGCACCGCAACCACTTCTTCATCGCCATCAACTGCCTCATGGTCGGCCTGCAGGTGGCCATCATCTTTGTCGGCTCGCGCGCGTTCGGCATCAACCCGGGCGGGCTCGACGGCACGCAGTGGGCCATTTCCGTCGTCGTCGCCCTCATGTGCCTGCCGTGGGCGGTCGCCGTGCGGCTGTTCCCCGATGCGTGGTTTGCGAGCGTCGCGGCGGTCGTGGGGCGGCCGGTGGTGGTGTTGTATCGCGCGCTGGCGAGGTTCTTTGCTGCTGTGACGAAGCCGCTCAAGAATCTCAGGAGGAAGAAGAAGGCTGATGGGGATGAGGAGGAGGAGGGTGAGGGTGTTGTCCGGGCGAGGAGCGCTGCGTCGGAGGACGCGCCGGCGATTGTGGTGTCGAATGCCCCGGTGGTGCAGGTGACGGATGTGGAGAAGGGGCCGGCGTCTTCGTAAACGACTTTTAGAGCATTAGAGAGTATTCACACTGAACATGGAGTACAGCGTTTTGTTTGTATAGATAGCGGCATGTGCAAGTATGGAGAGTCTGTTGCTAAGCTAAGTAGGCTGGTTGCGACACAGCGCAATACTGACACAGCGATGTATTGGGGCCTACTTCAAACACTTCGCCTGTATTATTTCCTGTGATGGCAGTGGCAAAAGTCGGCTTGCGGCAGGTGGCTCATCGCACGGACAGTGAAGATATGCCGAGTGTCGGGCTGGCAAGACGCGTGCATACATGTAGCCACCTTCGTCTACCCTTCTGAGACGACACTTGAATAGCTCATTCAATCAATCGTCCTGTGTCCCGTGGCCGAAAGTCTCAACGAGAAGCCCTAATGCTAGCCAACCATCGGGCTACCCCTGAGATCCAACGGCCCCATCCCATCGAACCGTCATGGCGCTGAAGGCATCATCGCCAGCGCATGACGGCGGCGAGCGCCTCCGACGTCAGCACAGGAGGGAACATTGATTCCTGCATGTATGATGACATGTACATACCTACAAATGATGCGGCTTGAGTCTGTGTCTGTAGCGGCAGAGTTTAGATCTGGTGAGGCAGCACCCTATGGCGTTTGCCACCGAGCAACACGTCTTTTCTCTCTCTGTCCCTCGTCCGCGTGCAACGGGGCATGCCTCTTCTTGGTCAGTTTTTCTCTCATCACACATCAAAACCACCTCGCATCCCAGAGCGATTCTCTCCCTCTGCAGTATTTGATACGGCGTCACCGCATCTGCATGGCTCCCGGGGCGCTTCGGGTCCTTTTGATCGGCAAGGGCGGCAGAGAACATGCCCTCGCCTGGGTACGAAACCTTCTGCCATCCCGCACTCCTTTTTCTTCCCTATGCTTCTGGCCAACGAAACTGACGACAGACAATGATTCTAGAAGCTGAGCCAGTCGCCTTCCGTAGCGCACGTCTTCGTCTGTCCTGGCAACGGCGGTACCGCACGGGGTCTGGACAATGTCTCCAACGTCCAGGTCTCCCATCCCGATGACTACGCCTCCTTGGTCGCGCTGGCAAAGGAGCTGAGCATCGGCCTGGTGGTGGTCGGCCCTGACGAGGATGTGGTCGCGGGTATTGAGGGCTTCTTCCGGCGCGGTAATAAGAACCCTCCCCACGTTTTGACGGCCGCATAAGCGGTTGCAAGTTCCCCTTCTGACAGCCCTCCAAGAGAACATTCCCTGCTTCGCCCCGACCAAAGAGGCCGCCGAGCTGGAGGGCTCCAAAGCCTTTGCCAAGGACTTTATGCGCCGCCACGGCATTCCCACGGCGAAATACCAAACCTTTGACGATGTGGCCGCCGCGAAGGAGTACATGCGGTGCGTCGACCACCCCGTCGTCATCAAAGCCAGCGGCCTCGCGGCCGGCAAAGGCGTCGTCCTCCCCCAGACCAAAGACGAGGCCTGCGAGGCGTTGGACGACATGATGGTGCGTGAGCAGTTTGGCGGCGCCGGCTCGTCCGTCGTCGTCGAGGAGCTGCTCGGGGGCCAGGAAATCAGCGTCCTGACGTTCAGCGACGGCAGGACGATCAAGACCCTGCCGCCGGGACAGGACCACAAGCGCGTCTTTGAGGGGAACATGGGTCCGAATACCGGCGGGATGGGCGTGTACGCACCGACGGGGTTCGTGTCGGAGGCGGAGATGGAGGTGATTGAGGATACGATCCTGAGGCCGACGTTTGGGGGTTTGCGAGCTGAAGGTGAGTTTACCACGCATGTTGCTATTTCACGCGAGGTGTGTTTCGCTGAGTAGCTGTCGTTGCAGGGCGGGAGTTCAGGGGGCTGCTCTTCACCGGCATCATGATGACCCCTACCGGCCCAAAGGTCCTCGAGTACAACACCCGCTTCGGCGACCCAGAGACGCAAAGCATGATGCTCCTCCTCGCCGACGACACGGACCTCGCCCAGGTGCTCCTCTCATGCACCAACGGCACTCTCGCAGAGACTAGACTCTCCATCGGGCCGGGCTACGCCTGCAACGTCGTCGTCGCCGCGGGCGGCTACCCAGGCGCGTACCGCACCGCCGACGACATCGAGATTCTAGGCACGATGCCACCCGACGCGGTGGTGTTCCACGCCGGAACGAAGCTCGTCGGAGACAGGCTCGAGACTGCGGGAGGACGCGTCCTGTCCGTGGCGGCACGCGGCGACAGCTTGGAGGAATGCGTGGCGGCCGCGTACGAGGGCGTCAGAGCCGTGCGCTTCCGGGGCATGTACTACCGCAAGGACATTGCCCTCTACGGCCTGCAGCTTCACGCTCGGTTGGAGACGGGAGCCCCTCGCCGATAAGGTCAACAGAGAATATGGCAGAATAGGCCTGGCTCCCCGTGCCCCCATAGCAGAGCGACCAATCCCACAGATTCACATATGCCCTGCCGCCTACAAGCAGTCGGGGCTTGCGCAACGTTACGGCACCACAGCCCTCGGCCGTTGAAGAATGTTTCGACATACGAAAAGGCCGTTCCATGCTTGGCGAATCTATTGGGCAAAGGCTAGGGAGTCAAGCACCAGGCACTGTGGGTGGGAAAGGATGCTCCGGCTCCACGATGGTACCCCCTCCGAACAACGGCTGCGCACGCCTAGGAGCTGAATGCATTGCAGATGACTCCTATCTGTTGCAGACGAGCCTCCATGCACGCGTGTCTGGGCACACGGCATGCGCTACACACCCAACGTGCGTGCAAGCGACGCAGCTCGACACTGGCTGGACTTCTACGCTTTCACGCATGCAGGGGAAGATGCGAGACAGTCACAGTTTGATGAACACACAGGTCTTGAACCGATAGCAGTAAGTGCAAAACCTTTTTTTATTCGAACTCCTCAGTTCGCTCTGGTTGTCCTGTCTAACCACGGGCACCGCACCGCAGCAACATGTCGCAGTCCGCGGTTCTGCCCTTCTCAGGCTGTAGCCCGGCCGTTTCCTTTTCCCCGGCCAGGTCCGAGCCCCCATGGCCCTCCAACAGCGAGAGCGTGTGATGCCTGCCGTCCAACTCAAAATCCATAACCTGTGTCGAGCGGCTTCGCCCATGCTCTCAGAATGAACCGGAAAGGGACCAATCGGTTGATCACTCCTTTCCCAATCAATGCTCAATGCTCTCTCGCCATGTCCATGTCCGTCCGTCGTCGAGAGGCCCTGAGCAACTTCCGACCAGAGAACCGAGAAATCCACTTTTGTCTATGTCGCACGGCGATAACATGACCCTCTATCGTGAAAGCGAGAAAAATGCCCTAAGGGGGGAGTCCCTTGCTGACGTGACGTGACGGCAGAAGCGCGAGAGTCGCGATGCTCCTGTCCAGATCTAGTGAGTGGCCCTAGATCCATAAACACCACTGTTCTGCCCGGGTCGTCAAGTTCCCCAAATCTCGGTCTAAGGGTATCAATCGAGGAGAGTGCCGAAATCAAAAAGAAATGCAATCTATCAGATGCGTCGTGGATGCCCCGTGACCGTTACTGCCTTAACAAAGGCACTCGTCCGGCTTCGCCAGGTCATGATGCCGCCGTGTGTGTCCGAAGAAAACTGAGAAAAGCAACAGTGCATGTGCGTCCAAAAAAAAAAAAAGAAGAATCGATGCAGTCGTCAGAGCAAAAGACGCCCAGACAGCGCAAGTGCGCGTCGATGCGGCCCAAGAACGCAGCCTCGCATCGACGAAGAGTAGTGGTTGACGAGTTTACCACCAAGACTGGGAGCCGGCGCCACCAGGGTTGCCGTAGCCGCCGCCGCCGTAGCCACCACCTCCGTAGCCACCGCTGCCGCCGTAGCCGGAGCCTCCCTGAGGACCGCCGAAACCACCACCGCCGCCGTAGCCAGCGCTCTGGGGGGCACCGCCGAAACCACCGCCGAAACCACCGCCACCGCCGCCGCCGCCGCCGCCGAACTTGCGGAAATCGCGGTTGGCATTGCCGCCACGACCGCCGCCGCCGCGGGATCGGCCGCCACGACCGCCACCGCCGAAGGAAGACTCGCGGGCAATAGCCTCGAGGAAGGGCGGAACCTCCTGGTTGGCCTCCTTCAGGAGATCCATAAGCTCCCGAACGACGCCCCGGTTTCCACGGTTGAAAAAGGCAGTTGCGATACCCGTGTTACCAGCACGACCAGTACGACCAATACGGTGAACGTAGTCGTCAATGTCGGTGGGGAGATCGTAGTTGATGACGTGGGTGACGTTGGGGATATCAAGACCACGGGCGGCAACAGCAGTAGCCACCATGATGGGGCAGCGACCGTTGCGGAAGAACTCCAGGGCACGCTCACGCTCGCGCTGGGTGCGGTCTCCGTGGATAGATGTGGCGGGGAAGTTCTGGTTGATGAGGAAGTCGGAGAGCGAATCAGCCATGCGCTTGGTCTCGACGAAGATGAGCGTCAGGCCGCCGGCATGAGTGTGGAGGATGTCGAGGAGGACAGAGCGCTTGTCAATGTCCTCGACAAACTCGACCTTCTGCGTGATGTTCTCGGAGGTCGAACCAACGCGGCCGACGGAAAGGAAGATGTAGTCCTTGAGGAAGTCGCGGGCGAGCATCTGGATGTCGCGGGGGAAGGTGGCCGAGAACATGAGAGTCTGGCGGTTGGCGACCATGGGCATGTCCTCACCCTCGACAATGCGGCGAATCTGGGGCTCGAAACCCATGTCAAGCATGCGGTCAGCCTCGTCGAGGACGAGGTACTTGATGTTGCAGAGGGAGATGCGGCCTCGCTCTATGAGGTCCACCAATCGGCCGGGGGTAGCAACAAGAAGATCGCAGCCGCGCTCGATCTGGCGGAGCTGGGAGCCAATATCGGCACCACCGTAGACGACGCAAGGGCGGACCCAGGAGCGGTAGGCAAACTTGCGGGACTCATCGTAGATCTGAGAAACCAGCTCGCGGGTGGGGGCCAGAATCAGCGAGGTGGGGTAGGCCTTGCGCTGGCGACCAAACTGGCCAGCAGCGCCGGCCGGGACAGCAGAAGGACCGTTGAGGAAGGCCTGCGAGAGGATGGGGAAGAGGAAACCACCGGTCTTGCCAGAACCAGTCTGGGCACAGGCCATGAGGTCGCGGCCGCCCATCACGATGGGGATGGAGTACTTCTGGACAGGAGTGGGCACCTTGTAGTGAGCCAGCTCGATGTTGCGGCACAGGTGCTCGTCCAGCGGGGGGGTGGTGAACTGGTTGACAGGCTCAGGGACATCGTGGCCGGAAGCCTCAACGGGGATGTCGTCGTACTTCTCGAAGTTGATACCGGTGTGCTGCTTCGAAGGGTCGTCCGGGGTGCCGAAGAGCTCGCGCTCGACGCGGGGGTTAGCCGGGCCAGGGACGTGCTTGCCGTCGCGCCACTGTCCGTCGCCAGAGCCACGGGCAGAGCTGCCGTGACCCTCGTAGCCACCGCCGCCAGAGTAGCCTCCGCGGCCACCACCCCAGCCGCCGCGGCGGTTGCCGCCCTGGAAGGCGGGGGGTGCGTCAGCGCCGTTGCTCCAGTTGCCGCCGCCTTGACGGCCACCGTAAGCCGGGGCGGGCTGGCTGTTCGTTTGTCAGTTCACTGAGGAGTAACTCGAGCGATGGGAAGAAGACTCACTTGGCAGCCCAGGCACTGTTGCCCAGTCCGTTGGGGCCTCCGTTGGGGGCTCCATTAGGAGCGGGAGCGCCGTTCATCGGAGGACCAGCAGGAACTCCAGCGGGAGGGCCAGCGGGAGGTCCGGCGGGGGGGCCAGGACGGTTGCGCATGTGAGGCGGGATGTAAGATCGCGGCTGGCCGGGGCCCTGGCCGTCGGGGCCAAGGTTGAGGCCGCCCATGTTGAGTTGATCCGCCATATTGAGACACTTGGGTTTCAGTGGAAGGTCGGGTCGAGTTTGTAGTCTCGCGAGTCGAGTAGGCGCGAAAGTCGTGTCGACGTGAAGTCGGTCGTTTGTAAAATCACCCTCTGAGATGCGAAGAGAGTGAAATAGAGGCCTGTCCGCACGAAAGAGACAGGAGAGAATGCGACGCAAAGGAAGGAAAACAGAGTGCTATGCTCTCGGATTTTCTTCCTCCAAGTATTATGATCGATCGAACACACTAGGGGAGTGTGCCTGCAGTATCCCTCGAAGAAGCACGCAGAATCTTCAAAGGAAAGACCAAGGAAAGACGAGAGGACGTCTGGGAGAAGTGGGCGAGATGAGGGGGGATGGAGGATGGAGTGTTTTGATGGGGGGGGTTTGAGAGGTTGTGGGAGAAGAAAAGGGACGGGAGAGCGAGCCAGTGGAGGAGGCGAAGTGGAAGGGAAAAAAAATTGGTTGGAGGGTGGTGAGTGGCCAGAAGGAGGCTAGTGCCCAAAAGGCAGAAGGGTCAAATTTTTCCTTCCACCCTCGGGGGGGCGAGCGCCAGCGCAGAGCACTGGGCAGCGCAGCGCAGCGTACAGACAGGCGCAGGCGCGGCCCACATGAGGCTGCGGTGCTGCCGTTGCGGCCAGTCACTGCGGCGGTGCGTGCAGCAGGCGCTGGAAGCCACAAACGCCGCTATTTTTACTGGCCGGCCACCTCGACGCATCAGCGGCCGCATGTATTCGCGAGGTACCGCCTCCGCCTGCAAATGCCTGTTCTGTACCTGGCCGGCAGGGATCGGGACCTCGACCATCCCCCCCAGAGACGTCATCACGAGTCGCTCCTCTGGGGGTGGCGACTCAACCCCGACGCCTCGCCGACCCGGAGGCGCTTCACCGCTTCCCACGTTCCAGCGTGTGCCCCGAAACCTTACGCCCCTTGGCCAGTCGGTGCTCGCGGTCCTGAGTCTTGACTTTAAGGGTCTGCGTTTTCGAGAATCTCGCCATGCGGCCGGACATCCCATCTGCGCGCACAACGTAGACCAGGTACCTCGTCGATGCCCAGATGCTACAGATACCTTGGGTTACACCAACTCGCTCAAACCCCTCCCCCAAACGCGTGTTTCGGTCACCACCTGCCCGCGCCGGGCTGGGTTACGTAGCCCTGGTTCGTTCCTTCTGCAACAGGTCCCGGTCTTGCATGCCGTGTGGCCCGACGTGACTCTTGGACACGAGTCTCCGGGGCGGCTGGGCTGGGGCGTGTTTGCCTGGTCTAGACACCATCGTTTGCTGTACCAAACAAACCTCATCTCATCTGCCTGTACGAGCGAGAACGAGTGCCATAGCGGTGCGTCCCTGGCGATCAGCATCTCGCGCGCGTGGTCCATGCTGTTCTCTGTCCCGCTCCCTTTCCGTGTGACGAGCAAGCCGGCACCACGTGCACCATGCCGCCGCCACATCAACCCGATGTGCCGTGCGACTGGCACAGGCGACTCGGCAGCCAAGTTGAGTCGACGTCAGACGCCACATCAGTTTTCGGGAATAGTAGCCCACACCGGCGCAAGGCTTTCAACCTTTCTGTCGGGGGAATTCGTAGCTGGCATTCGCCCTCGCCGAACGGGTCGCGGTGACGTCGAATAGGCGACACGTGCCTGGCGCTGGTGGCATGTGGTCATGCGCGTGGAACCTGCTGGCAGGATATGTTGCCAAACATGGAAAACCTGCACCAGCCCAGACCTGGTGTCATGCCCGGAGCGTTGCTGACGGACTCGGATGCTTTCCCAATTTGCCAATAAATTCCTTGCAGTGATGCTTGTATCCGTACAGATGATGTTTTACAGCCAGCCCGGGTATAGGGTAGCCTTGATGTTCACGACGTCGCCTTTCAAGTGCCTTGACCCTGACGGGCTGACAGCCCGTCAGGAAGTGCGCTCCCGGATGGTCGGGGCTGTATACTTTCAGCGTTGAAGTCGACCCTTTGTGCTGCTACTCATCGGAGTAGTCGCGATATCGTCACACGATCCACCACGGGACCGGATGTTGGCCTTTCGAAACAGGGACATACGATGTGGTCCATCAGGCTGGGCATATCATGCCGTCTGGTTTAGTCTACGTTTTGCCCGTAGCGTGCTCGTAGCATAATATTACAGATATCCTTGCACGTCCCCTCCTCTGCTGCCTCCTCATGCGCTCTTCACCACACGGTCGTCGTCAAACTCTATGTCGACGATGCCATCTGCCTTGATCGCCTTGACCACCATGCCCTTGAAGTCGATCGGTAACCGCCTCTTCAGCTCATCCGTGCACATTGTCAGAATCTTGATGCCCTGTCCGAGGGTGATGTCGGGGTGGTGGTGCTTGTCGAGGATGGACAGGCAGTAGTATCTGTGTTCTCGGGTCAGCGATCCGCCTCGGATGCCATGGCTGCATGCGCAGGCCCGCCATGGGGTAGATGCCGGAGTTCACGTACTGTGCGTATCCATGGGCCGCATAGGGCAGCTCGGCCAGCGACGCCAAGTAGTCCAGCCAGTAGAGGTGCGGCTTGCCGGTGATGGGGTCGACGCCGCCCATCAGCAGGTTGACGTTGTACGGGTGTCGGGAGCGCAGGCTCGAGGCCAGCTCGCCGCGGACAAAGTGGGCGAGGCCAGAGGGCGACAGATCGGTCTCGTTGCGCATCGAGTAGAGCTGGGCATTTCTTTGGATGTACTCGGCGAATTGGACTGCAACGGCGTCAGCTCCTGTCCCACGACTCCGACAACGTTGATGCCCATACCTGTGTCTCCTGCCTCTCCCGAAAACGCCAGAAGGGTGTGCTTGGTGAGCGGCCGCGTCTTGTCGTCGGCGGCCTTGAGGATGGTGGCGCCTCGCATCGCAGCCTTGGAGGCGGCGATGAGGACGAAGTCCTTGCCCGTGATGCCCAGCAGAACTTCCCTGTGGGAATGTGTCAGACGGTGACCTAGCCATGGGGGCATCCTATGGGAGCTTACATTGTGACTCGAGCGTGTGATGATGTGGTGATTGACGGGTGTTGACGGCAGTGGACAACACGATGGAGGTGAGCTTCCAGCAACCGGCGAGCTCCCAGAGACGCCCGCTAGGCTGATGCGCTGCGCGTCAACCAGCTCCAGCCAGCTCTCGGCGGCGACTGGAGGCGTCCGGAGCCCGGCGCTATGATTGTCCGACACCCACTCCGTCATTGGGCCACTCCCCAGGCATGTGGGGCTAGATTTTCTCTGGTCCATCCACTCGAACTTTTTTTTCTGAGCAGCGTCGCTGCAGGTCAGACAAATTTACACGCCGAGGCGGGACGGGAAGCGAGCAAGCCAGTTCGACCCGGACGAGCCACCATGTCGTCTTTTTTCACCGTCCCCGGCTCCCAGAAGAAGCGCAAGCGACCCGCGGCACCGGAAGCGCCCAAAAAGCGAGTCGCCGCGTCGAAATCGGCCGGGAAACCCACGGCAAAGGGCGCCGCTGCCGCCGCCGCGACTAAGAAGCGAGTCGAGCGGGACGAGTCCATTTCTGGCTCCGACGACGATGATGAGAGCTACGACAGTCCGTCCGATGCGGGCGAGGAGGTAGAGAAGAGCGACTCGGACGAAGAGGAGGAGACTGCCGCTGAGAAGAGACTGCGCTTGGCGGAGCGGTACCTGGAGAATATCAAGGAGCACGTGGACGAGGCGGGCTTCGATGCTGCCGACATCGACAGAGATTTGATTGCCGAGCGGCTACAAGAGGACGTGGCCGAGACAAAAGGCCGGGTTTACCGCCAATTAGCCTCCGAATTGGCCTTTGACAAGGCCTCCCAAACCCTCTTCCGCACCGACACCAACGCCGTAACCTCCATCGCCGCCTGCGCACCCTACTTCTACACCACGACCAAAGACCTCTACCTGCACAAGTGGAGGACGCAAGACCTCCCCCAAGACCAGTTCCCGCAGACCACAAGACGGAAACCGAAGAAGCCCCCCGCCCCGCCGAGGAAGAAGCCGCAGCTGGAGTCCTGGATCAAGGGACACAAGGGGAAGAGCAAGGACAAGAACTACCAGCGGCACGTGGGGCAGATACTCGCCGTTGCCGCATCACCAGACGGGAAGTATGTGGTAACGGGCGGCGAGGACCGGAGACTCATCATCTACGATGCGGCCACCCTGAAGCCTCTCAAGGCCTGGACGCACCACCGCGACGCCATCACGGGCCTGGCCTTCCGCCGCGGCACCAACCAGCTGTACTCGTCCTCCAAGGACAGGACGGTCAAGGTCTGGAGTCTGGACGAGCTTGCCTACGTCGAGACGCTCTTCGGCCACCAAGACCACGTCGTCGACATCGACGCCCTCGCCCAGGAGCGCTGCGTCAGTGTCGGCGCGCGCGACCGCACGGCGCGTCTCTGGAAGGTCATTGAGGAGACGCAGCTCGTCTTCCGGGGCGGCGCCGTGGACAAGAAGCCCCGCCCGGGCGTCGACCCGCGCTCGCTCACGCACGAGGGCAGCATGGACCGCATCGCCATGATCGACGACGAGCTCTTCGTCACGGGCAGCGACAACGGCGCCATCGCCCTCTGGAGCGTCACCAAGAAGAAGCCCGTGTACATCCAGCCCCTCGCCCACGGCATCGACCCGGCCATCAAGCCGACGCAGGCCTCGGCCGAGCAGCACCCCGGCGCCGACGTCGTCCCCGCGCCCACCCCCCGCTGGATCACGGCGCTCAAGACGATCCCCTACTCGGACGTCATCCTCAGCGGCAGCTGGGACGGACACGTCCGCGTGTGGCGGCTCAGCGAGGACAAGAAGAAGATAGAAGCCGTCGGCGTCCTGGGCGACCACCAGCAGGACGACAACAACGACGACGGGCCCACCGCGGAGGAGGCCGAGACCAACGGCGACGCCCCCTCCCACAGGAACAAGGAGTCGCGGCGGCCCATCCACGGCATCATAAACGACATTGCCGTCTTTGAGCGCGGCGACCGCGGCAAGGACGGCCTGTGCGTCATCGCGGCGGTGGCCAAGGAGCACCGCTTCGGGCGGTGGAAGGTGTGCAAGGCGGTGCGCAACGGGGGCGTGGTGTTTGAGGTGCCGAGGATACAAAAGGCCGTGGTCAACGGCGACGGTGCGTCAGAGGAGGGGACCTCGGATGACGACGAGGATGAATGAATCATAGCGCGGTGTAATGCATAGATTTGGGACATCGAATGTCATGTCATACTCCTTCCACTTTTGACTCCTACAGAGTCTCTCGCGACTGTGCACAAAGCATGGGATTTCAATCACGGGCCTGGTGTACGGAGTAATCGCTGGGTTTATATTCACCTGCATTTGCTCTCACTTCTGCCACCGACGAGTTCCTTCAGCAGACGCCTTGTTAGACATCTGTCCGGACTGTCTATGGCCGTGAGCCTGTTGCCATCCCTCAGCTGCGCGCTTCATCTACAACGGCCGCCAGCCCCAGTCGCTGGCCTGCACAACCCCCCCAATGCATCAATGTACCAGCCATCAAAGGCCAACGACAATCACCAAACGCCGCCCCTACATCGCTATGCATGCATGGCCAGTAGCCGTCCACACTCCTTCACTGCGCCATGGACCGAACAGGAAAACCCTGTGTATAAAAAAACGCTCGCCACACCTCCACCCAAGGAACATCACCTATGCCGTGCGAGTGGAACCCCATCAGGAGTCGTCTGTGAGATCCACTGCGTTTCGGTCGATGCCGTTGTATCGCTCTCGTCTCACCGTCGCTGAGCCGCCCTTTGTGGGCTTGGAAATCGGGCGATTGAAGAAAGCTGAGAGCTCCGATGTCTGCTTCCTGCCTCGTGAGGCTCCGCCATAAGTTTGCATTGCTGGCTTCTTCGCCAGCTCAATAGAAGGCTGTCGTGCTCGTTTGAGCCGGTGCTCGCGGGCTGCATGAGCTTGTTCCTTGCTGTCTGAAGAGCTTGACAGCGGCTGTATCAACTGGACATCGTCTTCGATATCGATCGTTTCGTGATTCGTAGGAGGAGCCTTCTTCTCTTTTTCGACTGCTGTCGTCTTTGGAAGCTTGGCCACGCTCGGGGGCATCCCATCCGGTGACTCCTGAGCCGAGTAAAAAGCCGATGAAGTGCTGGAGCTTGTGCTTCTGCTACTGAGCCTGCCGATCAGAGCAGGCTCGTCTTCGATGGCTTCTCTTGTGCCTGGTGTTCGGTCGCCGGCCGATCCGGCTGTCTCGGGCTCCTTCCCTGCCGACTGGCCGCTCTTTGCACTAGCAGCACTTGCAGTTCTGCTCGCCATGCTTTCGACAGACGAACTTTCCGGCAGTGACGCCTTTAGAGCCGAGGGATTGTCAGGCTGGTCAGCTTCTTGTTGTCCTTTCTTCGCAGCCTTCTTCTTTTGCAGAGCGGCGCGTTTCTCTTGCTTTTCCTCCTCGAGTCGTTTGCTCTGCGCTTCTTGCAGATCGAACAGCAACTTGCGGACGTTCTCTCGCAATTGAGCCGGTTGAATATCCCAGTCGAGGTCTTCTCTCTGAAGCAACTTGCGTGCTACCTCATCTGGATCCTTCAAGAATTCCTTCAGATATCCGAGAACATACACGCCGCAATCGCAGTAGTTGTTCTGACAGGGAATCTTTTTGGCGGACATGCCGCTTGGGACCACAGCCAGTTCGATGTTTTTCTTGTCCCTGGCTTCCTCTATCAGATACTCCTTCAGAGCCCGGCAGGTTGGGGAGTGTGGAGACTCTAACGAGTCCAGAGTCACAATTCTGGGCTGTCTGGGATCAAGCCTTTTCCCGCCGGGAGAGGATTGGAGAGTCCGTGAAGAGGGTGGAGGCGTTGATCGCGGATCCTTGTCGTGTGGCTTCCGGGGATCGTCAATCATCTCGACGTCATCATCCTCCGGCACGCCTTGGATAGCATTTGGTACGTTGCAAATGATTGCCAAGTACCAATGTGCGTGCTCGTTGACAGGAACGACGATGTAATCGTACGAGAAGAGATCGATTTTCGCGGTCCAGGCCTTGACGCCATCATAGTTGATCCTGCCCTTGGTAGAGCGGAGTTTCTCGAAGAAGAAGGTGCTAAAGATGTGAACCTTCTTGAGGACCTGGGGCGACTCTCGTTCCAGCGTAGCCTGGAGGTAGCGGATGTAGAAGCTGATGAGATTGTCGTTGAGAAACTCTCCCTCATCCAGCCTTGGAATGTCTTCGTCGTCCACCGTTGCTCTATTCTTCCCAGTAGCTGGGTATACGAGCGATCGCTGCCAGCGCTCCCGCCATTCTGGATGGTTGGTCGTCCAGCGCTCTGGTGTTGGTTCCCTGTAGAATCGCTTGGGCGAGGTCCGTCTGGTGCGGCGGGTGCCGAGGGTCGTACCCTGGGTCGACATGTCGACGTCGTCGAGGGCATTGGGAGGGCCCATGGACCGTGTCAACCTTTGTGGTTCGGCGCCTGATTTGGGTCTTGAAGTCGCACCCCCTCCACCGTCTTCCGTGCTGACGGGTTTGGATGCCCATGGTGCTTGCTGGTGCTTGGTCGCAGACTCTGCTTGGTCTCGAGGGCACGATTCTCTGTACCCCTCCGCCTGTTTAAGGGCGTTGCGAACACCACTCTCAAGGTACGCGCTAATCGATGTCAGCCGTCTTGGACAGAAGAGGGGGAAAGAAGGGGAGGGGGGGTTGCGGGGGCGAACGAAACTCACATTTCACGTTCAATGGTGCGGTCAGTGGGTACAGCCCTGACGAACGCCATGGCGGCTTCTCGGTTTTTGAACTCCAGAAACGCTTTGCCGGGGTGAATATTGTTCCCAGGGCGCTCGACGATGACGCAGGAGCTGTGAGTCGAAGCGTGGAATACCTTCTGCACTGTAGCCATGTTGATGGCCAGCCATGGCTGTGCGGCACGTTTGCCGTTGTCGGTCACGGGCACCAAGGTTTGTGCGTCCTTTCCGTCTTCAACGAGGCGTACCACACGGTCTGATTGCCCTTCGGGGTCGTAGAAAGCCTTGCCGCACGCTGCCCTCCTAAGTGTCATGTCCGGCAAGGCAGCCCGACTACCTGCTGTGGTTCGTTGTGGCCTTTGAAACGTCGTTTGCTGGATGTCGCCCCTGCTTGATACTCGTTTCTGTGATGACGTAGAGGCAACGCCATCAAAATTTGTTGGCTTCTTGCTGGGCAGCTGAACGGGCTCCTTATCGTTGCTCAGATCATCTAGGGACTCGTCTGAACTCTGAATGGATTCAAGTACCCCCTTTGCAGGGTTTGCCCGCTTGACGGCCGGGCCAGAGCGGTCCATGGCTTGATGAGGTCGCACAGCCTTACGAGACAGCAGCAGATCCGAAACAACCCGGGAAGGGGCAGGGTGGTCCTCAATGGCCAAAACATCTGGGCTGTCCAAGTCGGAGCGGTCGCCGAAGTGGGTGGGTGTCGTGGTATCGTGTCCCTTGGCCTGCAGACCTGTCTGGCTGAGGGATTGCCGACTCTTGCGCTGGCGCGGTTTGGACGATCTGCCATAGGTCTGCGCATGTCGAAACTCGGGGAGAGCCGCAGCCGTACTGGGCACCTTCCCAGCGCTCGAAATGCTCCATACGTCGTGGCCATCGTGTGAGCTCGATTTGGTCAGATCCTCGACGTGGACCTGTGATCGCCTATCGCTTGATCCGGAACCCCTGCCCGTGAAGGATAGAATGGTATCGGAGGCATTTGGCCGCTGTCGCTTGCTGGGGGGCGAGGCGTCCCAGGGAACGGAATCGTAGTGTGTCTGGCGATTGAGGGTGTTCACCGGGCCCGACTGACCGTTGATGCTCCTCTGTGACGTTTCAGCAACGACCTCTACGGTAAGGCCAAAGGCGTGAACTACCAGCCGCTTTGAAGTCATCCTTTCCTCCTTAGACCTGGGTATGGCGTCAGCAGGCGTGTCACGGTCGGTCGTCGTGCGTCCCGATGGTAACTTACCCATAGTCCGGGTATGAATGCTTCGCATCGGAAAGGTATCTTTCCCAGGGACTGCCACCCGTCAGAAGCGCCCAGGGAACAGATGAAAGTATCTGCTAGCGACGTACGACTCTCGAGCCCTCTTCGGCTCCCGGTGTTCCGTTCGTGGCGACGTGTGAATGGGCGGCGGGCCTGCGTGTCCGTCCAGGTTTGCGTCGAGTGCTTCGTCGGTCAGGGCGGCGGTTGCTTTCCTGCGCCGGAGGCTGCGGCTGACGTCTAGTTAGACTCGGCTATGTAGTAGACAGGTATCGAGAACCACGGAAAACTCACGCTTGAGGGTCGCCGGCGGATGCGGCATGAAGCAAAGTGCGATGACGAGTTGGCGATGGTGGTTGATTCTGCAACCGTTAGCGGTGGGGGGCGTTCTGCGAACTGAGGTGATGGCCGGGCAAAATTTAGTGGGGCGCGGGCAGCCATGGAACGGGGGACCTGTGCTGCGACCACTGGAGCACCCCGGAAGTGCTGAAGCCCAGGCGCGTCGTCCAGGTCTTGTTGGCAGCGCAATACGACGGGATCCATGGATCCATGTAGGCAAGCAGGCACGGTTCACCAACGCCCCTGTTGAAACTTGGATGCGCCGGAGCCGCCGCCCGAACAGTCGACGCCCGTGCCATTCTGAGAGCCCGGAGAATGACACTGCAGTCCTGGAATCTCTCCCCCACGCGACGGCCCGTATTGACATTGGCTCACTCACCATCGGGGATGCGCCGGCGGCGGCCCGCTTCCTGCGCGACCCATCGGTGTCTGGGTCGGCGGCGACTGCGGCGGCCATGGCGCTGGCTTCATGCTTTGTCTGCGCGGCAGTGTACCAGGCTCAGAAGGCTGCGAGGGGACGCGGCAATCGGTCGGCAACGACAACTCGAGGGCTTGGACATGATAACAAGGCGATGAGAAGCAAGGGTGGGCTCTCGCATTCGACGAGGGAGAGTGCTCATAAGGCTGCCTAGGTACGAAGTACATGCGCTGAGGTGCTGCGCACAGAGCTGACATGGCCAATCACTGGATGCATGTGTCGTCACGCGCCAACCCGAAGTGCGATGGAAGGTTCAGTTCAACCCGCCGCCTAAGGGCATGCATGGTGTAACTTAGCCAGTAGCGGTTGAGTTCTGGATGGACGGGACTCACGGGAGTCTCATCAAGGCTGGCTGAGGCGGGGAGCCTCATCAGCTCCACCGATCTGCCTATGCACTGGTGTCCACGTCCACTGCGCTATACATTTCGCCCATTGCTTCTGAATCGGGCCATTTAGGTCCATGGTTGTCGCGGTTCGCCTCGCTACCGCCTGGTAGCCTTCGGCCACATCGCTCTCCTAGACTCCTACACTCGTAGCGTCACCTTCAGTTAAGTCTGAGCCCTGGCGCAGCATGCGTCGATATCGTAGAGAAACCGCATCTGCGCCTTGTCTGTTACTGTAACTCCACATGTAAAATCTGTCGTGTAAACAAGGCCGGTTCCTTCAAGTCCAATTTCTCTGAAAGCTGGTGGGTGCCCGGATGTAAGTGTCGTCCTTGCACCCCTGGAGGCCGGGAGTCCGCGCCGGGGCGATCCACTGACACGCTGCCCCGCCAGTGCCGCGCAAGGCTGAGCGGCGAGCGCAACGCAACTGCAGCCGCGCAGCTCCAACGTGTCCTAATCCGCGACAGACACCACCCAAGCTCCAGCTGTCCGGTTCCTCCACCGACCACGACATCATCATCTGCCGCCAACACACCCGTCCCAAGGCCCCAATGCTGCGATAGAAAGCCTGCGCCGCGCATACGACTCTCTCTTTTTACTTCGTTCGACAGATACCCCGTTTTCCCACCTCAGCGAGCGCATCCGCGCGCCGCCCAGCATGCACTCCTCCTTCACCCGCCTCCAGAACGTCTTCGGCTTCTTCACCACCGTCGCGTGCGTCCTCGGCGCCTTCATCGCCGCCACCGACCTCTTCACCCCGCGCACGCCCAGCGGCGTCATCAGCCCCAACAATGTCCAAGTGTAAGCGCTCCTCAAGACCCCCGTCTTCTGCCGACTTTGCGGCTCCGCAAGCCCCCCCTAGAGCTAACCTTTGCATGCGCACTTGGATAGTGTCAAGGGTCGCCCGCACTACTACTCCTCCAAGAAGGAAGAGTACGCCATCATAAAGTTCTCCCTCGAGGCCGACCTCTCCTCCCTCTTCACGTGGAACACGAAGCAGGTCTTCGTCTACATCACCGCCGACTGGCCCGCCGTCGCGGGCGCCAACGCGACCAACTCGGCCGTCATCTGGGACACCATCATCACGAACCCGAGCGCCGACCACCTCAAGAACATTGGCCCCCTGGCCATGAAGAAGCTCAAGAAGAGCGCCGAGGGCAAGACCATTGACCCCAGCCGGTACGTGCCGCGCCCTACATAGTCGGACATTGTGCGGTCGCTAACTCGAGGATGTATCGCAGTGGCCTCCTCAAGCTGCGGAACCAAAGACCCAAGTACCAGATCACGCACCCGAGCGGCAAGATTGCGCAGGCCCAGGATGTCACGCTCAAGATTCACTACAACGTCCAGCCGTGGGTTGGCCTGCTCACCTGGAACATGGACAAGGATATCTACCAGTGGAAGACCATGGCCGGCGGCCTCAGCGACAAATTCACGCTCCCCGCCATCAAGTCCAAGGACAACAAGAGCAAGAGCAAGAGCAAGTGATTTGGTGGGGCAACGTGACTGTAAAAGCGGGAGGTTCTGTGGCGTTTAGCAGGCTGGCTAGAAAGATGCATTCGAGTCCTTTCAATGACATGACATTTCTCACGGCCTGAAAGGGGCCCTGCCCCGTGTCCTGGCCGGCCGGTAGGGCTCATGGGTATCCAGCTCTGTCTATGGTACATACTCGTCGTAGTCGTGCACTGCCCTTGGGAAGCCATCGCTTTGACAATATCTGCGTGCATACAAGCCATCAAACGCCACCACCCCTACTTCCGTGTAAAACAACAACGGGCTACCTAACGCCAACTCCTCACTGGGCCTGGGCTGCACTGCCTCCTCTCGCATTGCCGCCACGGCCCCGATTGGGGCCATTGCGTCCCCTACCACCTCGGCCGCGGCCGCGGCCGCCACGGGTGTTGTCGAGGCTCGCGGGCGGAGGCACATTGCCGTATTTGGGAGCTTCTTCACCACTCGAGGGTGCTTGAGCTCCCTCAAAGTTGCCTCGACCCCGCCCACGCCCACCGCCGCCACCGCCCGCTCTGCCGTTCTGGTTGCCTCCGCGACCTTGCCCGCTTGCATTCTGACCTGGGGACTGGGTACCGTTAGGGCCGCCACGGTAGACGAGAGTGCTATGCAGCAAGTTGGGGGCGCCACCGCCGCGAGGATTCGGGCTGCCGCGACGTGCCGGTGAGTTCCTATCAGGGTTCATCGCGCCACGCCAACCGCCTCGCAGGGGAGGCGGTGTGGGGGCGTCTTTGAGCTGGGTTATGCCAATTGAGCCGTATGTTCCAGTCGTCGGGTTAGGCGCAGCCCGTCGCTGTTGCGACCTGCTGGACGCAGAGACGACCTGCTTGTCCGAAGTGTTGAGAACGGAAGATGACGCGACTGTCTGGCCACGGAACATGGGCGCTCTGTCACCAAGAGTGGTGCCACTCATGAAGGATGTGTCCCACAGGACGTCCAGAAGCAGCGCCGTGGCAGTTCGGCTGATGCCAACGACGGTGCCTCTTGTGGCGATGGGAACCTTACCTGCAGCGTTTGCAAACGTCACCCGGTCGCCAAGTTGGAAGCTCTGGTTTCCAAGGACCAGCTCCGCATCGGATGGCTTCAGAATTGCCGCGCGAGGGACGCCCTTCATCTTCCGGATGTCGATGTCCTGCGTTGCCTGGAAAATCCGCTCGCCGGCATCGGCAAGTGCCATGACCACATCAGAATCGAGCTGCTCGGCTTCAAGGGGCACCCGCTCGAACTTGCTGGTCTCCTGCTTCTTGAGCCAGGCGACGATGTCCTTAACCCGCTGCGAGGCGACAGTCGAGTCCTTCCACAAGTCGGTGTCGGTGATCTCACTCTTTTGAGGCTCTCGCTGGATTGCTGCGAAGAAGTCGGGGAACGCCACCATGTAGTCGGCAATCAGCTTGATAGCCGCAGCACTGAATTCCCATCCCGTGCGGGACTTGCGAGAATAGCCAAGCACTTTGAGCTTTCGGCCCTCAAACTTCAGGTTCAAGCCCAGGTTGAGCTTCAGGCCAGCCGAACTGAGAATCTGGTAAGATGATGTAATCTTGCTGAGCACAAGGGGGTGCACCCCGAGCTGCTTAGCGACAGCAAAAGACGGCGTGTATGGGTTGTTTCGTTCAGCCTGATGGATCATAGCCTTGGCGAACTCTGGTTCCTTCGTCTTCGGAATCGAGACAACAACCTCAGTCTTGCCGCCGACGTGGCCAGTGATTTCGAGCGGACGCCCGTAGGCATACTCTCCTAGGAAAAACGCCCGGGTGCCGATTGGGAACTCCTCCTCAATAGGCAGCGCCTCCTTTTCGATGAATCGCTCGTCTTCGTTGACGACCTCGTCCACGATGGTTTGAGATGCGTATATGCTTCGCAAGCTAGGGTTTTCGGCGTACTCTTTAATCAGAGCACCCTCCTCGGTCTTGATCAGGCCCTTGAGCATGTGCACGTAGACAAGGCATTCCACTTGCCCGATGGTCACGCCCAAACGCTTTCCGTACCAACCCTCGATGTACTCGGCTTCCCTGGCAAACTCGGACGCTTCTCTGTTGGAGTGGTCTTTAGTGATGATTTGCTTGCCGTCCTCAGCGAGCTCGTAGCTGAAGAGCTCGTCTTGGACTCTCATCACCTTGGCTTCCTGAAGGAAAGGATAGCCAACGTAGCATTTCTGACCGAGTTTGGCCTTCCAGGCCTCGATGCTGGTCCGCATCTTCGTGTCTGTCAGGGTGACAACGACGCTGGGGTTCTTGCTTTCAGACTGAAAGACATTAACACCATAGCCCTCAACAAGCTGGGCAGTATAAGGGAGGGTGTGCAGCGTCGGGAAGCCAGCGAGAGCCGACACGTTGAGCAGCGCGCCACTCGTGAGGCCAGAAAGGTACTCGAGTCCTTCGACGTCGGGGAGGTCGAATATGTTCTCGATGCAGCGGCAGTTCTGGATCTCGGGGAATATGCCCGGGAGCGAGGACGGGTACGTGAAGTTGACATCGGATGAGTAAGTGAACTTGATGGGCACTCCAAAACCGTTGCGCGCCTTTTCGTCGTCCTCCAGAAGATCGTTCTTAGGTGCCATGGCATCCAGCAGGCGCTTCTCATCGATGAATGGGATTTTCACGACGGCCTCCCAGTCCATCTTCTTCCCGTTCATGTCAAGTTCGAAGTCCCTCGGGTAAAAGTCGATGATGGGAGAGTTGGGGTTTGTCATCAAATCGTGGTAGATCTTGGGCACAATCTTCTTGCTCCTGTCGGGCAAGACACCCATGAGCTGTTCGTACGGCTTGAAAGGCTGCCCCTTCTTGAAGTTGAGATCAGCCCCGAGGCCCTTGGTGACATCTAATATCGTCAGTCAAGCACAAGACGTTGGATCTGAAGCGTGACTTACCGGAGATGAGGGGGGCGTAGTGATATCCGTAGAACCAGGGCCACGACGCAATACCCTTGTAGTAGTAGAAGAGCACCCATTGCAAGCCCTGGACATAGTTCTCGCAAAGCGCCTTCTGCTCGACGGCGTACTTTTCGGCGGGCCATTCGGGGAATTTCTGCAGGTAATACTTCGTCTTCCAGCCCTGGTACTTGTCCTGGTAGAGCTGCTCATATTGCTTCTGCGCATCCTCGGCAGTCATGTCCACCACGGCGGCCTTGTCGTAAATCTTCATCACGCGATATGCAGCCAAGTTGCCTTCTTCCTCCTCGTCATCATCATCGCCGTCTGGGCGGGCGGGGAAGGCCAAGATCAGATGTCGGTCCGCGTTCTCGTCTTCCTTGGTGGACCAGTTCAGATGCATGGCGTCGGCAAGGTCCTGCACAAACTTGCGATCGGCAGCCTTGAGATTTGAACCAAGATCCAGGGGCTCGTCGGAGCGTTTGGACACGTAGGGACGAATCTTTTGCTTCCACAAGTCGCGCTGAGAGGAAGTGATGATGAGCTGGCCATTCTTAGATGACTTCGATGCCGCGCCGTTTCTGCCCTCGAGCTTCTTCTCCATCTGCTTCGCTGCAAACCACTTCTCGTCAGCAACATCGTTCTCAAACGAGACGAGCTCAAGCTTGCTGAGCTCGTCAAGGAGGCGCTGCAAACGCGACATATTGATGACGCCATTCTCGTTGATGTACCCTTCGCATGTCGGCAACACCTTCTTATAGGTCACAAACATGTTTGCCAGGGCGCCTTCGTTGATGTGAAGGCCTGGGAGATTCGGCAGGAAATCATTTCCAACAAAGAACGCCATGAGAATGAAGTCGTCGATGACCCTCTCAAGGTCGAAAGGAAAGCTCAACAAGCCTTGCTTTTCCAACTCCTGGAACTCCATTTCAAGGTACTCGCGCACCATGCAGAGGTGAAGGAGGTAAAAGTTTTGATGCTCGAGCTCCTTGGACTTGGCCTTGGAAGCACGGCCGAACGTGACCTCTTCACGCAAAAGGCAGAAATGAGGGTCGTGGCTGAGAAGGCCCAGCATGATGAGATCGGCGTCGAGCCCGTACAGGCAGTGTCGTACGTTGGGATTGTAGTTTGGTTGCGCCTTGGCGTTTCGAATGTATTCCATGATCTTGTGCTCTCCCTCGCCGGGGACCTCATGGCCGGAAAGAACGACCTCACAACCTTGCCAGTCAGAGTCTTCCGACACTTTCTTGTTGACAAAATACCGCAATTGTAGCGACAGCTTCGCCATGAACTCGGTGCCTGGTACAATTAGCGTCTGGTACGCAAAGTAGGAGGATCCGCAGCGGGCATACCTGGGGTGATGCAGTTGCTATCAAAGGGTTCCTCCTTTGGCATCTCCACACCATCCTTGATGGCCTTTTCACGGGCCTTCTCGTTATCCAGGGCAGTTCTGAAACGGCGCGCTCGCTGCTGGTTCATCTTGGCGCGGGGAGCGACGCCATCAATGGCCATGAAGAAGAGCTGTTTCGGCTTAATCTTGCCAAACAAATGCTCAATGTAATTGAAGATTCGGATAAACATCTCCTCTTCGCTCAGTCGAAAGGTCGTGTCTTCGCCCGCATCCTTGTGCGTACAGTTGTGGATGATGCCGTTCATGTCGAGCTGTAGTTCCGTCAGTCGATGCGCCGCTGAGAGTATGACTCGGGGGGCGTCTCCGTACATATAAGCAGTCAAACTCGGGTATTCTGTTCTCGGCGATGAGCTGGGAGATCGGAGGGTATCGCTCTGAGAGCCATCTGAAAAATTTCGGGACACTGAGAGGCGAGATGTCAGTCCAAGGCTGCCGCAAACAGCTCTGAGATGGAAGACGTACCCCATGATGCGGGTGCCGGGATGCAGTCCGACTCAGTATAATTCTAGGCTGCGGTTGGGGTTCGTGAGGAATCGAGCTGTGATGGTACAATGTACCGTCGAAGCAGTCCAATCTGGAGGGCGCCACTATAACGAGAAAGATCCTTTCGCCGAAGCTGATGACCTGTCTCCGAGCGCCAGAGCAAGAAGACAGAAGCGGTAAGCTAGTGGCCGGAGGGGAGAGAGCTGCGCGGGTTGCAACGGCAGCGCGTTGGAGGTGATGCGTGATGTGTGGTGATAGTTGTGGTGGAGTCGTGATGCAATGTGAAGGCGAGTCATCCGGCATCAGGTGGAATCCAGTGAGCTGCGTCGTCTGCTGGTGCAGCAGCATGGAGTGTGGCGGGGGAGGGACCGATTTTCCCGCCGCCCAGGTGCGCAACTGGTCCAGGTGGTGCTTGTGGCACGGCGGCGGGGGTGGCTTTCACCGGCTGGCCGGTGAACTGGCCCTTACATGCTTCAGCGGCCCTTGCCACCTGAGGTATCCATATCCATGCCAGGCCAGGGCCAGCACTCTGGACGCAAAAACTGTATTAGCTAAGCCAAACGGCCGTGCCGCGACGGTTTGATTGGACGGCTGGCGTACCTCGCAGCCTGCCACAGCTGCAGCTGCCCGCCGCCTTCACTTTACGCGCGACGCGTGCAACTTGGCTCACATTTTCCAGCCTCATCTCTCGATTTTGGTCGCGTCACACCAACTTCTCGCCGTCGCCTGTCAGCCTCAGCATCCCGCGCTGCAGGAGAATAAAGCATCGGATCTTGACTTGCAAATCTCATCCTCACCCGCAAGACTCATCCACCATGGCTCCCGCGCAGGCGCCGGACCCCGAGGTCGACAGTACGTTTGAGCTCTGCTGGGCGCTCAGCCTCGCGACCAAATTGCCATCTTGACAAGTGCTGACCGACCCATCTCAGTCGACATGATCCAGGAGGAAGAAGACGATCAGGTCGAGCGCCTCATCAATGAGGGTGAGATTGACTCTTTGCTAGTTGCCTGTCAATGCAATTCTGACATAGATCAGAGTACAAGACGTGGAAGAAGAACAGCCCGTTCCTCTACGACATGATTCTCGGGTACGTGTCCGGTCATCTGACCGGCACTCTTGATTCTTCAAGCATGATCTAATGCGATATAGAACGGCCCTGACTTGGCCTACTCTCACTGTCCAGTGGTTCCCCGACGTCAAGGAGCCCGAGGGCAAGAACTACAGGATGCACCGCCTCCTGCTAGGCACGCACACCTCCGACGACAGCACCAACTACCTTCAAATTGCCGATGTGCAGATCCCCAAGGCGGTCGCGCCCAATCCCGACAACTACGACGAGGAGCGGGGCGAGATTGGCGGATACGGCAACTCTGGCGATGTCGCCGCCATCAAGTGCGACATTGTGCAGAAGATTGAGCACCCCAGCGAGGTCAACAAGGCGCGCTACCAGCCACAAAATCCCGACATCATTGCCACATTGTGTGTCGACGGAAGAATTCTCATCTTTGACCGGACAAAGCACCCTCTCCAACCCGCCAACCCGGGCAAGATCAACCCCCAGATCGAGCTTGTCGGCCACAAGGCTGAGGGCTTCGGCCTGAACTGGAATCCGCATGAGGCCGGCTGCCTGGCGTCGGGAAGTGAGGACAAGACCATGTGCCTTTGGTATGCTCAGATAAGCGACAGTTTCAAGCCACAAAACAAGTGACTAACATTATGAAAGGGACTTGAAGACGCTCGAGGCAGACTCGAAAACACTCCGACCAGCTCGTCGGTATACCCACCACACTCAAATCGTCAACGACGTGCAGTACCACCCCATCGCCAAGAGCTTCATCGGCTCCGTTTCAGACGATCAGACGCTCCAGATTGTCGATGTCCGCCAGAGCGACACGACCAAGGCTGCAGTCGTTGCCAAGAAGGGCCATCTCGATGCCATCAATGCCCTCGCCTTCAACCCTACCTCAGAGATTCTCGTCGCCACAGCTTCTGCCGATAAGACGATCGGAATCTGGGACTTGCGAAACGTCAAGGAGAAGGTGCACACGCTGGAAGGCCACAACGATGCGGTGACGTCCCTGGCTTGGCACCCGACCGAAGCCGGCATCTTGGGCAGCGGTAGCTACGATCGGAGAATCATCTTCTGGGATCTGTCTCGGGTTGGCGAGGAGCAGCTGCCTGATGACCAAGATGACGGCCCCCCAGAGCTGTAAGTACCATGTTTGCCGCTGCATGAGGCGCATAGTGAAGCTGCTGCTAACCATCGCTCTGCAGGCTCTTCATGCACGGCGGCCACACGAACCACCTGGCCGACTTCAGCTGGAACCCGAATGAGCCCTGGCTTGTGGCGAGTGCCGCAGAGGATAATTTGCTCCAGATTTGGAAGGTCGCAGAGTCCATCGTAGGACGGGATGACGGCGATCTTCCCGTCGACGAGCTTGACCGATAGTTGAGGTGGAAGTTCCTTGGAGAGAGTCGGTCTTCATAGGATGAGGAGACTTTGCGACTCTGGGTGTCGAGGCACAGGAGCGTTTCACAGAAGCCGAGAGGACTCGGCGGAGTTAGGCACTTGATTCCAATTCACTGGCAGTCTCCCCACGTCTGTCTTTATTGCGAGTGGCACCGTGCTTTCAGGGCCCAGCTGGGTTCACGCGGACGGTTGCAACTTGGGTCGCGTGTTCCCATGTTGTTGCGGTAGCGGCAAGCAAACGGACGATTGTTCACCTGGCAGGTTGAACCACGTCACCTGACCGACTCTGTGGTTACCCGATGAATGGCTATTGACTGTGCCCCTATTGTTCCGTCAACAATAGCTGTTCTATTGTTCCTTTTCTGTCGACACCCGCCGTCATGTTCATCACCGCTTTTGCCTCGTGCACCACCACATTCGTTTCCTCCGACCCGTTGGCACGCGTTCGTGCCTTCGCACCTCCATTCGTTCACCAGAACATCTCAAGTCTCATCACCCGGAGGCTTCTACGCCTCGTTTCCTCACTGCCGGTCTTCATCATTTCGATAATTTCGTTGACTGCAGAGCATGCTGGACTCGGCAACAGCAGGCCAAGATAACTCCCCTACCATGGACGACTCACTCGACCCAGCGGAGTTGTTCAAGGCGGAGGTTCGACGCAAAGCCCAGGCGGACGGCCTCTCCGCCGATGAGGCCGAGGTGCTCGCCAGCGTCGCGCTCGACGTGCTCCGCGTCAAGGCCGCGAGCAAGAGGCCCGGCTCGCCCGTGACGAAGACGGAACTGGCCGACGCCGTCAAGCAGCACGCCGTCGAGGAGGTGGAGAAGAGCAACGCCCGGAAGGAGAAGCTCCTGGAGGAGGGACTGAACCTCATCGGGGCTATGACCCAGGAGGAACTTGACGAGTTTATGGAGAACAACACGGATGAGTATAGCGACGATTACTACGACTACGAAGAAAGTGAAGACGACCGAGAGGGACATGTGGTGGGGACGGAGGAGTGTGGAGTCCTTGGTCGTCAGGCGAAGCGGTTCGTGTTCGAGGCGGACGGTCTCGAGGAGGTTTTTGGCGAGGAGGAAGAGAAACCCTATGACTTGTGCGCCGACATGGCCAGCTTGCGCCTCAGCATGTGTCGCGATGGCATGGACCTCATCACCGCTCTCTGCCAGAGCGTCGAGCTCACCGTCGAGATCGCCAAGCACCTCCGTCCCGAGGACCTCCTCACGCTCTACTCGACCAGCCGCGCATTCTATCAGACCTTCAACGGACACGCTCTCTCCGTCATCCGACAGATCATCGCGCACAAGGCCCCCGAGGCCGGGCGAGTCTTCGCCTTCAACATGTACCGCCGACATCTCGTCATCGACCCCGCCGGCCGCGTCTGGGGCTATCAGATGTCCGAGGCCGAGCGCTATGCCAACAACATCAAGTCCAAGAAGGTCAGGACGGTTCCCGGAATGCGGTACCTCCAGCTCGTGCTCACGCGCGACCGCTGCTGCCGCGAGATCCTCGCCATGCTGGCCCGCATGGGGCACCGCACCCCCCGCGGGACGCTCGACGCGCTGCTGCGCATGTGGCTTACCATGGAGGTCGGCCTCACGTCGCAGCGGGAGGCCATGATGCGCAGCAAGCTCCTCTGGCGCAACAGGGACCTCTTCAACGCGCAGCTCTTCTTCGTCAAGCTGACCATGCTCTCCAACGAGCCCTCCTTCGGCGAGCGCAGGGTCAACATCCTCCAAATTTGCCTCAGCCAGCGCTGCGGCCTCATGTTCCTCTGGGAGGTGCTCTTGCGCAAGCGCTGGACCACCGCGGCGGAGATCATGCAGGTCAAGCTCGCGTACAGGACCGCGCTGCGGAACACGAGCCTGGACATCGACAGGAACAAGCCAACGTTTGGGGTGCCATTCATCAACATTAACCAGGGCCACTCCGAGGGCTGGGGCTCGGGCCACGCCCACCTCATGCGCCCGGACGAGCTCGTCGCCGGGGAGAGCATCAGACGCGGGCTCGACCTCCACATCCACCTCAAGTTCATGGCCCTCTGGGGCTACTGGGACTGGTTCACGGGCGAAAACCTGGTCCCCACGGAGGAGGAGATTTACATCTCGGACGAGGAGACGACGCTCGCGCACATGGACACGAGCCACCACTGGAAGAAGAAGCACGCCATGAAGAAGCGCTGGCTGACGCTCACCCCCGAGCAGCAGCGCCAGGTCCGCGAAACCGACGAGGACGAGCGCCTCATGGCCCTGGCCTGGGCGTCGAAGGAGCAGATGATCGCCGAGGACATGGGCGACGGCGAAGCGCGCGCCCCGAAACTCGAACACGAGATCGAGCGCGGCATCATCGTCCACATGCCCAAGTCGAAGCTCCAGCCGCCAAAAGCGACCGACAGCGTCGCCGCCTGGGCCGAATACAGCAGCAAGGCACTCAGCGGCGTGCCCCACGAGCCGGCAGGCGACGAAGCGCTGCGTGCGCAGGCCCTGCACCATCACGGCCCCGAGGCGGACGAGTGGGACTGGCTGGACTGGCTGGAGCAAGACCTCTATAGCAAGGACGCTCTGCCAGCAGCCGCGACGGCTCAGCAGGCGCAGGAAGACGCCGAGATGGCCGACGGCGAAGACGATGGAGACGAAGACGAAAGCGAGGACAACGACGACGAAGCTGGCAGCTCTGATGACTACGGCTCGTATTGCACCGACGACAACGGCGAGGCGGGTGACCAAGACATGGAAGCCGACGAGGAAACGGGGGACATTGTCGAGGAAGTCCTCGCCCGCGTAAACGGTGGGGAGGACGTGGTCATGGCCGACGGCGGCGGCACCACGGGTTCGGCGGAGGAGGACCACATGCTGGAGGACGAGGACGATATGAGTGATTGTTCGGGCGTCATGCTGCGGAGCGGACAGGATCTCGAGGGCTTTGTCAATGGCTTCTTCCAGGGCAATGACTTGTGAGGGGCAACCCATGAAGGCTGATGCAAGGGCAGCGTTGTAGGATCATTGGGTGGGAGGCACTCTCAACGAGGGAATCGGGGTACGTAATTCGACAGTGTAGAGTATCAGAACAGAGTGTCATCCCCCGTCGGTATCCGTCAACACGCCGCGTGATGCAAGTGCGAAAAAATCAAGTCTTTTATCTCATCGTCCTATCACACATCCGCCAGAGGGTGTAACCCCTCCATTTTGTATCAACAAGTCCGCAACATCAAAGCGCGGGAGCAGGCAGCGCACACGCAGCCGCTTCCTTCTCCCGCAGCCACCAGTCAAGCCGTTGAACGAGTTCCGAAGCTCCCCGACTCCTCGCCCGAACCTCCCGCCCCAAATGGTTTACCCCCTTTCCCAGTCGCCGCCAGCCGTACCAACACCATCGAGCCTGGGAAGGAGGGCTCCTCGAAGCAAAGGGTAAAAAGAGAAAGGAAAGACTCAAATAGAAAAGACATGAGGAGAGAAAAGGAGAGTAGACTGCAAGGAAACAACAAAAGACAATGTCGAAAGAGGGAGTAGCCCGTGTCCTAGACCCAAGATGATGGCCGCCAGACGTAGATGCCGCTGAACTGGGGGATATTGAAGGACTCACACCAAGATGTACCGTACACTCCCTTTCGCTATGCACCTCCCGGGACAACAAAAGGGCTTTTCCAGCAGAAACCCACGTTCCGACACTCACCACCGTCACCGCCGTTGAATAATCCAGTTCCGCATCGCCCAACCGAGAGATAGAATCGCTGCCCGGGGCCGCTCGAGATGGCCCCCCCAGTTGTGAACAAAACCGCGCGTGTCCCGCAAAATGTCTGCACCGAAGACTCAAACCAGAACAGCCGTGCGTGGTATAGTCACTTTTGTCTTCCAGCCGTCAGAGTGTACCGCATCCCCCCAGAAATATAATGTGCCCGACACTCCGTCCTGGACCTGACACCAAATACACACCATTGCCCCCCTTTCCCGTAGTAACAGCAAGCTAAGTCCAGAAGGTATTTGCCAAGGGTAAGTGCTCTATGTTCGTCGTTCCAAAGTCGTTGTTTCCTTGCTGTGCCTTGGTAGGGACGACGCGGAAAGATTCGCAACCATCAACCGAGTGAGACGTTCCGTCGAGAGCCCGCGACTAGCTCACAATCGGCGCGTCGTACTTAAGCAGGCGACTTGCTCGGGGGAGCACCGCCGCCGTTCTGGCGGGCGTCGTTACCGCTGACCGAGAGGCCGCCGATGCCGCTCGACAAAAAGGCGAACGGGTCGTTCTCCCCATTGTTGTAGAAGTTGTTGGACGCATTGGGGCCGGCTGACGCAGGTCCGTTGGTGGCAGACTGGAACGCGGCCTCCGCTGCTCGGCTATCGAAGGGGCCTGCCGAGTGCGACCCCGGGGTCGAGCCAAAGCCCTGCGTGTTGAGGGAGCTTGGGTAGGCACCGGCGCCACCACCCAGGCCAGACGGCAGGAAGTGGCTGGGAGGGCCTCCGAAGTGCTGGTTGTAGCCGCCACCAGAAGCGAAGGAGTTGCCGGAGCCGAATGGCCCGGGGCCAGGAGTGCCGGCCATGGATCCTTGGCTCATGCTGTACTGCGAGGCGTTGTCCATGGGAGACGGGTAGCCCGAGTCGGCGACCACGGCGGCACCGGCGCGGCTGGCGCCGCAGCGGAGACAACAAACGTTCTTTGCAAAGTTGTGGTAGCCGCACACCTCGTTGCCGCACTTCCAGTCACCAGCACGGAACGGAACGACGCCGCCACCACCCATACGTCCACCGTGACCCATCGGGCCGTGGTGGCCGCCGTGAGGAGGGGGAGGCATCATGTTCGGGGGCCCGTATTGGTAACCGTAGCCCCCAGGGGCACCGCCTCCCATCTCACCACCAGCAGGCCCGGCGCCCATAGCGGGGAACGAGCATCGGAAGCAGGCAGTACGGCGCTGGAAGTTGGAGAATCCACAAGAGGGGCAAGTCCAGTCGCCTGGTCGAGGTCGGTTCTTGCTGGGCGGGAACGGTGTCAGGATGTCCTGCGCACGATCGAGGACACGGCTGGAAGAAGGGGAGACTTCAATGGCCTTTTCGTTGAGCGCGCGGCCATTCATGCACAAGCTCTCGGCGGCCTGGGATGCGTACGTTAGCTTGGCTACAACATGGCCAAAGCCGGGGACAACGGGGGAGATCTTGGCATCTACCAAGGAGGGGCGGGCAGCTGACCTCTTCGTGTGACGAGAACACTGCAAAGCCAGTGCCAGTGGGCTTGTGTTGCTCGGGGGTACGGAGAGTCCAAAAGGCAATGGGGCGGCCACCAAATTGGGTGAACCAGCTCTCGAGTTCTGACTGAGTCGTGTCGTGAGGAAGTCCAGACATGTGCAGGACCTTGCTCCTCTCGGAGAGGAAGGCTCGCACATCGGCACGAGCGTCCATGGGCCGAGTCAAGACGTCAGGGTGATCCTGCGCGGGCTGGGACTTGCGGATGAGCCCTCGGAGGACGCGGGCAAGAGTGATGGCCTCCTCCATGGCGCGGCGAGGCGAGGCCGGGGCCAAGGCCTGCAAGTGGAAGGGCAGGTTGTGCTTGATGGGGGCGCTCGACTGAACGGGCTCCACCTCGAGCGCGGCGCAGATGTTGGAGAGCATCGACGGGCCGAAAGGCAGCGACTCAGGGTGGTGCTGCTGCCAACGCTGGTACTCGGTGCGTAGGTCGAAGGTGCGCGAGTGCTGCAGATACGGAGGCAGCACGACAGCCTTGTCGCGGGCTTCTCGGGGAAGCTGGACGCGCAGGTCCCAGGCATCGAGGGTGACGAATACGAAGTCGAGGTTCTTGGATGTAAGGTACTCGGTGGCAAACGCATCGAACCGGCTGATGGCGTCTCTGAAGGTACCGGCATTTCGGACATGCTCCCAAGTGAGGGTCGTCAGGCTCGCTGCAAGGGCGTCGTGGTCAGCTCCAGTTTTCGCTCAACAGGATGTTTGCCGGCCGGCTTGGTGGACGGGGCGCCCCGATGGCGGCCGATAAATATGTCGAGCGCAACCAAAAGGGCAAAAACAGGGGGCAAAATAGCAGTATGGGAGCAACTTACTGCACAAGGGAGTGATCGGAGTGTTGACCGGCTTGACGAGGACGCTCTCGTGGGTGATCTGTGGGAGCACGGGTCAGCGACGGGACACGGTGGAGAGAAGCCAAAGCTGTCCATGGGGACGACGGGCAACTCACCTCCTCGAGCGAATTTGCGTCGAGCAGAATCCATCCAAGCTCAATAACCTCGGCAGAGTCCTTGGTGACGTAGACGCCGTGCTCATCGCACGTCGTGGCCACATGGATCACGACATAGCGGTCGATGTTGACCTGGGGTTGCGTGGTCATGATGGGCGTCGGAGGCTTCGGGCTCGAGACGGCAGGGGACGGGCGACGAGCTCGGCTGTCGACCTTGTGTCTCTTGAGGAGCGGCGGGGGGAGGGAGCTGCAGCCTGTGACCGGGCCGGCTCAGGACGAAGCTTCGAGATTGCTGCGTGGTGCAGAGTTGGTGTGAAGCTTCAGGAGGCGCTGCCGAGCAAAAAGAAGCGCAGGCACTTTGGTAGGCACTGTAGGCGCAGGGCCGGAGCTGGAGAATCCGACTGCCCGAAGGGGCAAGGGGGGAGAAATGGGGTTAAAAAAAGAAGGTAAAAATGGCAAAGCACCGGGGGTAAGAAGAAAGATTGGCCGCGCCGTGGGGGAAGATGCGCAACGACGCCGTCGTGGATGGGGGAATCAAACCTGACGACGGGGTGGGAGAGGCTGTTGGATTGGGGGATTGAATTGGGAAAAAGAGGGCGCCGTGTGATGGATGGGATGGGCGCGAGGAAGGAAGGGGACGGGCGGCCGGCCGGCGACGGGTGGGCGAGTCAACTGGCAACTGGCGGCGGCAGTGGAGGCAACGGTGGATGGGGGTCGAGGTACCCGCGAGTACTGCCCTGTACGCGAGCCGGGCAGGTACCCAAGGTAAGGTACCTGGCACCTGGGCAGCCTCCACCGCCGCCCAGCGCGGTGCGGTGGCCCGGGGACACGAGGCCCTGGGCCCGACGCGAACTGCGCGGTACCTGCTCGTACCGACAGGCACCACGACCGCCAGGAGAGAGCGCCTGTGGCCTGGGCGGGCATCTCAACCTGGAAGCCTCCATGGATCCCGTCCATCCATGGATGCCCGCGCAACACTTGTACTTGCACCTGCACCTGCTCCTGCACCGGCCATGCCCTGCACCTCGACCGCATCAGCATCTCAAGCTGCGCCTGGCGCACAGAGGAGACGGCCCGCTCGCCCAGCGGCCAAGCGGCCAGTGGCCAGTGGACAATTGGCGTCCCCCTCATGCAAAATTGGCTGGTCCGCCGTGTTCTTCTCCAACCGAACGGCTCCTGAGGTGCTACTCCACTGTTTGGCCCCCCCACCACGACCACCACCAACCAACAGCGACGCCGACGGGCGCGTTACGGGTCCAAGGCGTTGTCGGTCGGTGTCTTTTTCCCTTTTCCCGAGGCCTCTCATGAACGGGCCTTGCTGCTTGACGGGCTGCGAGGGCGAGATCAGAGTCGAGGAAGAGGCGGTTCAGAGTTCACATCAGGGTAGCATCATCACCGGGGGGACACGCGGGGGAGAGAACAAGGCGGGACACCACCGCCAACCTCGACACTCTCTTTCTTCCTTCCTGCGTGGGATGCCGTCCCGAATCACCCAAGGAACCCGGGCCCTCGACCGACGTGTCAGAAACGCGGCCTCTGGACCAGCAACCACGCGTGTCCCCGACACTGGCGGAACCGCTCGACGACACCGGCGCTGGGTTCCGGGAATCCTCCTGCGTGGTGGGGCCCTCTGGCTCTCAGGCATCCCAGGCCTCCAGGGCATGACAGGTTGGTCGGTCGTTGGAGCGACAGGCGAGCAGGGTGCCTGGCCAGGCCAGGCGATGTGCCCGTCCCGCACCATCGTCGAGTGAGGTGAGGTGGCACAAGAAAGCTGCGCGATGCCCGCGGGGGATGCAGCACGGTCGATTGATCGCCTTCCCGTCGCACGCACGGCATCGAGTAGTCTTCTCTCCTCGACGTTGTCGTCGTCTCTATCTCCGCCGGACATGCCATGCCATCCATCCATCCGCAAAGTACATGGACGACTCGCAGGTGTGAAACGCCACGGCGCCCAGGACCCTGCCTCGCTGGGGAGGGCCTAGCGCCGTCCCCTGCCCGAGGAATCCACCCAAAGCCACCCTCCATCACCTCGCCCACCTCGTTGCGCACCACAGCTCGCCCACCCACCCGCTGCCGCCAGGGGCTTGCCGCTTCTAGCTAAGGTTCTGCGGTTCCAGCGGTCGCGCCCCTTATGGCAGCGCCCCGGAAAAGGCGCGAGCCCGCTAGCGGCCTACGGATGCTGACCCGGCGCACTGGCAACAGGCTGGTTCGAGCTGTTGGGGCACGACGACGCACGTTCACGCCCTCATCAGCACCACGACGTCCGTCGGGCAAGACAACATCTAGCTTGCCTACGCCGTAGACGACGGAGGGGATCTCTCGTGCTGACCTGACCAGGCAAATGGCCCGTGGTGCTCATCATCTCGCTTGTCGACCTTGTGGCGCCGGGCATCGACCAAGAGCTGTCCTATGCAAGCAAGCAAGCCTCAAAGCTGTTGAGCGCACAACAGCGGGTGCGTCACCGCGACCTACCCGTACGGGAGAGGGCACAGACCAAGCGCGGCACGGACCCCTGCGCGTCGGACGACTCGATCCATGCGGGCAGCGCTCGCGGCGTGGTGGCAGTTCGTTCCCGGAGCCATCGGATCTGCAAGGTCGAGGTCGCACCAACGGCGGTTCCCGGGGCCTTGGACCAGGCTTCCAGCAACCGCGGGAACGCTGAAGACCATTCCGACCAGGTACGAAGTACGCAGTACATACTCCGTACTCATACGGACTTCAGACAGTCCCGGGACACGGCGGCTTGCATGCGTGATCCGGGGGGCATACTGCCGGGTCTGAAGCGCCATCTCGCGTGCTCTCCAACTAAAATACCGTTACGGCGACTCGAGGCAGACGTTGTTTCACTGAACGGTGGCACGGATTCGCCTTGCAGGCCGCAGGCGCCAGGTGCATCGTTGCCTTTCGGTTGACGGCGAGCAGGCACCGCGCCTCGCCTCCGCGGCCTAGGGCGCGATGTATGAACCCCTTGCCTGGGAGGCCCCAGAACTGCGGCGCAGCATGAGGCAGCCTGTTCCCCGCAGGCTATCACATCTCGCCGCGCTTGAGTACCTTCCCCGGCATGTGATGATTATTCGAGCAGCTTCAGGGCGAGCGCTTCGCTCACGAATGGAGGGACTTGAAGAGCGCTGCGTACCAATACCGGGCGATATCAGGGTTGTCGACGAGGTTGAGCCCGCTGTGGATGTGGCTACCAAGTACCAACTATCTGTGCAGGAAGCCGCAGACGATGAGGCCGCCACGGTGGCACCAGTCCGCCGGCGTCCTATCACCCGGATCTTTGCGACGGTTGAAGTCGACGTCTCCTGGTTTCGGCTCGCTCAGTAGCGGCAGCTCGGCTCCTGTTTGCTGACGTCTATACCACTGCGGTATCTCCAGGAAGCCAATTGACTTTTTTGTTTTTTTGGCCAGCGGCTGTCCATAGCTCTCTCAAAGTTGGCGCCACGGCGCATCCGCTCCGAGAGGCGGAAGCGGTAGCCGGCGGCACGTGCGCCTTACGTCATGCTCTTCATGGCTGAACGGTGCACCACGTCACTCCAAGGCAGGTATCGAACGAGGAGGTCTCGCCTGCCTGCACGGGATGAGTCTCGGCGCGTAGTCGTCGTCGCAATCACGTTACGCGCCATCGCCTCTCCTGCAAGCGTTCCCCCTCACACACGACGCCCTTGAACCCCTCACGATTCTCACGAACCCGCGCCAATACAGGCGAGTCGAGTGTCGAACTGCAACATCCGCGATTGCTACTACCGAAGCCTAGCATCGACTTCAGCGCTACGAGACCGTTTAGACGCAGACACCACACACATACATCGTTAATCCCCGACACCGAACCGCGCTTCCAACGTCATCATGGGTGTCGCGTCCGCCATCCTCATCGTACTCATCACCATCCTCTGTACGCCTCAGCTTTGACAGGCCCCAACGGGAGCGCGCCGCTAACGTCTCTTACAGTCCCTCCTATCGGAGTGTGGGCAGTGGCAGGATGTGGCATGGGTGAGCTGCCTCGTTACCTGTTCTTGTCCTGTCGGTAGCCGCTGACACGTCGCAGACTTGCTCATCAACATTTGCTTGACAATTCTCGGGTACCTACCGGGCCACATTCACGCCTTCTACCTCGAGTACATCTACTATGATCGTCGGGAGCAGGCTCATGAAGGGCGCTACCCAACCAGCCGCGCGCCCGGCGTCTACTCGGACAACGTGCAGACGGGCGGCCAAGGGTACGGCACGATCGTGCAGCCGACTCGCTAAGACGGCACGTTTCGGTAGCAGCACGCACGCCCGCACGCACACGGGGTCTTGATGGCCTGATGAGATACACGAAGTACGGCCGACTGAGCAATGACGGTGGGTTGGAGTCGAGACGAGCGACGAGTGTGAAATTGGAGTTCAATGGGTGATATCTGCATTCTTTTCAACCTGGCGCCGTCCCGAAGTTATCTTTCCTGGTAGTTTATTCAATGGGCCCCATCATGGTGCATGGCGGTGGCCTATGCTTTCACTGTTTGGCTGTGACGTGGTGCTTCACTGCAGCTCGTCAAGTCCTATGTGAATTATGTGAATTAAGTTCTCGGTACATGACGTGCCATCGATGCTACGGCGGTGAAGCTGTCCATGCGAAAAACTGACGCAATCGATCGGAGCGGTCAGATCTCGGTAGGCATGGATGGCCGCGGCAGAGCCACATTGGTCACTTGGCTGCTCATCGAGGCCCTCGGTGTCGTGAGCGTGTGCCTCGCCTAGCTGACCTGGTTCAACGACGAGGCGGTGCGTGCTACGTCTCGCCAGCTTATTTGTCGAGGCCCGGTCTGCAACGCACCGGCAACGTGGGTAGTATTATCTTGCGCGGGCGATGGCAGCGGACGCACCGTAGATGGTTGGGAGGGGATGGGAGCGCCGCCCAGCCGATCAGCTCGCATGCCCTCGTCCGAGACGGCATGGCGATTGACGGTGGCGCTTGCAGGAGGGGGAGGGGGGGGAAGACTGCAGCTGGTGCGTTTCTACTGCTGCAGCAGACGAGCGAGAGATGAATGGATGGGTCAGTCACCTCAGTCAGTCAGTCGCTTGGGACCGCTGCCGCTCGACGGTCGGGCCGGCTGCCGAATGTCTCAGCACGGCGCCGACGAGCTGGTTCTGCGGCGGGATCTGGGGGTCGGTCTTTCTGGTCGCATGTCTCTCGCCAGGGCCCTTTCCGGCGACGAGACATCTCTTGCACTGCACTGCATGGCTGCTGCTACTGCGCCAGAGAAGATGGCCCGTCGGCCGCATGAGAAGGACCCTCGTCTCGCGAGGAAGCGATACGGAGACCAAGGTACATCATACAAATGCCCACCTTCCACGTAAGGTAGGTCTGTACGGCATCGCCAAAAGACTGCGTCCCAAGTTCAGCTTGGTTGCCCTGGGCGTCCTCCTTCCTCTTTGAAGTGAGAGGAGAGAAACCCGGGGGGAGACGACAGCCAGCATTGCCTCAGGTAGACAGAGCGAGACCGGTCGTGATACTTGAAGAACGCCCAGGAAGCACCCATGCACGAGACGCAGCGCAGCGCAGCGCAGACAGAAAGCCGCCGCCGCGGAGGAACTGAATTGTCCAGTCGCAGCGGCCAGAAATCAGACAGGGAAGGGGGTGGGCATGGGCATGGGAGGGAGAACAGAAAACCGACGAATGCGCGCACCTCGATTTCTTGTCGGCTTGACACGTCGATGGTCAATTCGTGGAGACCCCCCCGGCCCATGATGGGAAAAGGACGGCGGGCGGCAAGCAGCCAATTGGGGCGGCACACGACTGACGGTCCGGCTGCGGAGGGGAGAGAGCAGACCCTGATGAGAGTGAGAGGTGAGGAGGGGGGGCGTGCCGGCAGTGCGCTAAACTCTACGGCGCCTTATGCCCTGATCGGCAACTTGTATGTAACAGATTTCTATGTAGGTATGGAGATAAAGATAAAATAAAAATGCCTTCCTATTCCCCTTCGGGCAGTAGTTTAGCTACGTTATATATAGAATCGAGTAGGGGTCGAGTTATATAGATATCTAGATATACCTTTAATAGTCTAGCTTATTAAAGCCTATAATCTTAATAATTAAGCTTTATTAAGGCTATATATATAGGGTAGTTATATATATATATAGTAAATCTTAATGGTAGAAAAAAGTATATATAGGCTATATATATAACTTATATATATATTATTATCGTATAATTATTATATTAATTCGCTAATTTATATATAGATTTAATATAGTCTCGAGAGTTATATAGATATAACTTACTCGCTATAATTAATTAATATACTTAATAAAGTAATAGCTTATTTTTTCCTATAATTAATAATTATAATTAAAGTTATTATTATAACTATATTATTATTAATTATCTTAAGGCCTTAAATATTATAGCGATAGCTAGCTTATAATATAGAACGATAGGTTATATACCTTAATAGCCCTATATTTATAGGTTAGCTTATATCTTAATAAATTAATAGCTTAGATATTAAATTCGAAGATATATTTTATATATTAAAGGTTACCTTTTAATAATTATATAAATAGCTTAAGATATATACCTTATTAAAGCCTTTACGTTAGCTTATATTATTATATAAAGTCTTAATATTCTTATATATTATTAAGTAAGGAGAGATATAATAAAGGGCTAGGTCTTTCTTTTAGATTAATTAAAATATAATTTTAGCGGTATTTTATAACGTTTTTAATTTAATAAGAGTATTATATATTACTTTTATTTAATAGCTAATTAATAATAATATCTCTTTAAGCCTCTTAAAAGACCCTAAAAGTATTACTTTTATTAAGTATATTAAGGTAATTAATAATATATATATATCGGTTTATATACCTCTTAAGATAAGGGTATAGTTTTTTAACTAAAAAGGCTTTCTATTATAGAATATACTTATTACTATAAGGCTTAATAATACCTTTATTTTTATATTAATTAATAAAGAGGGTAATTTAAATAATATTAATATAATATATATTACTTTAAGTTTCCTTTATAAATAGGAGTAATTATATTATATCTTAAATATAGATATTATCTATAAGATTAGTATTTAGTGCTAGATTAACTAAAGATAGTAAAGGAGCTATTTAATTTACGTTATGCCTAGCTTTAAGTTATTATAGAGTAAGTATTTAAATAAGTAAAGAAGAAGTTTAAAGTATTACGAAATAACCTTATTAAGTATAATCTTAACGATTAGATTAAGATTATATATACTATAATAAGGCTTTAAAACTTTATTAAATTTAAGGGTAAAGAATATAAAGTAAAGGAGATAATAGAGGAAATCGATAAGGTCTTAATAAATAAAGTAAGGGATAAAGTAAATTAAATTATAAAGAATTAAATAGTAATATAGTAAAAGGAGGTTATTATAAAAGAAATATAATCTTAATATTAAATATACCTAAAATAATCTATTTCTTAGGTATAAGAAAAGGAGGATAAATTAAAGGGCGTTATTATAGCGCTATTAAATCTAAGGGACTCTAAAAATAATACTTTTAATAAAACTAATGATTTAAGCTATTTAAAGGGAGATATAAGGCTTAATTTCGATAAAAATAAGGTATTTATAGTATTATAAAGTAGCTATATTATTACGTTATATAATATTATAGGTTAAAAGTAATAATATTAAGTTTTAATATTAAAAAAAACGGATATATATATATATAGCTAGTAGTAGATTTATTATATATTTTAAGTAATACTTTAAGTAATAATTTAAGGTATAAATTAAAATTATCTTATCTCTTAAGGTATTATTAATAATATATATTTAAAAAGATATAATTTTTATTAATATAAAGTTAGTAATATATAAAATATTATTATATAAGCTTACTTAAAGTATAAAAATAGAGAAAATAAAGGTATTAATAAAGAAAGGATTATATAATTAATTTAACGAATAGTAGTTTTTTATATATTAACTTAACTTTTAACTATAATAATAACTTAACCTCCTTTAACCTCTTAAACTAACCTTAATAATAACTTAACCTCTTTTAACCTCTTTAATTAATTATATAATACCTTATAGTCGCTATAGTATCTTATAGTTACTATAATGCCTTATAGTTAAACTCTATTTCTTATAGCTACTTATTTTTTACCTTTTAGTCTTTTAATATAAGCTAGGTAATAATATTATAGCTTTATTATATCTCTTAAGTAAAAAATAGCTATAGATTTTTAATAAGTTAAAAAGTCTATATTTTATTATAGATTACTCTTTAAATAACCTTAATTATTAATTTAATAATTATTATAGCTTAAAGAAACTAATTATATTTATAAACTATATCTATAAGTAAGCTTATATAATTATATATTTCTATCTTTTTAATTTAATACCTCTTATAGTTATAAAGCGCTATAAAACTAGCTTTAAATAAGGGTATTAATAATAGCGATAAAATTACTAACTTTACTACTATAATAGATATCTTAATATCCTATAATATATCTAAAAGCTTATTAAAGCTTATAAGATTAATAATATCTAAACCTTTAATATCGAGAATATCTTTAATATATTAAGCTACTAGCTTATTACCTTAAAAAGCTTCTATATAGAGATTTATATATAAGAGACTTCCTCTCTTAATCTCTTTAATAAGATATTAATAAATAGCTTTTACCTTTTTTTATTATTCCTCTATAGCCTTTATAATACCTTTAATTTTATTATATATAATATTAAAGAGCTTAATTATATACTTTTAAGTATATACCTTAAGCTTTAAGTATTAATATTAACCTATAAGCGCTTATATATATTAATTAAGATAAAGAAAGTATATTATTAAGATTAATAGATAATCTTTAAGTATAGGTAAAAGGTATACCTTTTTAGATAACTTAAGTTAATTATTAATATATACCTCTTATAGTAATTTTAAGAAATAAATTATTATCTTAGTTTATTATATTAAGTAAGGCTACTTAATAAGCCACTAAGGCATAATAATATCGCTTAAAGCGTTATTAATTATACCTTTAATGCCGTTAGGGTCTTTAGCGGCTATACTTTTAACGCTAGTAAGGTCCTTAACGGCTATACCTTTAACGCTAATAGGGCTATTATTAAGGTCGTCGAAAGGGTCGCCGTTATCTATATCGATTAAAGCCATTATTAACGCTTAATTAAATAATAAGAGCTAGTTCTAGAGAGGTCAAAGATACTTAAAAATAGCTATTACGATATAGGCTATAACGCCTAACGCCCTTTTTATGCGTTATTGCCCTTAATTACCAGATCCGGCAAGCGGTAACCCTTAAATATATATTATTTACATTAGACCGCGGGTAGGGGTTAAAAGGGGTATAAAGGCGCTCTATAGGGCTTTAAAGGTCATAGTTGCACACGTTTTTACACACACACGAAAGTTGCCGATCACGGCATTAGGTTAGTTGCCTCCTGGGTATGCGCTGTCGTCGCCTTGAGAGTCCGTTTCTGCGGGCGGCTTTTCAGTGGGCGTCGGCGACGAAGATGGATGCGGGCGGGCGTGTTAGTGGCGGTGGTTGCAGCCAGCCAGCCAGCACGCCAGCACGCCGCCGAACTCGCGGCATGAGGAATTGCAAGTGCCATGACGGGAGACAAGGAAAAGGTACCTGTAATTCGCACATCTTCACCTCCGCATTGCAAGTCCCCCCCTCTCCCCCGTCTTCTCTCGTCGCCTCGTTGTCCACCTCCACTATCACCACCTCCACCACCCCTCCCCTCTCTCTCTCCGCTTCACCGTGGGCCTCTGACCGAAAGCAAGACGCTTGGACGACAGCCACGACACCTTGCATGCTGCTGCTTGCGGCGCGCGCACACGCAGCCCAGCCCCTCCACCGCCCACCACGTTTTTCGGCCCCGGCATTGTCCTGCAGCAGCACCCACTCACTCTGCACTTGTCGAGCGAGTCCCCTTGCGTGCGTGCGTGCGTGCGAGTCTCGTCGTGTCTCGTCTCGTCTCGCTTGTCGCCTGTCTGTCCGGTCCTGTCTCTGCTTTCTTCATCCCACTCCCCCCAATCCCCCCCCTCCCCCCGCGACGGTCGTGTTTCGTCGTCGTCCTGTCTCGCTTGGGCCCTCGCGCAACGGCTCGCTTCGCCTCGCTGCCCGAACGGACCCTGTGTTCCCCATCGCACGACTGCAGCCGCCATAGGGTCGGGTCGGGTCGTGTCGTGTCGTCGCCGCTCCCGAAGCACGCAGCTCCCCCAGAGCTCCACCGCCCGCCCGGCCGAACGAGCAACGTCCGACGGAACGGCATACGCCCCTCCTTCTTGCCTCGCTCGGGACGCACGTACCGCACACGCACACACTGCGCAGAGGCACGCGCCGTACCGGCGATTCGTCTCGTCGTGCATCGCCGTGGATATCGACGTGCGAACCATGCCCTGAGACGGCCTACGCCCCCTGCTTCCTGCTCCCGCTGCTGCTCACCCCCCGTGCGAACCAGTCGCCGTCCGCACGCTCGTCTTCCGGGTGCCTTGTTCCAGATCGGTCCGAGGGCGAGACGCACGCCACTCCCGATGCGTTTGTGAAGCACACGATACAGTAGCCTTCGTGGGAAATAATTGCACATCTATAAGTACGCGGCCGATGCCCACTCACCGCCGCCATGCCCGCCTCATCTTCGGCCGCCTCGCCTCACGCCAGCTCTCGCCACAACCCGCCGTCATCCACCGCCTCGTCCACCCGTCCGGCTAACCCAAGCGACCCACGCCGCGACCCCTTCCCCTTTTCCTTCACGAGACCCTTCCGGGCCAACCCGTCCTCGACCAGTCTCGTGCCCTCTACCGCCGAAGGCAAACCTATTCCCGTCGACGACTCCACGGCTGAGAACCGCACCTCGGCTCTCCGCGAGATCAACAGCCACTACCCAAGCCGACACCGATACGCCAAGTCCACCGGTGCGCAGAGCAGCACCTATTCGGAGCCCGTCATCGTGCGCAGCTACCACCCACCGGCGCCGAGCCGGCCCGCTGCCTCGACGAGGTCGGGTGGCATCTTCCAAGGTGGGGCCGTGTCTGGGTCGGACGCGGGCGGGACTGGAACAGGCCTCAGTCGAGGGCTCCCGTTCGCCAGCAAGGTCGCCTCCGCCGGGAATGGAATGCTAAGCACAATGGCACGGGCACGCACCAAGAGACCCTCGGGCGACCGCGGGCACGGAGAAGCACGGCTTCCGCCGGTGGAAGCGTTTAGCTTCAAGAGCTTCATGGCCAACTTGGAGTCGCAGACTGGTAGCGCCGATATCAACGCCGATTTGGACCGTATTGCTGAGATATGTGCGCGGTCGAGGTACTCTCTCAGCAACCAGTACGAGGTCCACTACGCGCCGCACGGGTCCGGCACGTCGTTTCTCGCAGCGTCACACCAGAACCAGGAGCTGCCGGGGCCGACGCTGCAAGTCGTGTCGTCTGATGACGAAAGGAATATGGGACGGCAGAGGAAGAGGAGACATGCCGGCAGGAGAAACAGCCGCGCCATGGGGACTCTCGAGACCATCATGTCGTCCAGCCGGTCCTCTGACGACGACAAGACGAAGAAGAAGTCTGCTTCGGAACTCGCCGACGAGGTCCGCGGGCGGGCAGTAAGAAAGGAATCTACACACTCATCGCCTTCTGCATCGTCGCAGGGCACGTCTGATGGTGCCGATGCTCAAGATGGCGAGGCGCCGTCCAGGAATCATACAAGACGGCCGTCGGGATCGTTGGCGCTCATCGATGGCTCAAAGCAGAATGTGGCGACGACGGATGGGTCAAACACACGGACGTCGGCGCCGGGGCTCCTGAGCGATCTGGCATTGCCGCAGGCTTCGACCAGCCAGTTGGAGCTGCGAACGGCTTCAGAACAACCGCCGGAGACGATACACAACGGCAAACACAAGACTTCGCCTGCGCCTCCCACGGACGGCAATGCGCCTCTGGCAAAGGGGTCCATGTCATCGGTGCAGGACGACGGAACAGGGAGCGGCATCATGGCAGCCCTGAGCAGCTGGATAGCGTGGGGACAGACGGGGAAGCAAGAAGGCCGGGCCGAAGGAAGCCTCCGGCACCTGTTGAAGACGACTGATTTCAAGGGCAAGGGCGCCAATAAGGCGGCATGAGAGGATCTAAAAAGAGCTCTGCTCACTCGGCGCTGGGCGGTTATTTACACGGCTCCAAGGCTGGCATGCCAGAGCGACTGCTGATGATTTGATGTGACGACTTATGAGAATTCATGGTAGCGTGAGGGAAGAGACGGCACGCCGAGCGCGTGCATGGAGAATATCTTGTGCCATTCAAGCCGTGACTGACGATTGGCCTCGGCCGAGAGTCGAGGCCGCAAACGAGGGAGCTTCGCGTAGACTCGCCGCTCCGTGGCGCCCGCGATTGACTCAAATCGTGCATCCTCTGGAGAGCCGGACCGTCACTAGTGAGTGAATGGTCGGTCGTGGGCCGTGTGTCGCGACGGAGGCTGCTGCGCCAGCCCGTGTCAGCACTAGCCGGCACGCGGGCGACGAGGTTAATCGCACTGCACACATACGTGCATAGGTAGGCCCAGCGTGAATATGGCACTTGTGTTGGCTCTGGAACGTTCACGCGCGGGTGAGACGGGCTACTTGCCTAGGCAGAAAGAGAATGGCGGAAGGGCATGGGTTGTGGGATTGTCTATTTAAGTGAACGGCCCTATGCGAGAGCCTCTGCCGTTTCTTGTCTGTATTGCTCAACCATCTAGACACACAAATGCACTCTCTCACTCAAGCCAATATACCTTGATAGAAGCACACTCACGACATCCGCACTATCTCTCTGCCATAACAAGACCGAGTAACGCTCTCACTCAGTCAACTCGAGAAACCAGACAACACACTATCAACAACATCTCAACCATCATGTCTCCGTCACCACCACCCCTTCCGCCAAACACCACCTCCGTCGTGCCCCGCCCCTACGTCCTCTTCTTCCTCTACCTCGACCCCCTCACGGCCCTCTACGGCGCATGGCTGCACCTCGCGACCCCCTCCGTCGCCGCCACCGCCATGGCGCCCTCCGCCGCGCACGACCCGTCCCAGGCCTTCGTCTACCGGCAGGCGGGCGGGCTGGCGCTCGCCGTCGCCGCCCTGGCCGCCGCGCTGCCGCGCCTGTCGACGGACCTGCGCGTGTGGCGCGCCCTGCAGGCCGCGCTGCTGCTCGCCGACGCGGCGGCCCTGAGCGGCGCGTACGAGGCGCTGCGCGTGGGCGGCAGGTTGGGCAGCACGAGCACCTGGACGGACGATGATGTGGGCGTGGTGGGCTCGTATGCGGTGATTACGCTGGTGAGGGCGCTGTTTGTGCTGGGGGTTGGGTTTGGGGCGCCGAGGGAGGAGGGGGAGGAGGCAAGGAAGGGAACGTAAGGTGGATGAGAGGACTTGGGAAACTGTAAAACGAACAAAAAAGGAATAAAAAAAAGTTGAACTGCTTGACGATGCCGTTCATTTACAGGATCGCTTCTTGATATATTGCCAGTTGAGTGGTGGCAAGGATGGCCAAAGACACTTTGACATGATGTGGACGGCATCATATCCATGAGCTATCGGACTTACACCCATCCATAACCAACTTGAGCCGGCTCACAACAGACCCGCCAGAGAACCGTACTCCAAATGCGGACACCACAGCCCAGGGCTATGTTCGATATGACTACAGTGACAAGTAGAATAGAGGTGTCAAGCGAGTACTTTACACTATCAAGTATCTTATCCTTCCTAGGCCCTGGATATCTGTTTTTGTTCATTGTACACCGCATCAATCACCTAAGCAGTTCAAGGAGCCGAGGCCAGCTCAACTCCTCACCACACTTTCAGCCCGCCTACCTTCGTGGCTTACTCCATGTGCATGTCCATCGCCTCGGGCATCATCTTCTCGTCCATGCCGTGCGTCTGGCTCATCTTGTCGTTGGGCATGTGCATGGGCATGGGGGTGTGCTTGTCCGCCATGCCACCCTCCATGTCCATCGCGTCAGACGACGCCTTCTCATCGGGCTTCATATCGCGGGTCTCATGCATCGCCTCGCTGTCCATGGCCTTCCCTTCAGGCATGGCATCCTTTCCACCCTCCGTCATCATCATCTTGCCATCCTTGGACATGTCTCTCCTCTCCATCTTACTCTTCTCCTCCTTCTGCTCGTCACCCTTTTGCATGTTCTGCCCCTGCGCCATCTTCTCGCTAATGGCCTCGCGAATCTCCGCCATCTTCTCGCTCCGCTCGTCCTCCGCCGTGACGGTCGAGTTGCTGTTGTTGCTGGCCACCGCCCTGCTCGCCATGCCGCTGCCGCTGCTGTTGGACGGCTTCACGCTCGTGCCGTCCCCCGCGTCCATCAGGTCCCGGACGTAGCTGGCGAAGCGCTCCAGCATGCCGATCTCGCGCTTGCTGAGCGGCTTCTTGGACGACGGGGCGGTCAGCATGACTCGGGGTAGGGCTTCTGCAGCGGCTGCCGACGAGGCCATCTTGTCGTCAGGGGTGGTGGGCGTGCTGGCCTGCTTCTCCTGTTGTTGGGTGGTGGAGGAGGTGGAGGAGGAGGAATTGGAAGGGGAAGAAGGCTTCGACTTGGCGCCGTGAGAGTCGGACATGGAGGCCATCTGGTGCGCGATGTCGTGGTTGCCCGTCATCTTGTTTTCCGCGTCCGAGTGCTCGATGCGCTTCTCCAGGATGGGGGCATCGTCGGCGTCTTCAGGCATGTCGCTGTCCATGCCCTGTGGAAAGTCCATGCGCTTGTCCATGTCGTTCTGCTCCTGCTCGCCCATCATATCGGTCATGGGCTTCGAAGTTTCCGTTTCGGGGTTCATGTCCGCATCCATGTTTGACTCATCCATCATAACCATGTCACCACCGTCGCGTCGCTCCTCCTTCTTGCAGTCACACTGCTCATCAGAAGCGTCTTGCAAAGCCTTAGTCTCCAGTGTCGGAGCGCCAGACATCATCTCCTTGTGCACATGCGGCGCCTCAGCAGCCATCTTGCCCACCATGCCGTTCGCATACTGCTCCTTGGCGTCGTGGCCCTTCTGCTGCTGCGGGTTCGCCACTCCGGCCGGATCCGCCGTCGAGTTGTACGGCTGCACCTGCAACGTGGTCGCGTTGCTGTTCGGCGTCGTCTCCTTGAACGTGCCGCCGGCTGGCTTACCCTCACTTGCTGACGTCGTCGTGGTGTTTCCAGCTGGTGCCGTCGCGTTGAGGCCCGGGCCGGCCTTCATGTGGTTCACGAGCGCGTTGAGCATCGCGGCGTCTTGCTTCTCCGTCTGGTACTTGTCCTCCTGGTCGCTCGGCGCCTGGGTGGCCTGCCTCATCGGCCAGGCGAGCGCCGTGCTGGCCAGGCAGGCGGCTAGGAGCGTGGACGTGCAGACCTTCATCTTGCTTCGGGGTTTTTGTTGTTGTTATCGTCGTTGGATGAGTTGTCAAAAATAAGAAATATGGGATATAATCGAACCAGCGATAGATAGGATAGGAGGTGATGAGGACTATCAAAGTCCCGCTTGGGCAGTCTTGGCTTGCGGTTCAACGACCATCTCGATGGCCTCCGCCCGTCCGCCCCCCTGCCCGCTCTTCTTTATACTCATCATCTGGTAATAGTCCGCCTGGCCGGCATGGCAGGTTCGAGGGCCTCGCGAAGGGCTGAGGCGACGGCGCGGCGAGGTGTCTTGAGAAAGGAGGCTAAGATCGACGTTGTCCATTCTTGTCCCAAGACATTCTCCAACAGACCGCCGCTGACACGACCACTGGGAAGAGCCAACCACCGGGCGTTGGAATTCTGCGAGCGACACTAGGGAGAGCCTATGCCCTCTCGCATGGTGGCAGTCGAGAGAACCTCAAGCATCACACGTCATAAAGGCGAGCGAGGAGACGCCTGCTTCAAAGGCAACCCCCCATCGCCTTCCATACCTCGGAGCGGCTACCACCCACCAGTCTTCCGTTCACGGAAACAAGGGGCACCGCTGGCGCTTCACCGTCACAAATCATCAGGTTGGTTGCTTGATTTGTAGAGATTTTCTCCATTCATTCCGTACATGACCCCATCGCGGTGGCCTCGCTGCCGATCCCGCAACTCTGACCACTATCGCTACAGCAGTCGAGGCGCTCTGCGATGGCGTGCCCATCACGCCCCTTTGCTCTCTGGCCCTGTCTTTCATCGTGGATGCCCCCGGGTCATCGAGATCGTTGACTGCAAAGGTGAGGGCGACACCAAGGGCCATTCCAGGGGCTCCTCGTCAAGCCCTACGACGCGATCCAGCGAATCGTCACGTCGCGCCACTGTCCACGTGAACGCGCTTGGCCTCTCTTTGGCCCGGCTGCCCGCCTTCTGGACCGCGCTTCTTCTCCTTTTCGCGTGACGCATCTTTAGCAGCCCGTCTCGCCTCGCGCTCGCGGCGCTCGTTTTCCTTCCGCAAAGCCTTGGACTCGAATTCATGCCAGTCGCCGTCGATGCTCGCCAACCTGGTTTGTAAGCGTTAGTGCCACCGATCAACAAAGACCCAATGGATCATACTCACTCGATTGCCTGCCGCGGTAGCGGTTCCTCCGTTGTGAAATAGGCATGCTGCAGAGCCTCTGCGGCCGTGGGACGCTTCGCAGGATCGTACTGGAACATCGACGAGAGCAGATCGAAAGCCGCCGGCGTCAGCTTGTCTCGGTAGTTGTCGGCAAAAACGTTCTTCCGCTTCGCTGTTGGCCGCAACAGCTCAAACCATGCCATGTCGACCAGGCCGGGCCACTCCTGACGGTTTGGAGTTCCAAGGATGGTATATATCTTCTCCAATTGGCTGAGTTCCGTGCCATCCCCGGCAAAGATGGCACGCCGCGTAAAGATCTCGACCATGACGCACGCCGCGCTCCAGACGTCGACCGCGGCGGTGTACTGCGTCTCCCCCAAGAGAAGCTCTGGCGATCGGTACCAGATCGTGATGACTCGGTTTGTGTAGTCCAGCTGATGGCGCTTCGCGTAGAAGCGAGCGAGCCCAAAGTCGGCGAGCTTCAGAATCCCCTCGTTGCTGACGAGGATGTTGGCGGCCTTGATGTCTCGATGGAGCACGCCCCTCGTGTGGAGGTAGTCAAGCCCCTCGAACAACTGCTTCGCGAGGTGCTTTCTCTGCGCGGGGTCCAGCTTGAAGGTTGGGTGGTTGAGTAGGCCCGTCAGGTCGTGCGAAAGGTACTCGAACACCATGAAGCAATCGTTCTTCTCCACCATGACCTCCTGGAGATTCACGATATTGGTGTGTCTCAGGGACTGCAGCAGCTTGATCTCTCGAACCGCAGTCACCGGGAAGCCGTCTCTTTCGCCCTCCATCCGAATCCTCTTGAGTGCCACGAGGCCTTTGGTGTAGACGTTCAGGCCCTTAAACACTTTCCCGTATGTGCCTGAGCCGACCACAGACTCGTTGCCAGGTTTCCGGTAGAAGACCGACTCAGACGCGGCCAGGTCTGGCTCCAAGATTGGTCGTGGCTTGGCGGTGCGTACAAGCTTCTTGACTTTGCGCATTCGCGGAGCTGATCTTGGGCCATTTGGCACATCGCGCATATCGCGCAGGTCAGGCCGGGCCCGGGCGGATGCCGGTTCGGTCGGCGCGCCTCGGGGCGGCTCTCGAAAACGGCCACGATCCCTCTCGCGAGGGGGTTCCCGTTCCCGCTCCCGTTCTCGCTCCCACGCTCGGTCACGCTCACGTTCCCGTTCTCGTTCATGTTCGCGATCGCGGTCGCGGGCACGCTCACGATCTCGTTCTCTGTCTCTCTCGCGGTCGTCGCCACGACTGTCCCTTGGCCCTGGCTCCGGTTCATTCTTCTGCGGCACAGCATTGAACTTCTGCGATATTTCCGGTTTCGGGGCCATGGGTGTCGGTTTCGACGACGGCTTGAAAGAGAAGCTGAATTTCCCGGATGGGCCTGCGGATTGTGGCGATGCAGAACTGAGTCCCGTCTGTCTCGACGGGGGCGCCGAGACGTCCTTCTCTTTCTTCAAGTCCTCGGCCTCTTTTGGGGCGTCACCAGTCTGACGCCCAGCACCCGCCGTGGCGGCGTTCCGGTCACTCCCAACGTGCGTCTCGGAAGCTGTACTCGGCCGTCGACTGCTGCCATCATCCGGTCCATGACCCGGCTGCCCCGAGTTCCATTGTGGGTTCGGAGGCCCAGAGCCCCGTAATCCTCCACGGGGAGTGGCGAAAGAGCCTCCCCTGAAGGAACCGCCACGATGGCCGCCGCGATATCCTCCTTGAGAATATGGCTGTGTCGGACCAGTAGGTGCCGAGATTGGGGGTGACTGTTGGCGATGAGGGTGGTAGTGTTCGGATGGACCACTTGGCGGACCGTGATTTGCATGGCCATGAGGCGGTTGGGGCGGGTGGTGGCTGTAAAAGTCAGTATATCTCTGAGATTTAGCAGGCTTATGCCTGCGATCAGCTCGGCCTGTCACGTACTGTGGAGGAGAGTGTTGGCCAGCCCAACCTCCTCGATGAGAGCCGTATGGTGACGTTGTCGGAGAGTTTTGGTATGAGTGGCGAGGAGACTGTGAGTACCGCGGAGGGTCGCCGTAGTGACCTTTCTGTGCGTACGCTGGGTGCCCGCCACGGTAGCTGCTGCGCGATGCCATCTCTTCGTCGACTTCCGATTGAGATGATCGAGGGCGTTCGGCTGAGCCTTGCCGGTGTCTCCGCTCAGCAGGTGGCCCTGGTAATCGAGGGTGGCCGTGCCGGGACGACGGCCGGCGGTCACGGTCTTCGGAAAGTTCTCTCCCAGCCCTTGATCGTACAGGCTCTACGGGAGCGTCAGAGCGTGCAGCCGTGGTCCGAGAGCGAGACGAATCACGGCGGCGATCAATTTTTGGCGTTGGGCTCCGCGAGTGATGCGTCCGTGGGGGAGGGGGTGGCGGCAGGTCAGGTCTCGGTCGCCGCGGTTCTCGTGATTCCCTGGACGCCACCCTCCGCGGTATCAGGTCGTGTCGGGAGGGGGATTTGGACCTGGATCGTCGTCGGGAGCGGGAATGGGTATCGTGCGATCGCGAGGGGGATCTCTGAGAATGGCTGTGACGATGATGGGATGATTCGTGTCGGTCGTGAGGGGAGTGTCGCCGCCGCTTTCTCGAATCAGACTCTCTCGAGCGGTCCCGGTCGCGTCGAGACGGACTGTGGTCCTTTCTTGACCTCTTGCGGTGATGATGGCTGGGAGACCGGCTGCTGTCTCTGTGCCTTTTGGCGCCAGGAGAGACGCGTTCACGGCTGCGGCTCCGTCGAGACGACCTGTCTTCGTGGTCGGCGTGACGCGCCTTGCTGGCCCGATAGCGTGGGATGAGATCCTCCACCTCGGACGGTCGGCGCGCAGACTCGGAAGGGCGGTGCCTGGCTCGTTCGCGGCTGCGATCTCGCGAGCGACGTCTGTCGTGTGCGGAGTGTTCGCCCCTCGAGTGACGGCGATGGCTGCTGGCGTCCGGGCTGCGACGGGACTCCCTGGACGGAGACCCTGGTCGGTCCGAGGACTTTGCTCCTCTGCCAGAGCGCGCCCGGTGTCCGTGGTGGTCGGTTCTCTCGGCGTCTGTCATGGCAGCATGTCGACGGCGACGTGGAGACTCTGGCAGATGGCTCACGGCGGCGGCTCCAGGATCCCCCAAGTAGAGTTTTAGTGCCGTTTGGGTAAATGGCCGCACCTTAGCCGAAGCGGCAGGGGGCGGATGGGGGAGGCCGCTCCGCTCTGGAGCACCACCTGCACCCGCCAGCACCAGCCGACACCTGCGACCACCGCCCGCGTCGGCCCTAAAAAACGCGCCGCACCCGCTGTCCGGCGAAGACGTCCGGCCAACCGGCAACCAGATAAAAAGAAACGCCGTGAAAGACGATGCTGTGCTAGCGATGCCTATTGGCTGTCAGCTTCAATCGAGCAGGTCTGAAAATGTCGTCGCCCATGCCGAAAGCAAAGCGGGGAGCGTCGGTGCTCGGTGGCATCGCCTGAGCAGCACCTCAGGCTGGGCTGGCTCTCTGCAGAGACGTGTAGCGCGTTTGGACGCTGGCTGCAGAGTGACTCAGCCCCACGGACGACAGTTTGTCGTGTCCACCATCAATCCTCTCGCCGCCATCCCCTGCGCACTTGCACCCGCGCCGGTGTCTTCTCCGACACCTCGCAAATGTTTCCCTCTCCTTCAGGTGCTGGCGCTGGGCAGCAGCTTCTGTTTTGCCGGCCGTTGCCACCAGGAAATCATCGGCCAAAAAAGCCCGTCGTGCATCATCCAACCCAGCGTTTCCAGCAAGCGCCCCCAACTGCACGTTCGATGAGCATGAAAGCACTACATACGGATCCTCTCGGATCTATTACGAAGATTCCTCCGTGATCTTTGCCCCTGCTGAGACCGGTTCGAGGTCAATCCAGAAACGGACTGCGGGCGCGCTGAACTGAACATTCGTGAAGCATCAAGGGCCAGAAAGCGGTGCTCTGTTGCCAGCACGCGTCGGAGCAAGACTCGAATGCCAAACTCATGCGTTGCGAGAGCGAAAAGGCCAGAGTGACCGCCGCACCGGCGGGAGGTCTTGCTTTGCCTGTTGTGGAACTTGCATGGCTTGTCCCATTTTGTCGAATGTCCTGCAAGGAGACGGGTCCCAAAAGCCATGGCGTGCTGGGCCGAGGCGGGCGGTTCAAGCGGTCTTGGTTGTCATGTATCAGACTTGCCGAGCGAAAGGGATATCACAATATCGACGAGTGGCACGCTGTATCCAGTGGAGCGAGTGGCCGGATTTGCCGGAATAGCCATGGTATCGGGCTCGACAGCGAGCGTCTGTCCAAACATGACAAAATGGCCTTCTCTAAAGAAGGCGACAGTCTGGCCTCCGGGCTGAGAAAACATGCCCGCGTAGGAGTGGCAGCTTCGCATAGGCATGGTTGAGCTGCCTCGCTGCCCACTCTGGCGACTAGGCTGGACGCGCAAATTGCCGCAGGAGGCGACACGGTCGCTCGACGTTGGGCTCAAATGCCACTGGCGACTCGGGCGGGCTCCCCTTCGATTGCATCCGCTGGATCGATCGCGGGAGATGGTGGCCCCAGATGCCGGGGGCACGGAGCAGCACAGGTGTGGTAGTTATCCCAGCGAGGCGTCCGCCTCGCCGCGGCTGTCCGGGGTTCAGCCCTTTGCCATCGCAGCCCAGGACGGCCGTCGCGTGCGGACCACTGTTCGAGTCGAAGCCATCGCTTAACGCTTAGTATCGTATGGGCAAGGGTGCTCGGTTGTAGGGGCGGTGGTGGTGGATATGCTGCCCTGAAGGGAGCGGTATGGCATTGGCACAGTGAGTGATGGGAAAGTCGTGCGGCAGACAAAGCAGTCCTGGCCGCTGGTCATGTGGAAGCAAGTCACGTGAGTCGACGTGGCCAGTTTCCTGTGTCGCTTGTCGGAGCCACAGGCGCCGGTTTCCCGACAAGCCCCGCCACGCGTGCACGCGTGCACGCCGCCAGCATGCCAATCTCCCGTGCCTCGGCACTTGCCGTCTTCGCAGGGCGGTGCTCAGTGGAGTCGGGGCGCCGCAACGGGCACACGGTCCACTGAAACGAACGCTGAAGTCGGACATCGGGCTTCTGTGAATGCCCCGACGCAGGCGCTGGATTGTTTCTCGGTGTGTGGTCCAAGGTTGACGTCGAGTTTACGGCGATTCCGGCCGGGCCTTTCGACTGCTTTTGGCTATAGACGCCGGGGCTCTTCACGCTTGGTTTCGCACGTTATACCTTGCTTGCCCAAGTGCCGGTGTCTCAGTTCTCCGCCGCCTTGTGCAACCTCGATACCCTTTCTATTTACCTGCGCCTGTCGTTCTCGGGCGTCTGTTTCTTTGCGTCGGAACCCTTTGTGAGATTTCTGTGGCTCGAAAGGGTTACATCTTGATCCTTCTCAGTTTCTGGCGGTGTTCGCACACCTACTTCGTTCCAAAGAGCCTCGCCGCTTTGGTCTACAGCCATCGTCATAGACTCGCTACCAACTCACCAGCAGCATCACCATCGCCACCACCCTCAAAATGGAGTGGTTTGGACGAGCCAAAATCAACTTCACTCACGCGCCGTCGCCGCGGCCGGTTCGCCAGAAGGACGGCACCGAGACGGACCTCCTCAAGATCTGCGAATCGACGACGCCGCCATGCCATCTCAACCCGCTGCTCTTCAACGGCCACCTGCAGACCATGTGGACGGCGACCAAGCCCCACGGCCCGCAGGTCTACTACCGCCGCAAGGTCTTCGAGGCCGATCACAAGACTTACAAGGGGACCTTTGCCGTAGACTTTGCCGTCGAGCCGTTTGAGGAGACGGATGAGACGTTGCCGCGGAGGACTGTCTACTTTACCGACGAGCAGTTCAAGAGCATGCCCTCGGACGACAGCAAGCCTATGCTCGTGATTTTGCACGGACTCTCAGGCGGCTCTCACGAGGTCTACCTGCGGCATGTAATTGCCCCCTTGATAGGCGAGGGCGGCTGGGAGGTCTGTGTCGTCAACTCGCGCGGCTGCGCCCGCAGCAAGATCTCCAGCGGCGTGCTTTACAACGCCCGCGCCACCTGGGATGTGCGCCAGACGATCAACTGGCTGCACGAGAAGTTTCCCAATCGCCCGTTATTTGGCATGGGGTTCTCTCTCGGTGCCAATATGCTCACCAACGTAAGTCCGGCACCGCCCGACCCTATTAATAGTCGCTTACACCTCTCCAGTACTGCGGCGAAGAGGGCGCAAATTGCCTACTGAAGGCTGCCGTCGTCGTTTCGAACCCCTTCAACCTTGAAATCTCCAGCAAGATGCTGCAGAATAACTTCGTCGGCAGGGAAATCTACCTCCGCGTCATGGGCAGTAAGGAATTGACCATTGTACCTGTAAATTCTCACATTGCTGACCCCGGACAGCCGCCATGAAGCAGCTCATTTCAGGACACAAGACGGAGATTGAGACCTTTACCGACTTAGATCTTGCGGCTGTGGAGAAAGTCACCTATCTTCACGAGTTTGATCGCGAAGTCCAGTATGTCGTCTCCCCATGTGTCCATCACTGCGAGCGAAGGTGACTGACCAAGGCCTTACTTAGATGCCCAACTTGGGGGTATCCCACCGAGTACGCTTACTATCGTGACGCCTCCTCGACGGACGCGGTCCTTGGAATTCGCATCCCATTTATAGCCCTCAATGCCACCGACGATCCGGTACGTGAGACACCATCCGAGAGCTTATCGCCGTGCTGACACACCGCAGATCGCGGTCAACGAAGCGCTTCCGTACGAAGAATTCCGTCAGAATCCCAGTACCATCCTCATCACCACTTCCCTCGGCGGCCATCTCTGCTGGTTCGAGAATGGTGGCAGCAGGTGGCATCCTCGTCCTGTATGTCTGCAGCTCAAGATACCGAGAGAAGACCCGTAGCTAACATTCCCGGTCGCAGATTGGCAACTTCCTCAACCACATGGCTTTCAACGTAGACCTTGACAGCGTCAAACCTCTTCAGGATGCGCGGACAACAGACAAGGCATCTCGAGGTGCCGACTACGACCCGATGCGCCGCAAGTTGGCCATCGTGCAAGACTAGACGAGATACCAGGAGATTGATGCAGACGGTCGCATAGATTAGTAGAGTAGACATATTACGTACAGCGAGTAATTTAAAGACGTATTGCGAAAAACTTTGTATACAAAGCTGTGAACAATCCGAGCACAAGATATGGATTGGTGGTTGAGACTTTTGCATTGATTGAAGACTTATATAACTGGTCTCGTAAATTTGTTCCCTCAAGGACAACCTCCCACCCATGGTATGCTAAACTCCGAGCGCCATACTATGCCGAACAAAACGCCAGTTGAGATCCACACGAGTTCCCCTTGACTCAAGCGAATGCGACCTTCTTCTTGGGCTTGGAAGCCTTGGAGCCAGAAGACGTCAGGCTCTTGATGGACTCGTCGCCGTCGTCTTTGGCCGTGTTGCGCTTCCGCTTCTTGCGCAGCAACTGCTTCGCATCCTCAAGCTTCGAGTTCTTCTCAGTTTCCCTCTTCTCGGCCTCGGCCTTGCGCGCCTCGCGGATCTCCTCCATCTGCCGCGCCTTGATCATCTTGGACTCGATCTGCCCGTCCTTTTCCGCCTGCACCATGGCGAGGATCGTGCTCATGCTCTCCTGTAGGCATTGCGTTAGCATGTTTGCGTCTCAATGAATTCTCCTGGGGTCGGAGAGGAGAGGTTCGAGGTTTGCGCATACCGTGTCGTCGACAAAGACCTTGCCCTTCTTCTTGCCCTTGGGCTTGACGACGCCGACGGGCGTCACCATGTTGAGCGTGGGGATGTTGAGCTCGGCCTCGGTGTATGTCTTCTTCTTGGGCTTCTTCTGCAGCAGGGCGCGGTTCTTCTCCTTGAGCTGCTGCGCCTGGGGCGGGCCGCTCTTGGGCTTGCCGGACCTGGGCTTGGAGACGCCGTCGGTGGCGGATCGCTTCGCGCCTCCCTTGCCGCCGCCGCCGCCGGCACCCGCCTTGGCGGCAGAGTGCTTGTTCTTGACTGTCCGGGTTCTCGTGGGCGCCATTGCGAGCGAGGTTGCGACAATGGACTGGTGGGATTGTTGTCGTTCGGTCGCTGGCGACTCGAGATTCAACGGTGGTGGACGCTGAAGGGCCCGGGAAATTTTTTTGGAGCGATAAGGCGGGCGAGGGGCGATAAGGCGGGAGCCGTTCGCTAGGGTGGGGCATGCGGTTCACCTGCTGCCGGACACCTGGAACCACCACCTTGTTCCATGCATGTTCGATTCCGACGGCCAACTTCACGGGCGCATTCCTTGTCGCGTCGTTGGAAACATTTCTTGCGCTTCGTGAAGGACCCTCTGGCCTGAATTGTTGACGCCACGGGCCATGACAGTATTGTGTGTGCCCGCCCGTCGCACGACGGAGTCTGGCAGATCGATACGTGGCCAGGCGACAATGGTTGAAGAGGGATCTCAAAATACTGATCTGTCTGTGCTATAAGTATCCAGGTGATTCATTCGTGTGCCCGGACGACAATTCGACACCGCTTTCGACCGAAACAACACACTGCGGCCGCGTCTTGCGCCAGGTCAAGGGATCGCCGACCAATCTCGCTATTGTCATTCTCGTGGGCAAAGTCCCTTGCATCGCGACCAATCACTTTGACCATCAGGGGAACGGCTTCAGACAACTCGGGTCTCACGGCGTGTTGGCCGCGCAGCTGGCAAGTCTGGGTACGTAATGGCCTGCTCTCTGGCGGCCCCAGATTGCGGGGAGACAGGGCTTGCCAGAGGGGGAGGGTTAATGCCATGCGCCGTCGCAGACGTTGGTCAGCCAGGCCGCAGAAGGGGAAAGGGCTTGAAAGCAGTCGCCACGGTTGGTGTTCAAGCTGCTCTGACGCGACAGACGTGCAAATCCCGGGGCCATGACCCGAGCGGGCAAGGTGAGATGCGGTCAACCCAACAGAGCATGGCGTCGAACTGGCGGCGCGTGGCACACCGTGGAGGCATCATCCGTTTGGAACTTTCAGGAGGCGGCAGCAGCCTGTTCCCTCCCTGATGAGCCCCGCGAACGCCTGGGAGGCAAAGCGCCGTTCCACCCACCCATCATGATGCCCTCGCCTGGGTGGCAGGCGTTTGCGGTGGCTGGACTTGGCCAAGCGGGCTTGGCCTGGTGCCATGGAGTGGCACAATTGGTTCCGAACCGGACTCTTGGTTCGAGTAATGGTGCTCGGCAGAGCACCCAGAGCACCTCAAGGCGCGCGAGGTATCGTACTCTACGACTGCGGCTGCTAGCAGCTGACGCAGGTCCTGGTACAGTTACGCAGGGTGTTGTGACGTTTCGCACTGCGTACAAGCGACCGACACTCCATCATCAATCAGTCGCTGCTTGTTGCGGTCCTCACAGGCACTTCTGGAGGTCAATGGTCATTACGTCAAGTGAATGTGTCTGGTGCCAGAGCTACAGTAGGGGTAGAATTGTGGGGCTGCTGACTTTGTAGGTACCTTCCAAGGTGCCTCCAGCGGCTGGAAGCCACCGCCCTCACCTCAGTTGATGCCGGTGCACTGTCCGCGCCTGCGCTGCAACTGCCCGCCCGTGGGCACCCAACTAGGTGCAGGCTGCCCACCTAGGTGTTGAGATGAGCCACCCGGCCAGGCAGGCCCCCGCACCGCGCGACCCGACCTCCCTGGGGCTGCTGCACCGGCAGGCGCCAGTGGATGGAGGGCATGCCAACCTGAACGGTAACGGTACCTAGCAAATCCATGGATGTATAGTCCACCCTAACCCGCCGCCCAAGGGTACCTACGGTCTGCGCCTGACATGTTCCCACCCAGACCATTGGTAGCCCCCCGAAAGGTCGCCTGTCCACTTGCTCCATCCAAATACGGCGCCTCACAACTTCGCGCAGAATTTCTTCTCAACCTCCTCGAACAACCCCCCATCGATCCACAAACAACAACGTTCTACATTCCGCTTCCTCACAAACACACATCACCCACTTCTACCTGGTACTGCTACCCTTTATCTCTATCGCCTCTTTAGCTTACCCGCAAATCTACCTCTTCCTACGCTTCCGACCAAGCGCCGCCCTCGCCGCAAGCGCCGCCGCCGCCGCCGCCCGCCCTCGCCTCCCGCTCCTCCAACTGCATAAACCAGAGAGCATCACGCGCATCTTCTCTCAAGCCCCTGGCGACGTCCAAGCCACCCGACCACCGTCTTCCCGCCTCGCCCTACCGCCGCCATCTACGACCCGTCCTCGTCGCTCCCTTCCACTTGGCCCTCGCCAACCCCCTTCGAGGTGCCCGTTGCCCGTCGTCAAGCCCGTTCGTTAGAGAAGAGGCGATCGCAAGCCAGTCTTAATGGATAACAATCTATGGACCCGTCGCACAAAGTAATTCCCCCCGTGCGACCCACGCCCGGCCTGCCTCTGCGCAGCAGCTAATGTCGTTCCCCTGCAGCTCCGGCAAGCTTTCCCTCTCGACCTCATCGAATGGGCCCAACGGCTCCTCCGCTGGTGATTCGTCCCGTGCCGCTCCCTTCTCCCGCCGCCATGGCGGTGACACGTCGTCGCACGGCGGCAAAGCCAGCCCCTTCAACACGCCGGGGGCGGGCTTGACATCCCCCACAGGCGGCGCCTCGAGCGCCTTTGGCCTTGGCTCTGGCGCATTCGCATCGTTTGGGTCTGCCAAAACGCCCAAGACGGCCGGCAATCCCTTCGACAGCGCCATGGGATCGGCCGTTGCCAAGTCCAGCGTCACCAAGGACGGCCCCAGACCAGTCGGCAGGGCGCCCAGCATGGCCGCCATCTCCGAGACCAAGGCATCCGCCCCTGCGAGAGCCGCCGAGGTCCACCCGCTGAAAGACGCGTGGTCCTTTTGGTACCGTCCTCCGATCTCCAAGGCGCACGGCTTCATCGAGTACGAGAACACGCTCCACGGAATCGCGTCCGTCAAGACGGCGGAGGAGTTCTGGCAGGTTTACAGGCACCTCAAGCGGCCCTCTGCCCTACCCGTGGTGTCCGACTACCACCTTTTCAAGAAGGATATACGGCCCGTCTGGGAGGACGAGGTCAACCGCAAGGGAGGCAAGTGGGTCGTGCGCATGAAGAAGGGCGTGGCGGACCGCTACTGGGAGGACCTGCTTCTGGCTCTCATCGGCGACCAGTTTGGCGATGCGTCCGAGGACGTCTGCGGCGCCGTCCTGAGCATGCGGAATGGTGAGGACATCCTCAGCATCTGGACTCGAACGGACGGCGGCCGTGTCCTCAAGATTCGGTAAGTTCCTTCTCCTCACTCTCCGGGGTGGTGCCCCGTGCTGATTGTGGCGAAGCGAAATCATGAAGCACGTGCTCAACTTCCCACAAAACACCCGAGTCGAGTTCAAGAGCCATGATTCCAGTATTCAGCAGCGAACCGCCATCGACGAGCAACGCCGCGAGAAGGCTAGCCAGACCCAGACCGAGAAGCGCCAGTCCTCTGGTGGTCAGAGGATCCCTCTCGAATAGAAGCACCGACGATTGTGGCGCACTCTCATGGAGGGCTATGCGCACAACGTACTCAAGGCCGCGGAAATTAAGGCCATGGAAGGATAACTTTGTTGTACACTATATAGCCGGGAGCAGTCGGGTCGACTGTGGCGGGGGAGGGCTCGCCATGGGCCAGATCTGCTCTTGTTGATTTGGTTTTCCCTCGCTTTCAACCCCTCGACCCTTGGACGGGTACGGAGGGGAGGGGAAGGATTGGCCACGACGGGGAGGTGATTCCTTGTGCCGCCCTACCTGGAAACGGAGGGTAGCTCGAGCGGCGGGTGGATGTAACGTGCAAATGTATGTACCATAGCTTATGAGTTGGTTTGCCTTCGGGCGCGCAGCGGGCGGATGAGGAAGAAGCGCTTTGCTGTTGCGTTACTGGAGTAGCGAATTCAAGAGGCTTTACGGTCTTGGAATCATGGTCGTGCTAGCTGCGTGACTGCCATGACCTTGGTCGTTCTCGACAGCAACCACAGCAACATTTGGCGGCATCATGACCTATTTTCTCTAGTTGACACGGCGAGATGCCTGTTAGCGTCAAGACAGGCCGCTCCCGCGCCGAGTCTCTACAGCAAAATTAGGGGGCGCCGGCTGGTCGCATGGCTAGTTATGGCTCCGAACAGTAGGCGGGCTGTGCAACTAACCATTTGCACCTTTGCAAATTAACCCTTTACCAGTACTCCGTAATTCGTACATATTCTACAACCACGGGATACACCTCTCGCTGGGGTTGGCTACCCAGGTTGGCTCTGTCGCGGGAGTCTTTTTTCATTACGGTCTATGCCTTCTCCTTGCCCTTGCCCTTGGGCTCTCTCCTCCGTTCCCAGATCTGCAGATACGTCTCGCCCAGGTACAGCAGCTCGCTCTGCACCTTGTCGACGTAGAGGTCCTGGCAGATGACCCACTGGCCCGTAGCTTTGTCCTTGACCTGGACCTTCCACGTCTTGCGCTCCTCGCCCGTGTCGGCCACGTCCTCCCTATTGCGGACGGCCTCGTGGACGACGTTTGCGACGAGGTCGTACCAGATGGGCTCGCTGGGGGGCCACTCGGCGGGGTTGGGCTCGACGTAGGGCGACATGTCGAGGTTGCGGGCGTCGAAGGTGACGATGGTGGGGTTGCGCTCCGAGACGAACTTGTTTTGCGAGAAGCGCTTGACGTGGAGCATCAGGTAGGGCGGTAAGGGGTGGAGGAGGCGGTAGCGCTTGCGCTGGGCGTGGTGTTCCTGCGCGCGCTGGCCGTCGTACTTGCCGAGGACCGTCGTCAGCGGTACCTGGGGGATGATGTTCTTCTCGAGCTCGTCCTGGAAAAGGGGCGCCGAGGGGAGGTCCAGCGTGAGGAGGAGGAAGCGCACTATGTCCACCTTTACGTCGGCAGCCTCCTCGAAGCGCAGCTTGTCGCCGGCGTCGGCGCGGGCGGTGATGGCCTGGGACTCGACCTTCATCTTGCCCTGGAACGTGCGCTGGACCATGGAGCTGCCGGGCTTGGTCTTGGAGCCGCCGAGCCCGAGGTGGAGGTTGTTGAGGAACCACGAGAGGAAGTCGACGGGGTCGGACTGCGCGGTGAGGGTGAAGCGCTTGTTGGAGCGCAGGGAGATCTCCTGGAGGAGCTCGTGCGGGGAGACGTGGGCCTTGAAGGCGCGCGGGTTCCAGATCTTGCGGAAGAGGATGCTGCAGCGGCGGACGAGCTCCGTCTTGGAGGAAAAGTCCTCGAGGAGCAAGTAGTTGCGCAGGGGCGCGACGTGCGCCAGCGCCTGGACCACGACGTTGAGGTAGTCGTTCTCCTTGATGTTGTTCATGCCGACGAAGCCCGGCGTGTACTGCTTGCCCGCGAGGGTCCAGCTCTTGCGGTCGACGCGGTCCAGCTCCATCACCTCCTTGCGCGTGTACCGCGGGTCCGACACGTACTTGATGTCGTCGAGCGCCTTGCTCTTGACCTCGTAGCCCTCGGGCAGCACGTACACGCGCTGCGTCTCGAGGTTGATGTAGACATGGTGGTCCTCGTCGAGGGAGTGGAAGTAGGCGTGCGACTTGGGGCCCCGGCCCTGGAAGTACTTGCCGCAGACGAGGCACGCGTACACGTTGATGTTGGACAGCGACACGGAGCATAGCTTCTCGAAGTCAAAGTCGAGCACGTTGCGGTCGATGGTGTCGAGGTAGAGGTCGTCGTAGCCCTCGGTGGGCGCGTTCTGCCGTATCGCAGCCCGCAGCGGGTGCTCTGTGTCGTCGTCGATCAGGTCGTCGTCTCCGTCTTCGTCATCGCCGCCGCCGTCTATCCGTCCGTTCTGCGGCTCGCGGCTGTTGTCCTGCGGCTGGTCCGACTCGAGCTGCTGCGCCAGCGGCGAGTCGAGCTCCGTGGTCCGCGACTTCTTCGAGGCGGGCGACGCGACGCCCGCGAGCTCGTCCAGGGCTTCTGACGCCTGTCGCTTGGCCATGGCGACTGCGTGGGCGCGCCTCGGTTGGGTGAGTGATCGCACAGTGGTCTGGTGCTGCTGGCCGTGGGAGGGTGAAGCCTTGACGACGAGGTTGGCTTTCTCGACGCTGTTGTGGTAATGTTTGCGGCAAGGCTGAAAAGACGTAGGTCATTGTGGGGCTTGCAGGCCGCCCGCTGAAGCACCCTGTCCATCAACCCTCATGCAAGATCCAGAAGACCCCAGCCCCACGACAATGACGGACTTACAACTTGCAATTGACGCCCGCGTCCCACTCGAGCAAGTATTGTCCCTGGCAATGCACATGATCCAATTTATGATTCAACTTATACTTGATTTTACGTACATACTACCCCCCCTTCAATCGACCCAGCGTTTCATCGCCAACACCTTTTGCGCCAGAATCAAGTCCTACCCTGAACCAACCTCCAGTCTCGCAAAGGCAATGTCAACCGCACTGTTCAAGCTGGTATATATTTCAACGCCAATGGCAATTCCATATGCCTCTATGTGGGAACCAAGGATGGCTTCTCGTCGTCCATATGCCTCTTCGCGCTGCAAAATATTCCGTGCCCCCGTGCCTACCCAACCATGACTTCATCTACCTCATCCATCTCCTCCATGGCGACGTCAGCATCTCCAAGCGGAGCAAAGCTGTCCATTTCCTGCAGGGTATATTCCACCAAATAGCTCTCGTCAACCAGCTCCTCCATGCGTTTGTAGTGGCGTTCCGTATAGACCCTCAGGCCGTGGAGCACATCCTTGAGACTCTTCTGGCCGCGCGCGCCCTTGACAGACAAGTTCGAGAACTTGGAGGCGGGGTAGCTCCTAATCAGAGTCCAGAGGATCCTTTGCGCAATAGGGGCTGTTCGTGCATTGGTGTTCCAGTCCCGCAGCCTCAGAAGCAGCAGGAAAATTTGCTCGTCAGAGAGGCTTCCCAGGACGTCATCGACGGCCTTGAGCCCGCACAGGCTGCCCTTCTCAGGTGAGTTGCTCGTGACAACAGAAGTGAACAGGCTCAGGAGGCGACCAGGGTGGTTGAGCTGAAGTGCCAGAGTAATTGCTTCTCGATAGGACCCTGCAAAGATGTGATTTTGCAGCTCCTGCTCCTGCTCAATCATCTTCAGTGCAGCTTGTGAAGCAGCGGCTTGCGTCTCGGCCGTTGTGTCTTTCCAGAAGGTCACAGTCGAATCGCCACTGCCGGAGACAATAGTATTGGTGCCGGGGTGGACGGCTAGAGCCCATACTCGATCTTCATGGTTGTCGAGCGTGCACTCCGCCTCTCCTGTGTTCGCATCCCAAACCTTGACCAGTCCGTCGCCACCGGCACTTGCGAACTGGACTGGCTTCTTGGACTGCTCCTTCGATGCCGGCATGTTTAGCCAGACCACTTTGAGAACACTGTTTGTATGCCCCTCATAAGTTCGGATGCATGTGTAATCGGCCAGACTCCACAGCTTGATGCTCTTGTCGCCACTGCCCGTGAGCATAACTCCCTTGCCGGTAACTGGGCTATCGTCGCCTTGTATCGGAGGCAGCTGCGCTGGAGAGAACTGAACGGTCCAAACACCACGCTTATGACCCCTCAAGATACCTTGAACCTCGCCCTCTGCTACGGACCAGATCTTGACCGTCTTGTCTTGCGACGCACTCGCAAAAAGCTGACCAGAATGGTGCACGTTGATGGCATTGATATCCTTGTCATGGGCCTTGCGCGTGAATGCTGCGCGTGATCCCGTCTTCTGACCAGGCTGCTGCTGTTTCCGGGGAATCTCCCACTTCTTGATCGTCTGGTCCTGAGAACCCGTCAGGAGGAAGGGAGGCGGGTGGTTGAGAGGGTCGGTTCGAGCCGCGGATCCTTCCGCAGGCACTGTGCGTGGGAGAGCAACAGCACCGAGAGACTCTGCGTGTCCGGAAAACGTGGCCCAGCAAATGAACGAGTTGTTGGACGGGTCGACCTGCCAGAGCCGTGCTGTGTTGTCTTTGGCGCCAGTGGCAATCCAGTGGCCGGACCAGTCGATATCTAAAGAGATGATGATGTCCTCATGACCACGGAGTAAGGCCACGTCCTGTCCAAAGTATGGGGTCTTACTTTCGACCCAAGTTCCCTGGTCCTCAACGTCCTCTGTTTCTGAGACAGATATCAGTCGGATATCCTCGGAATTCGTGGCGAGCGCAAGCATGGACCTGTCCGGAAGCAGATATCCCAAGTCGATGATCTCGTCATGGGTTCCTGATATCCGGCGGAACGGTTCAGGGGCAGCAAGATCTGCTGACTTGGCTTTGGATGGTAGCTCGTAGAGGGCCAAAGTGTGATCGACCTGGACGCATAGGATGAAGGGCAATGCTGATCGATAAATGCCAGAGACCACAGCCTCTTCCTCGCTCTTGGCAGGCTGCTTCGGCGTGAGCTCCGCACCGGTATCCGTGTCCCAAATTCGAAGGCAGCCATTGGAGCCGGCAGAAAAGGTCAAGCGACCCTCATCGACAAAGCCAACCGTCTCGACAAGTTCCAAACACGGGACAACCTTTCGGATCTTCCAAGATTTGGCGTCCCACCAGATGATGGTCTTGTCCCTGCTTCCGCTCACAATCGCGTCCTGCTCGGGCGAATAGTCAAGCCGCTGGACGTCTGAAACGTGCGAGTCCAAATTGGCGATGCAGCTTCGCTTATTCAGATCCCACACACGGACCTTGCCATCCTGACTGCCCGAAACGAGTCTGAAGTGGGTGGTACTGGGCCTCTCAGTCTCGTCGTCGGTCTCGCGCGCGCGGCTGGCCTTCTTGCCCTTTCGAGAAACTGCGGCCTCGTTGGCACGCGAGGCAACCTCAAAGAAATGCAGCGCCGACACCAGTACGGAAGGTCCTCGGAACGTGTGTGTAACGTAGCCGCCAGCGATGTCCCACACCTTGATGGCGCCGTCCGTGCCTCCTGTCGCGAGGAGAGTGCTGGTGCGATCGACGGCCAGCACCACAACGGGAGTCGAATGGGGCTTCAAGGTTCGAATAAGCGAGGCTTCGATAGAGCTTTCGTCAGACGAGCGCTTCAATGCGAATATCCTCATAGACAAGGATCGAGAGCACACGATCAGGTGAGAACCAGACGGAGTCACTAAGAAACGGTCAGTATGCGCCCCCTCGGCCACTCAATCGGGTTACCAACGGGTAAGAGTCGAGATAAGCTCTCCGTCCTGCCACGAGTTAGTCTATGAAATTCCGCCGACAGAGGTTGCGTCTTACTCCTTCAATCTGCGCAAGATGTCTTCCATTGGCGGGGTTGGTCAGGATGGCATCCTCGCCAAAGGTCGTGGCCAGAATTTGCGCGCCATTGTCGATTGACACGGAGCCGCCGGTGAAAATTGGCCTTATGACGCGGTCGACGTCAAAAGTCGTCTTCAAGGGCTGCTTTGTCGCCATTGCCAAAGCTGCACACGGGCTGTCCAGGGCGTGCACGTTGTCTGGCAGTGGTGATGAGAGCTGGACGGGAATTTTTTTGAGTCGCGATAAGATAACGGGCGACGTTCTGCGAAGCAGTAAATGATGAGTCAGCGTGAAATCGGTTTTCGGAAACTGGGGACAACGAGGATCCACCACCATGCTTCGCCCTGGCACCTTCATGCCGGCTCCACCCAACTCACTTCATCGAAAGCCACCTGTTGTTCATCAAGCCCATCTCCTGCGGGCCGGACTGGGGTTCCCAGATATGGCTTAATTCTGTACGGTGCGCTGGTCACTCAGAATGGGTATGCAAGGGCCTCTTACGGCGCAGGCCCTGGTGAGTTCCAACTTCCAAGTCTCCTTGCAGAGCGGCGCAAGGCTTACATACCTCCTCAGGGCCGATCGCCCTACGATGAGGTGGTTCCCGGAGAGGGTGAGGAAGACCCTCGCCAGCCAACGCAGCAGTACGACTACCGCGGTCGCCCTATAAACCCAGAGACCAGGCGCATGAACCGCGACATTGTGCGATCGCATAACGAGGTCATGCAAGTCATTGGCGTTGCAGAGCCCGAGAACCCCTTCTCGGCGCCAGAGGCCGAGTCACAGCGACGTCACGGCGACTATGAGGAGGACGTTGGCCTCGCACTCGTCAGGCCCGCGATCCGCTGCGTCGAGTCATCAGGAGTCTTTGGACTCGACGGTCTGCGGCAACGGATACTGGTATGTGCTTTTCAGTGACGTTCCTGAACTCCGGCCCTGACGTGGATGAAGATCTATAGGCGTTATGCCCAAATACCTTTTCGGGAACTCTACAAAGACGCTAGGAACGACTTTTCGGTTTCGCGGGACTTGCTCGCTGGCGCGCCCACCAGTCTGCTCACCACGTTCATCGAGCGACAAGTGAGCCGACTCTGGCTGAATGACCCCGTTATGAGGCTTCCCCGACGTTGGTTAGTGCCGAGTCCGTACCAGCTCCTCGTGCTAATGGCTGACACTAAGCAGCGCGCATGAAGCTTGGTCGTACATCCGTGTCCATCTAGAGCTTTATGTCGCTTTACAGCACCTTGGCTTGACAAAGAGCCTGACCTTGCTACCTAGCCCCAAGTTTTTTGTTCCATTCACGGAAGAGTCACCGATACCGGCACCACCTCCACTGGACGACTTTACATTCCCATCGCTGCTGCGTTGGGTGGGCGGCCTCTTTATTTCCACCACACCTTTCTTGGTTTGGGTCATGGCACGGCGTATGTCGCGCGACTGGAAGCCCCAGATCTGGGGTCAGATCTATACCCGTCTACCAAGTACTGCGATGCAAGCCAAAAAGCACCGGCCCATCTCTTCGCCAACGTTGCCACCACCACCTCCGCCGCCGCCCCCTTCCTCGACGGCGCCTCAGCGCCTGAATGAGCCTGATGATGGGTGGACTCTTGTCCAAGACTCTCAAAGAGAAGAGTCGCAACCCGACCACACCACTATTTCACCCGATCAACCCCCACCAAGCCACCCAGGCCCAGTAGAAGCGGTCAGGCGGCCCAGCGTCTTCTCCGCCCGCGGCGACGATTATGCCAGCGACGAGGAGGACAACGAGGGAGTCAGTGCGACCCTCATCAGCTTCGACGTCGAAGCCACAGAGTCGACGGACGCGCCGCCTGGTCTCTGGTCCGCCGAGCTGCGACCAAGCGTGGCGTCAGATGCGAGGGCGAACGCAAACCAGCCCGCGGTCTACCTGGACACCATGCTTACAAGGCTCCCCGCGGTGGCCGGCGCCCACATGCTTACGGAAGCCCTATGCCGAGTACTCATGGTGCCGTACGAGGGAACGGCTCTGCGCCTCGTCGCACGGACGTGGAGGTTGAGGCAAGGCCTGCCCTTTTACGACATCTATGGGGTGAACATGTTGAGCGGCCTATCGTGGGTATACGCTGCCAATTTCTTTGCCAGCGAACTTCTGCACCTGGTCCTTTGCGGCGAAGTGTGGGCCGTCTTTACCATTTTGTCACAGCGGTACCACATGACGGAGGAGGAATGGAAAGATGAGGAAGAAGCCAAGGCGAACGAAGCCTGAGCCGGGGCATGTGGAACCTTGAGACGGACTCTGAATCATCCATACCCTAGCCAGCCTTGGGGCCTTACCGCACAGCTTCAACGTGCGAGTAGTTGATGCCTTGTGCCTGGTACTTAACAGCTAGAGGAGCAATAGCCTTGGCGGCGTGATACGCCCAGCTGTGCTAGACGGCAGACGAATGACATGACTAAACAGGCATAGATACCCGAATACATCACAATAAATGCTTGCCATTGTACGTTGTCATATACATTTACCAGTAAACAACCATGCCCAGCGCCTACACCATCCTGACATAGATCAGGTCCTTGTAAAATACCCACACGGTTTCTCGTGATCTGTTCTGCACTCATTGCATCATTAAGCCCCATTCCGGTAAACCTGCGCCCCCGAGTTCCTGAACATGATGGTGTCTCTCCGCTGCAAGATCATCAACGCCCTATTTAGCCCTTGCTCGCTGTAACCCTTGCCCTCCACCATCTCTCGCCGCAGCGTCGCCAGGCTGGTGCTCCAGCCTATGGGGAGGCGGCGCTTCAGTTCCACCTCGAGCCGGTTGACCTCCTCGTTGAGCTCGCGGCTACCCTGGTTGCTGCCCTGGTTTACGGCGTCCATGGTGGAGCAGAGGAATAGCCGGATGGCCTCGTCGACGTGCTCCTCCGTGGCGATGGGGGAGAGGGTCAGCTTGGCGAGGGATTCGGTGATACGGACGATGGCTTCCAGCTGACGGACTGTGATGGGGATCGAGGACCGTGTGTTGGCCTCCATCTCGGCGGCATGGACTTGTCGTCGGATGGCCACAAAGTGAGACGAGAGCTTCGTCGCAGCTTCTTCACTAAGACGAGGAGCGCATCGACTATCGGCACGTTAGCATTAGAACATTCGGTTTATGGTTGGGGAGGGACGAACGCCTTGCAATAGGTGAGATATCTCCGCATCTTGTCAACGGGAATCTCGGACTCGGCAATCTCCTCGGCTCCACGACCATCCATGTGGATGCCCATGACGTGCTTGGCTATTCTCTCATCCTTCTCCCGAGTGTGCTCGTCCTTGACGATGAAGATCATGTCGAAACGAGACAGGATGGTTGTCTGGAAGTCGATGTTCTCTCCGGGTGTCTTCATGTCGTCGTAACGACCGAAGATGGGGTTGGCCGCGGCAAGTACAGACGTTCTCGCGTTGAGGATTGTAGTGATGCCTGCCTTGGCGATGGAAATAGTCTGCTGCTCCATGGCTTCGTGAATGGCCACGCGATCCTCGTCCCGCATCTTGTCAAACTCGTCGATACAAACAACACCGCCGTCGGCAAGCACCATGGCGCCACCTTCCAGGTAAAACTCCCTGGTGGACTGGTCTCTTTGCACGGATGCTGTCAAACCCGCTGCCGAAGAACCCTTGCCGGAGGTGTAAATAGAAATGGGTGCTGCCTTCTCAACAAACTTCAGCAGCTGAGACTTGGCGGTACCGGGGTCACCGAGGAGCAGGACGTTGATGTCGCCTCTCAGCCTCATGCCGTCTGGAAGAATTTTCTTCGATCCTCCGAGTAGAAGACAAAGGATGGCCTTCTTGATATCGCGGTTACCATAGATGGACGGTGCAATGCAATCGGCCATGATGTTGTACAGGTCTGGTCTCCGGCTCATTTCCAGGAACTCCTGCTCCTCTTCCTCGGTGTATGAGGCTGCGCCCTTGGCCGTCTTGTCCATGTCGGTCTGAATACCGACCGCTCTCAAATACGGCGTTCGAATCGCCACCGCTCCGCCTGTGTTTGAGTTCTTCGATGCCTTATTCTGATAGATGGAGAAGATGCCCATGACAGTGCACCTTGAGCCGGGAACAACCCGGTTTGTCAGGTACCGGTCGGCGGAGATGAGTACGTGGCGGGGCAATTCTCCAACAGGGACTTGATCCGGTGCCTCTTGCAGCTTGATGATCTGCTGGTCGACGAACCGTGACTTTTCGTGCATGACAAAGTACGGATCCAAGGGACACTTTGGAGTATGGTCATTGGGGACACGCTTGCGCTCGCACTGCCGCGGGAGGCTGACGCCCGTGAAGCCGCCCAAGACCGGAATCGTAGATTGGTGCTGGCAATTTCGGCACTGGATGTGCAGTTCTGTTGCCTTGGAGGACATGACGGAAGCGCCAATGACAATGCCAGGAACGCGTACTAGCCTGGCAATTGTCATAGAGTCGAGATTGCGGATAGAGACATCGTCGGCGTCCGAGTGGAGGAGCAGCTGGTGGTCGGGCAGATCGACCTTGGCCTCGTGCGGGAAGACGATTCGGTGGGTGCACCTCTTGAGGGCGGATTCGAACTGGCGAAGATGATGTTAGCGCGAGTCATATCGGCTTGCGAGATGTTAGAGTCACTCACGAGGGGGATGATCTCTGCAGGCTCCGAGGCAAGCTTGTGGGCGAGCTCTTCGTTGAAGTTGATGAGATCGTTGATGTCGACATCGCAGTAGTACTTTTTCAGCAGCGCATTCTCTCGCAGTTGATCTCTGTATGCGCATTCAGTGCAAAGTCCTTCACATGGTGCTTCTTGGGTGGGATTCCTACCGGTAGACAAAGTTATTGTCGAGCCGAAAGTCAAGGATGAAGGTCTCGAGCTGCGTGCGAAGCTGCAGACGTGTGTCGCCATTATCGCCGAAGCTCGGCTCATAGACGTGAGTTGAATACACAGATTGGCGATCCATTGCGACTCGATATCTCTGCGTGCGGTTGGGTTGCGCAAAGAGACTTTGAGAGTGGCAAGTGGGATGGGATGGACAGGCTGGAGTGGTGGGAATGGAGGGGCGATTTGAAGAGACCAAGGGCAAATGACAATTTACGCGTGAGACGCGTCTGGGGAAGGGGCGGACGCGACACGCGCTTAAGTGGTTGCAGCTCCAGGGGAGCTCTAGCTTCAGTGGGCCGAGGGCGGTGCGCGGTGAGGTAAGCTGCGGTACCCATCACGTGGTGGTCCCGGAGAATCGTCGGCTGGGGCTGACGGCGTCGTGGCCCGTCGTCGTCAAAGGAGCTTGTTGCAAGCATGGATGCGCCTTGCAATGGAGCGGCATCAGAGACGATGCGCACCTATTCATGACCCTTGGGCCCTTCGACGAGAATCCTGCCCGTTGCGCCCTTTCCTCTTTACACAATCTGCCAGCGATGATACTCCGGTAGTCCCGACACCGATCCCGTCTCCCTGTTAAGTGGCCCCTCCGCTTCCCCCCAAGCGAGCTTCGAGGGGCTCCAGCTCGGAGCCTGTCGCTTGCGCCGACCATGTTTTCCTCACCCGGGGCGGGAAAGTCTTTCGACAACTTGGCCGCCCTGTCGCCCAGCGGCCGTCACGAACGACACGAGGTTCCTTTACACAGGTGGGTTGCGACGCCGTCTTGCCGCGGACCGTTGATTAGCTGACCTTGGCACCGCAGTCGGACAACGCATGGACGACCGCGATCACGACGGAGCTCTACAGCAAGCTCTGTGCACTCAATTGGGGGTATCCTGGATAGTTCCTCCAGTACCTGGGGGAGCGCAGTGCACGAGTCTGGCCAGAATGGTGTGTACCCTCCCCCGAACCCCCGTCTGTACATGTTCCTAAATGGTCTCATTAGCCATCTCGACGCTTTTGCAACCCCCCATAGTACGAACTGGCCTTCAGCCTCACACCACCCCGCCGCCCTCGAGCTCGCACAAACCCCCTACCTCCAGGGACATTCCACCCGTCGCCTTGACGAATATCGAGCTGGTCGACAACGCAGAGTTCGCTCCATACTTGACCCAAGTTGGGGCGCTGTATGAGCAACTGAGAAGGGTCAAGGAGAACGAGGATGAGGCGCATAGCGCTCGTCGCGCCTCTCGACCCGAGGAGCAGGCTGAACCCGTCTCCGAGGGCCTGTTGCGACCCACCTCCAGATCGCAAAGCAACCGGCGCGCGTCTACAGCCTCTTTGGCATCGTTGGGCTCCATCGATGCGCCGAGCCCTATGCGACGATCAAGCTCTGGCTTCATTCGCAAAACGACCCACGGCCCCCCGCCGCTTTCAACAATCCCCAACGTGTACTTTGAGGATGATTTTCACCTCGAGAACCCGCGCACGTTCGACGTAGTGAGCGAGCGCTCCGAGGTGATCCGACCGCCCAACGCCGGACAGCCGGGGAAGGGGGGCGGCAACGGCAACGCCACGGCTCCTCGAAAAGCACTCGCGACGAATGCGATCCTTCAAGAAAAGCTTTCTTGGTACATGGACACGATCGAAGTCCACCTCATCAACTCCATATCAACCGCCTCAACAACCTTCTTCACCGCTCTTGGGTCCTTGAAGGAGCTACACTCGGAAGCAGCGGACTCTGTAGGGAGGATACAAGTCCTCAGAAAAGAGTTGGAAGCACTGGATCAGGAGATTGTGACTCATGGGCTCGACATCATCCAGAAGAAGCGGCGGCAAGAAAACCTGAGACAACTTCACGATGCCGTGTGGCAATTACGGCAGATCGTGGACGGCGTTGCAAGTTGCGAGGCTCTCGTTGACGCGGGAGAGGTGGACAAGGCGCTCGCGAGCATTGACTCTTTGGAAAAGTTGATTGCTGGTGAGACGGATGGATTCCCCGACGACGGCGCCCAAGTACAGTTGCGAGACATGCGCTCTGCATCTGCCCTGCACAGCATCAACACTGACATCAACAGCCTCAGATTCCGCGTGGGTAAGGCGTACGAGGCTCAGTTCTCGAGTGTGCTGTTAGCTGATCTCCGGCGGCACGTCGAAACCGTTTCGCGCGCCGATGTCCTGTTGCGGTGGAGCAACGCTGCGTCCAGATCAAGAGGCGCCCACGCGCGGTCGCCGTCGGTGTTTCCCTCCTATCTGGGCGGAACCGACGAGCTCAAGGCGCAGCTGGCTCCGAGCATGGTCGGGCTACACCGTGCCAAACACATTGCCACGGCTGCCATGGCCTATCGAGACGCGGTGTTGCGCGATATCCGAAACCTGATTCGGCGCCCTCTCCCCAGCTCGAACGATGACGACGCGGAGTCTATCATGTCTGTCTCGACAGCGAGCGGCGGCAGGCAGAGATCAAACCAAGACAAATCTGCAGCTTTGGCCCGAAACCTGCGGGCGCTCGATGCTGAAGATGCCGAGGAACTGCTTATGACAATATACGTCGGTGTTACGGAGACCTTGAGACGACTTACGACCCAGGTGAAGGTGCTGTTGGACATTGCCAGCTCTCTCGCAGCTGAGCCTGACGGCGATGGGCTGAAATCACCACCTGTCCGTTCACCAGTCACGAGTCCTCGGCCTGACCGCCTAGGAGGCAATCCTCTAGGCGGAGCATTCGAATTGCAAGAAGAGCTTCACAAGGCACTGAATGAGACGTCGCTGCTTACCCAGGCCGTTGACGTTGCCAATGACAAGATCGTCAAGGTCCTTCGGGTCCGCGCGGAGCAGTCCACTCACCTTCCCCTCGAACTGTTCCTGCGATACTTCACTCTCAATCTTTACTTTGCCAACGAATGCGAAGCCATCTCCGGAAGAAGTGGCACGTCGTTGAAAACCGTGGTTAACGGCCACATCAAGGAGTTCGTCCAGAGGAATCGAGACGCCGAGATGCAAAAGCTCGCTCAAGGCATGGAGTCGGACCAGTGGAACGCCAAGGACTTCACGGACAAGAACACCGAGCTGCTTGATCTGATCTTAAACTCTAGCACCCAAGATGCCCCTGCTTGGACAGAGAGCACAAAGATTTGGGTGCCATACCTGGAGATCGAGGCAGCGAAGCAAGAAACTACGCTCTCAGAACCGAACGGAACAGGAAAGGACAAGACCCGACCAGCAATTATTGAAGCCGAGAAGTTCATACTTCCAAACTCGGCGATTCTTGGCCTCGAGGGCATGGGGAATTTCATGCATCTTATCGCTGGTATCCCCTCTATGACCACGGATGTGGCTTCGTCTTTGGTTGCGTACTTGCAGCTGTTCAATTCTCGCTGCACACAGCTGATTCTGGGGGCCGGCGCAAGACTATCTGCAGGACTGAAGAACATCACGACAAAGCATCTGGCACTGGCCTCACAAGCTCTGTCCTTTATCGCCACCATTATCCCTCACACACGCGAATTTGTCCGTCGACACGCGGGCTCCGGTGCTGGCGTCTCCGGTCTCATGGGAGAGTTTGACAGAGTCCGACGGCTGTTGCAGGAGCACCAGGATATCATCCATCAGAAGCTCGTCGACATTATGAGCGGCCGGGCGGCTATTCACGGCAAGAGCATGAGGGCTATCGCCTGGGACGGCTCGGCCACCGAAGGACCGCACCCGTACATGGAGACGCTCGCCAAAGAGACGACAACCTTACACAGGGTGCTGACGAAGCACCTGCCGCAGAGCTCGATCCAGATGATCATGCAGCCCGTCTTCGCCAGCTACAAGGAGCAGCTCGGGGCTGCCCTCAAAGAAGCCAGCCCCAAGACCGAGGCGGGCCAACAGAGGTAAGTCTACAGACCTCCTGACGAGAGATGGACAACTTGACGTGCCTCGGTACTGACTTTGTACTCCAGCATGCTCCGCGACATTGAGTTCTTCACAGCCAAGCTAGGGAAGCTCGACGGCTTCGGTGACGCGGGTGATCACCTCGCCGGCATCGTCAAGGCAAAGGAGGTCAAGACGGAACTCCGCGTTGAGGCGCCCAAGGACGACGCCGTGGCCGAGGAAGACTCTGGTGAGGACAAGGCCGCGGACGACTCAAAGGAGGGCGAGGCAAAGGAGGGCTCGCAAGAGGAGGAGGTAAAGGATGTAAGCGAGGGAAGCGGCACGCCAGCGGCAGAGGAGCCAGCCAAGGACGGCGACAAGCCGTGAGACATGTTTGAGTAGCGCAGACGATGGGCAGGCATCCTGTCGGAGCACCTGGACTCCGTGGCCTATTCCCACAGTGTCACTTGAGTGCCCCCGGGGCCGAGCTGGCAAACGTGGAATAGACAAGCGATGGCCATCATGACCACTCTGACATCTCGTGCGATGTTTTCTTGGTGACGATCAGAGGGATTAGATCAACGTTCCATATAACCATGGCGAGTAGGTCTGCATGCCCCCGATATCGTAGCCGGGGAGCGTTGATGACTACTACACTTTGTCTATCTAATCCGTCAGGCATGTGCCAGTCTGACATCCACACCCTCTTTACTCCTGGGCTCCCCATCCCCTGCCTCCAAGTTTGCTTCGCTCGAACCTTCCGCTGCGCCAGTACCTAGGACACTCTCGTCTTCGAACTCGGCTTCCTGTCCCAAGCCATCGACGGGAAAGACTACGTTGACAGCCCAGAACATGGCAAAGCTCCAGGCGAGGCCAACCAGGAAAGTCAAATTGTACAACCGGACCCATCCCTGATATTTCACGTCAGTGTAGCCATTGACGGTTGCTACAAGACCAGCTGTGAGTTCTTTATTAGTGCAGCTCACAAGATCCGGCGGGACACACTAACGTAGCAATGGCCAGCAGCTCATGAGAAAGACGGCAAATGCTCGCCAATTGAATCCACTTCGGAACCAGTAGATTGACGTGCGATCTCCCACGTAAAGATCATTCAACCTCAGCTTACGACGTCGAACGACCAAGTAATCAGCGAGCAGTATTCCACTGGTTCATGTTAGTCGCCAGACATGGGGCCTAAGGTTGGAGTGAAGCTTACGTCGCAGGAGCAAGGAAAACTCCGAAGCCACTGAGAACTGCAAGAAACTTCGCAGCTGTGGTAAGCAGCTGCCAAGGCCTGTCATGGGTTAGCACCGACCAGCAGCAATTGCCACAAGGAACTAACTGAATGGCGATGCCGATGATGGCCATGATATAGGCACCGCGTCTGATGTTGATGTATCGTGGCCATAGACCGGCCATGTCCATGCCGCAGGAGACAGAGTTGAGCACCACGGAGATCTGTTTCCACAAGTATTAGAACACTCTGAGATGGTAGCCATGGGGCCTAGTAGATGACGAACCGAAAACTGCGAGGCAACCAGGCCAAGAGCGGCGAAGAAAACGCCCGCCCGCACGCCCGAGCTTGACTGGTAATATTCCTGAATGGCCGCTAAGAGGAAAATGGGATTCCAGATGACTTCTCCGCCAAGAATATCCCGCGAGGCACTCGTGACGATGATACCAATGATGGCAGTGATGGCAATCGTCAAGGGGGAGGCAAGAAGCTGCGAGGGCGTGGGTGCGTGCCTAGTTTTGGCATATCGAGTCCAATCGGACTGGCCCAAGGTGCCAGCACCCCATGCGCCGAGGATTGAGGTGATGCCGAACATAAACGCCCAACCGACATTGGGAGTAGTGGAAGGCATTTGGAATAGGCTGCCGGCGCCGCCAGCTTGTGAGACACTCCTGGAGGTATGGTGAGCAAGCATACCTCAATCTCAAGCGGCAGCTACGAACCATATGAGCAAGCCGAGACAGCAGCCGCAAAAGAGAAAGAAGCAGACGACAAAAGGGATCTGCAGCTTCTCGGGCCTGATGAGAATACCAGGAATGAATGCAGCCATCCAGATAAGAAGGCCGATGAAGTCTTTGGTCTCAAGGTGGGAGCTCGCGGAGAAGTAGTTCTTCATGTGGGCAAAGCCTGTTCTGGCATCAGCACACTAAACAGCCGAAGGAGCAAAGACTTGATAATACCAGGAATGATGGCTCCAATACACACTCTGGTTGCTTGACCGCCCCAAAAAGCCTGGATGCCAAACCACATGCACGCGACGAACACGCGAAGCAAGACTGGGACTAATAAAGAGTTAGCGAAGCAGATATTGCAAGGGCTAGCAGGATCGACGTACAGTACGAGCCTCGCATACCCCAGGAGAAGCGACTAGACACGGTGAACCCAATATGATGGTTGGCCCCCATCCAGCCACAGGCAACCGCGAGGCAGCCTGTGAGGACTCCGCCGAGAATCTTAAGGTCTGTCAGCGACGCAGACTAGCGTAATGTGTGTGAACGTACGACGACCCCAATGGCCTGCTGAGGGCTAAGGCCAAAGGCAAGTAAAGTGCTGCCCGTTGACCATGCTGAAATGTTGGATCCCGAGACGGTCCAGTAACCTGGAGCAATGAGCACATGGCTCAGTACAAGGAAGCGAGCCAGGGAGATTATGACGAACCAACATAGGACCAGATGCCATATGTGCGGCGGTCGGGCGGGATGGGAATCAGATCACGGTTGCACCAGGCCGTGTTGTCGTACTTGGCGTCCTCATCCTTGGGGCTAATAAGTCTGGTCAGTCCAGTGTCCGGAGAGGCCAAGGAAAGGCCGTGTCGTTCTCATGGGGCTCTGGCATTACCACTCGAGCTTTCGCTTCACTTGAGGCCAGTCGACACCCATAATGGCGACGATGGACCTGATCGGATCGTCGTATCAAGGAATTCGGCGGCTGACTCGACGCTGATGCAGCAAGCCCGAGTACGCTGCAATGTTGCTGCAGCTCGAACACGGAAGCGGATGGTGTCGACGGCGATGACGATGGCAGCGCAGGCCGAGCGCTGCTGACAGCGTCTGGCCAGCGCCCGACCGGTTTTCATACCTGGCCGCACCACGCTCGAAGTTTGCGTCCCTGTCACAAGGCGCATGGCCAGGGGGCGCAATCGAATCGAGCGACCTGTAGGATCCTGGATCAAGGGCTGTGGGATGGTCGGGCTAATGTTCCATTGCAACGTCAAGAGCGCGGGCCCAGCGGCGCCACCCATTGATGCATGTCCACAGGGCACAGAGCGACAGGGAAGGACAAAAAGTAGTGCGAGAGGGAGTAGATCCCGCAGCACAAGACAGGGTGCGGAGCCAAGGGAGCCTTGGGAAGATGGGGAGCCACGGAGGAAAGAGGTGGGAATGTCCGGACGGCCCCGCCTTTGGCCGATCAACCAAGACGGCGCCTTCCCCAGCCTGGCCTGCCAGGGTTGAAGGATGGAGTAAGGCCCACCACTGCCTGTGCGAGCCGTCCGGCCATGTGGATTCCGGCGGCAGGGTCAGGGTCGCATCGCCAATGCCGCTAGGCAGGTTGAGGAGCGAGCTGGCGCGGTCGAGGTACGAAGAAGACGGTACGAGGCGGTCGCAGTCGGTACAATGGAAGGCTTGGGAATCGAAATTTCGTCGAGTGCGGATGGGATGGGATGGGATGGGATGGGATGACGACGAGTCCCGGCCCTTGTCCTGGCACCCCGCTCCCGTGCTGGAACTGGAGTAATATCTGCATATCTGCGAACCGCGGAAGGACGCCTGCAGCTCCTGGCGGGCGTTAGTGGTTGCAAGCGCGGCTTCCTCGGTTGGGACGCACAGTCGTGGAAGCTTGGCCTGCTTGGAACTTGGACCAGGGTGCGCAACGTGGCCCGCGAGTGAGGTGGTCGCCAGGCCAGGGTCGCCGCCGCGTCGCCCAAGTCGCGCTCAGGGCGGCGCCGAGAGGTGGATGGATGGAGCCGCGGATAGAGCTGGGGCGACAAGCAACCAAGGTTGGCGTCAAGTTCGCCTTACGTAGCCCGGCACGGCACCGGCGTGTCCGCGCCGTCTGGTTGAATGCCAGGATCCGCAGCGACGACGGACTTGTGGTTCGGGCGCGGCCTGGATAATGGGGAACGGCGGCAAGGGCGACGTGAAGAAAAAAGGAGCCCAAACGAATTGTATTTCAAGGGTCCTTCCTCGACTCCTCGCCGCCCATCGTCGTCGCTGCCGTTGCATCCCCCTCCCAAAGCGGCCGCTCCTTCCGTGCAGATTGCCTCCTAACGTTACTGCCTGACTACCCAGCAGTACTAGGTGCCCAGGGCAGGTACGCAGCAGACAAGGTACACCTTGTACCCGTACATGCTGTACATCGCAATCAATTAAGCGCAGACTTTGCAGATACCGGCTGACAAGTACATGTTCCTTTGCGCGCACTTCGCATCCAGTCCCGGGGGCAGGAGCGAATCACTGCCCAGCGCCCGACCAGCAACCACCGCGCCCCAAGGCAGTCGCGTGTGGCAGCCCTACCAGACCGGCCTCGTAATTCAGCGAGCCACACCGAAACCACCGCCGCCCGCCTGAAATGGCCCCCGCGACCGACCCCTACACCAAGGCCAGCTTTGGCCTCAATTCCGGCAACACCATCCCTGCCGTCGGCCTTGGTACCTGGCAGTCCGCTGACTCTCAGACGCGCGAAGCCGTCAAGCACGCTCTCCAGAATGGCTACCGTCACATCGACACGGCTCTGAACTACGGCAACGAGAAGGAGGTCGGCGAGGGCATCAGGGCCTCGGGTGTTCCCCGCGAAGACATCTGGGTCACCACCAAGCTGGACAATCCCTGGCATCACCGTGCCCGCCAAGGTCTCGAGTCGTCTCTCAGCGACCTCGGCATTGGCTACGTCGACCTGTTCCTCATCCATTTCCCGTGCTCCACCGACCCCAACGATAGCTCCAGGCATCTGCCTGACTGGGATTATGTCAAGACATGGTGAGTGAGCCGACGAGACAGACTATGGCATTCACTATCGAATCTGCGTTGTGGCTGACAGCTCCGCGTGGCCGACAGGCAGGAGATGCAGAAGCTGCTCGACGCGGGCAAGGTGAGGAACATTGGCGTCTCCAACTTTCAGATACGCCACCTCGAGAAGCTTCTTGGCGACCCTTCTTGCAAAATTATCCCAGCCGTCAACCAGCTCGAGGTACGTGCTCAGTGTTCCAGGCGGTGCGCGTTTCCAATTGCTGACAACGCGCCATAGCTGCATCCCTATAACCCATCGCGAGTCATCTCCCGGCCCCTTTTCTCAACCGCTTCATCTCGCTAACATGCCGAAAAGGCCAAAGCTGCTCGACTACTGCAATTCCAAGGGAATTCATTGCACCGCCTACTCGTGTCTGGGCGGGCACACCAAGTCCCCGTGGAACAACCACCTTGACCTTGTCGAGAACCCCACGGTACTCAAGGTTGCCGAACAAAGGAATAAAACGCCGGCACAGATACTGTACGTGGCGCTGTGGCGGCCCCCCCTTGCCCTCCTGGCAGCTCTTTAATAGCGACGGCAATTAACCGAGGCGCAGGCTGAAATGGGGCTTGCAGCGAGGGACCAGTGTCATCCCGAAGAGCGTCACCCCCGCACGCATCGACTCCAACTTCGATTTGGATGGGTGGTCTCTGACGGACGAGGAGCACGCCGAGATAAGCGGCATCAAGACGCGGGCCAAGGTGGTTGGCGACAGCTGGATGCCAATCAAGGTCTTTTTCGGGGACGACGAGTAGCTAGAACTGTTGCAGTCAAGTCGATGCGCCGCTTTACGAAGCACCCGTTTGATCGGCACCCGCCATGTCACGAGTTCCCAGCCGATAGACCGTGGGCTTAAAGTTCGCCGATGCGCGATGCCCTCCCGCACCCCAAATCAAGATGTACAACGCGTGGCGTCGACGATATGCATCATGTAAGTTCGCCGATCTGATAACATTGTCGGGGTAGGGTGTCCCCTTTAGCCGCCTATTTCCTTCATCAAAAGCGAACATGGCAGTTTGTCTACGGTTGCCACACTTGGCCTGGCGTGTTACAAGTCACAAGTTCACCTTTGCAAGTTCCGTTCCAATGTCAAGCTATTAGATTTGATGGCAGGCTCCGTTACACTACCTGCAGCCGGACATTGGCCCCGTGCATACGCCGGACAAATTCGTCGTGACGGCCCACGTGTCCTGTCGAAACTGGCAAGCGACCGGTCTTGGACGCATCCGAAAGCTACTCTCGCATGCAGAAGGTCTCGCCCGAATCCTCATGAAATGGAATACACTTTTTAGTAGTGGTATAGACAGTGGCGTTCCCAACTGTATCTAGACGAATGAAGTCGTCCTTAGTGGTTCGGCCACCGCCAAGCAAGTATCCAAACCACCGACGCAGAGGTGTGCCTGCGAAAGTTATTAGGACCCAATACTTGGTTTTAGTCTCATACAGCCTGCTGTCAGAAACTCACTGGAATGAGTGGCTATCGACGTGCAAGTAGCCTCTTCACAACATTTTTCAAGCACGTATCGAGCCCACGAATCCGCGTCATACTTGTCGAGGCTCGCCTTATACATGTCACGCACCTGATTGTGTTGGGCGGGCACCCAGTTCAAGGGCTCCTCTAGATCCAGGCGTTCGAAGTTGCTCATCTCCTTGCTTATCAAAAGAGCCCTGCCGCCGTCGGCCTGTGACAGGGACGGGCTGTCTGCGGCGGCGAGGGCGGCGACGGCGGCGACGGCGGCGAGGGCCATGGCAGTGACTAGAGCAAAGTTGATCATGTTTCCTTTTGTCAAGATTGACAAGCTGTGGACTTCCCAGTAGTGTGTATTGGACTCTTCTTGCGACTCTGTGTGGCAGCGTGCTGTGTCTGTATGGGATACGAGCAGCTGGAGAGATGATCCTCGCGTTATTTATACCTGAAGCTCGTGGTCTCTTGACCGCCTCCTCGTCACGTCGCATGAACTCACCGTTCGAGTGAGAGAATTCCAAGACTGCCAAAGACTGGCCACGTCGTCGTCAGACCACGACCAGCCTCGGCGCATTGCTCGATCGTTGCGGTACTCCTGCGCAACAAGGCGCTCTGTCGTCAACCAAGGCCGACAAATCATGCCGCCTACCTTGGCCCGTCACCTTGACGGCTGATCTCGACTAGACTGCACTGAGAGACCAGTGACGTTGGGCCTTTCAAGGTCTTCGAAGGCCAAGGACCTTTGCGTCCGGTTATCTATAACGTCAATGAGGCGAGTTCTCGCAACCAGCACCCCATTGAGGCGCTCTTGTTCATGCGCCGCGCGCCAGTTTGACGCGAAGGTGACCCATGCCTCACCCGGCCCATCATGCCACACTTGAAAACTCTGCGCCGTGAAGCATAAGACCCGTGTAAATAAAAATGCTACGAGGTAGACGTTTGTTGTCCCGTTTTCTCAACCCACGGCAGGCAAATATATCGGCACCCATGGTACTTGTGCGAAGGAGCGGAGAGAGCAATTGTTGGTGATCCTCAGGAACTGCCCGTTACGTTCCTAAGGGAAGAACGGGAGGCCGGCACGGGCCGCCTGGATGAACCGACTCAGCTGGGACCGGTTGGGTCCTCGAGCGGGCCCGCGCAGTGCAGCGCGTGTCACACAAGGGATGACGCAAGGGGGACTTACATGGTTCGGACGGGGCGAAGGGCTTGTCGCCGAGGCATAAACGACAGGGGGCTAGGAAGCAAGTGTTTGCAAAAAAAGAAAATGAGCCGAGAAAGACGCAACCACATGATGGTTTTCCCGCGCCAACTCAACTCGAAGTTTGCTACCACTGGTTCCCTCATGTTAGCATACGACTCAATTGAAAGCTCTCGCCGTGATTGAATGCCTTTCATACTTTTTTCAAACTGGCAGTGTTGCGGTGAGCGACTGGTAAGTGTGTGGCCAACGCGACGTAACAGAGCACCCCCATCACGGTATAAACCATCACGACCAAGTCAATAAGGGTGGGGCAGAACGAGTATTTTCCTGCTATAACGGAGAGGCGTGACGAGCCCTTTGATCTGCGAGAGAGTAGCTTGCTCTCTTCAGACGTGCCTAATCTATCTAGTTTTGGTGACTCTGCCCCGCGCAATGTCCTCGTCAGTACACCCTTCCTCGTATATTCCGCAACTCACTACCCCTTTTCCCCAATGCAGTAGCCAGACACGCCATAGATAATGCGGTGCTTGTCTGAGGCGATGAAGTAGGGGGTATAGTGGCGGTGGCGCGTTTTATGCGAGCAGCCGCGCTGCTACTCCGGTCTAGTATAGACGACGGACTGCTCGACCTTGTCTGAGCGCTCGTAGTCAGCCTGAGTGGTTTGAGCGCCGCCAAAGCAGTATCCGAGCCAGACCCTCCTGTCGGGGTCGCTAGGATAGAATCCTGTAACCCAACGATTAGCCGTTAATTTATGACACCCCCTGCGCTGGGCCGGAAGCAACTCACCGGCGTAGGTGACACTCGAAGTGCAGTCAGCATGCTTGGAGCAGATGCCGAGCACGAGTTCAGCCCACGAGTCCTCATCATACTCGGGAATCTCGCCTTCGGCGCCATCGAGGATCCCTCTCTGCCAGAGACGGTACCCCGGTTGCCAGTTGTGAGGCCAATCTAGTTCCAGGCGCTTAAAGTCGCTCTCGTCGCGCTGTTGCCACTCGTCACGGCCAGGCTGCTCGTACCCGTCACGGCGTTGCCACTGCTGTGGCCCGGGGCGCTCAGTCTCATCGCGGCGTTGCTGCCACTGCTCGCGGCCGGGCTGTTGCTCCTGGCGGCGATGGGCCTGCCCCTCCTTGATGGTATAGACGACGGAATGCTGCACCCAGTCTAGGCGCTCGTAGTCGGCCTGCTTGGTTGGGCCGCCGTAGAAAAGCAGTCCGACCCAAACTCGCGTATTGGGACTCTCTGGGAGGAATCCTGGACCCTACCGTTAAGCAACAGTCTTACTTGCGTGGTGGCTTGCGCCGTAAAGAGGGAAACCCACCGGAGTATGAAATGGTCGAGTTGCAGTACGCCCACTGGAGGCATAGGTTGAGCACGAGTTCGGCCCACGAATCTTGAACATACAAGTCTAAGCTCGCGTGGGTCATGTCGATGACTCCGGTCATGAAAAGCCCCAGTCCAGGAGCCCAGTCGAGGGGCTGCTCCAGGTCTAGGCGCACAAAGTCACCCTTGTCGCGGGATTGCAACTGCTCGTGGCCGGTTCGCTGTTCCTGGTCTGGGCGGCGCAGGAAGTCTCTCGCATTGCGGGGTCCCCACGAATCGTCGCCCTGTTGCTGCTGTCGTTTCTCCAAATCACGTCGTTGAAACTGCTCGCGCTCGGGTTCCTCCTCGCGGCGGGGCTGCTTTTCCCCGATGGTGTAGATGACGGACTGGTCCACTCCGTCCCGACGGACGTAATCAGACTGGTTCGTGGGACCACCGCCAAAGCAATATCCGATCCAAGCCCTGTACTTGTGATCCTCTATGTAGTCTAGATCTCAATGTTCAGCTAGTGTAGTTCTGGCGGCACCCGGCACCACTCACCGGAATAGGAAGCCGTCGACGTGCAGATTGTTTGCTCCTTGGTGCATCGGTCGAGCACGTAGCTGGCCCACGACTCCGTATCATACTTATCAATAGCCGCTTGGTACCCGTCAAGGACCTGGTTGGGCCAGAGACGAGGGCCGGCTACCCAGTTGGACGGCTCCTCCAACTCCAAGCGCACAAACTTGGGCGTAGTGGAGATGGTGTAGACAATGGAGTGCTCAGACCAGTCTTCGCGGACGTAGTCAGCCTGGGTGGTTGGAGGGCCCCAAAAGCAATGACCGTACCAGGTCTTATTGGTTGTGACGTGTGGGAAGCTTCCTAGATACGCAAATGCTTAGCTATGGTCTCACAGGACCTGGTGCGTTAAGCAACTCACGGAGATATGAAGCCGTGGACGTGCACCCTGTAAACCTGGCGCAGTATGCAAGCGTGTATCGAGCGAATGATTCTGCATCGTACAAAGCCTCGTCCTCCGTGACTGATCCGATGCCGTGTGTACGTATGAGATCCGGGGAGGGCGTCCAGTTGAGGGGCTCATCGAGCTTCACACGCACAAAGTCGTCTACGTCGGCGAGCAGTTCGTGCTGCTGCTGGCGGCCGGACTGCTCCTCTTGCTTCCTGCGCACAAGGTCGCTCACATCGCGGCGTTGCCACTCCTCTTGCCCTGGTACCTGGCGCTGCCGCAGGTTGCGGCCGGGCTGCACCTCCTTGGCCTTGAGGGTGTAGGCAATGGTATACTCCACCCAGTCATAGCGCTGGTAGTCCGCCTGCGAGGTTGGGTTGCCACCAAAGCAGTGCCCAATCCAGACTCTGGGTGAGTCGGCCCAAGCGAAGATTCCTGGATCCCCAACGGTTAGCCTTACACGTCGGGTTCAGAGCCACCAGCAGCCCTACACCACAGCACGAGCTAACTCACTGAGGTAAGTAAGCGTCGACACGGACTGCTCGTACCCGTAAGAGCACCTGTTGAGCACGTAGTTGGCGAACGACTCCGCATCAGTATCGTTGAAGTCTGCGTAGAACATGGCAAGGGATTGCGACGCTAGAGCAGGCCCCTCGATCCAGCGAGTGGGATCAACGGGATCCTCGAACTCCACGCGCACGAAGTCTTCCGGAAGGTGGCCTCCAGGCCGCTCGTCGCGCCCGGGCTGCTCCTGCTTGACGGCAGAATCCTCGAGGGCAGTGGTGTAGGCAATAGAATGCGATACATCATCCGCGCGGTCATAGTCAGCCACCGTAGCCGGAGGGCCACCAAAGCAATAACCTTCCCAAAAGAAATTGACAGGGTCGAATCCGTCACTCGCTAAGAACCCCAAATATTTAGCTGATGCGTACGTTCAGGACACGCTCCGCTGTGGGCAACTCACTAAGGAGGGAAAACGTCGAGGTGGTGTTTGGGTGATCTACATTGCAATTGTCCATGACCCATCGAGAGAACGAATCCTGATTATACTTGTCCACGTCATTTCCGTAGTAGGTATCGAGGATGTTGTGTCCGAATATGAGGCCCTCGCCGGGTTCCCAGTTGAGGGGCTCCTCCAGCTGTACGCGTCTGTATTCTTTGATGCGGCGTAGGCTCTCGTCGCGGCCGGGTTGCTCGTGTTCATCTCGGCGTTGCCACTGCTCTTGCCCGGGGCGCCCGTTCCCATCCTGGCGCTGCCCCAGCTCGTGGCCGGCCTGCTCCCGCTTGACGGCACGAGAATTGACGCCGCTGGCATAGGCAATAGAATACTCGGCCCCCTCCCGGCGGACAAAGTCATCCGGGGCAGGCACGTGTTTGCCAAAACAAATTCCAAACCAGGCCTCTGTAGCAGGTTCGTCTGCGAGGGGCACTACATCCCAACTCATCAGCCTATCTGCTCTAAGGGCATACTATTAGTGACAGGAGAGTTACTCACGTAGCCAGGTAGCCGTCCCCGTCGCATCTGTATGCTTAGTAGTACACTCCGTGAGTACGTATAAGGCAAATGAATCCGCGTCGTAACTATCCCGGGTCTCTAGATATTGGTCGATAATGTATGTCAGGAGCTCTTCGCCGGGTACCCAATTGAGGGGTTCTGGCAGGTCCAGACGCACAAAGCCTTTAGCGTCGCGATGTTCGCTCTCCTCACGGCCGGGCTGCTCTCGCTTGACGGCAGGAGAATTAACGCCGCTAGAATAGGCAATAGAATACTCGACCCCGTCCCGGCGGACAAAGTCGTCCGGCGTAGCCACGTCTTTGCCGTAGCACCACCCAAACCAGTACTTCTTATCAGGTTCGTATGGGAGCTTCACTAAAACACAAATTATCAGCCTGCTGTTCTAGGGCACACTATCGGCAAGAGAAAGCGTAACTCACAGAGGTAGGTAGACGTCGCCGTGGTGTCTGGATACTTGGTGGTACACTTCGTGAGTACGTACGAGGCAAACGACTCCGCGTCGAATTGATCTTGGTCCGCTATAAATTCGCCAATAACGTGTGTTAGGAGTTCGTAACCGGGGACCCAATTGAGGGGCTCCTGCAGGTCCAGGCGCACAAAGCCTTTGACGTCCCGCCGTTCGCTCTCCTCGCGGCGAGGCTGCCCTCGCTTGACGGCACCATCATTGGCCTTGAGGGTATAGCCAATGGAGTACCCGGCTCCTAGTTCGCGTTCAAGGTCTGCCTGGGTAAGCGGACCCCCGCCAATGCAGTATCCTGTCCACCACAATCCCTCAGGATGGACTGCGGACTTTTCTGCCCGCCCGGCGTTTAGCACACGATTCCTGCTAGAGCACACTGCGCCGGGAGCAACTTACTAAGGACAGTGAAGGTAGCCGTGAGGTCGTCCGGGTGATCTTCAGTGCACAGCGAGAGCATGTCTTGGGCAAACGTTCCCGGATCGACGTACCAGCCCTCTGGCTTCTCGATAGACTCGAAGACTCTCGCCTCTAGGGCCAGGGTAGGTACCCAGTTGAAAGGTTTCTCTAGCTTGATAGGCACAAAGTCGTCCGGGGTGTGGCGTTTCTGCAACTGACTGTGGCTGGCCTGGTTCGCCCTGACTACCCGATCACTGATGATGTCGCTGGTATAGGCAATGGAGTGCTCGACTCCGGGCTGGCGAACAAAGTCCGCCGCGGTAGCCGGGGCTCCGCCAAAGCAGTATCCGTACCACCACTTTTGACCAGGCCTAGTTGGGTCGCTTGCTAATATCTCTAGCGGTTAGCCCGTGGCTGTTGGAGCATATTGCGTCGTGAGCAACTCACCGATGTAGGACAGCGTTGCCGTGGTGTTCTCATAAAATTCAGTGCACAAGTGGAGCGTGATCCGAGCCATCTCTTCTCCGTTATAAGTGTTCGGGTTTTCGATGAGAGAATCGAGAACTTCCCCCATGAGGCGCTCACTGGGTACCCAGTTGAGGGGCTCCTCCAGCTCCAGGCGCACAAATTCTTTGACGTCCTTGCGCCGCTCCTCTTCGTGGCCGGGCTGCTGCCACTCCCCCTGCGGGAAGGCCGTGCCCGTGCCGGCGAGTACGGCAGAGGTCACGCCGATAAGGGCGGTTGAAAACCTCATGTTGGGTTGGCGAGCTGTAACATGCACAGGAGGGAAGTGTTGCTTGGTCTCTTTGATGGAAACAGTTGGTGCTGTATGCTACCCAGTGTAGCTATCTGTGGTTGAGATGAGCAACTCCAGGGGTGGTTCCTAAGGTTATTTATACTTGGATTTATTGGATGTATTGTACGTGAAAAGACACAGCCCGCGGTTCCGTACCCTTCGTCATCTTATCGTAACAACTTACCAATGTCTATGTGAGGGGGAAGGTGTTCGCGACAGTTGCAAAAGACTGATCACCGCCGCTCGTCGTCGTCAGGCCACGGCGGTGCTTCGCTGTAACCCTCAAACATGTATATGCAATGTTTATTTCACGTGAAAAACGACGCCTGTCCCCACAACTCGCCGTATCCCCAGCCATTGACGGCCTATATACGCCATGCTTGTCGAGTTGCCACCTTGACCCGGGGCCTCGAACGGCCAGTCTCGACCGGAATAGTCGGGCGATGCTGAGCTTTAGAGTTTCGAGAGAGACGAGAAACGAGAAAACTGTCACCTGTGGGCTCGTATCATGTTATGCAGAAGAGCTTGCAGTCGGCAGGCAAACGTGGAGTTGAGCCTGCACGGTCATGCAATCAATATGTGATCATGCCGACTCATGCGAGAAGACCACTGGCACCAGACCCAAGTCTCTCAAAGCTGTGTTACTCCATACATAGTATGTTAACGCTGCAGCGAGAGGAGACCTTTGCAAATACAACGGTCCTGTTGACATGGGTGTTAGTCAATGCCTTGCACAGGCGAATTAGAAAGTAGCGAAGGGTGAGTTGTTGGTTCGCGGACTCAGGGGCACCTCCATTCCTTCCTGGAAAACGAAAATCCGGCCCGGCCCGCCCAAGCGAAGCGAGTCAGCCGAGGCCTGTTGGCTTGGTAAAGTTCAATGAATGGGGTTGGATTGTTGGGATGGCACATCACGTCACACAGACATCACATACGAAGTATGCAAGGAGCACTTGCATGAGGTTCGTTCGGAGTCGAGAGGCCCCGCGCTAGGACCCATCGCCAAGGGACGACGACACGGAGTTATGCTTATTTTCGTACGAGCCGAGAAGACCAAATATAAAATCACTGCATGTCTCCGCCCGCGATGCTACCGGGTCTGCATATGGTTTGTAGGTGCATAGGATGGGATGTAAACGAACGCAAGACTATACAGCATAATGACACAGAGCGCTGTTACGCCCACGGAATTCGGGTCCATGGGAAGTGCCGCCGCTTTAGGTGGTCTCGACAGTGGGAGCAGGCAGCCCCACGATCTGGCCAGGCGCTAATCCACATGGAAGGCCAATCCCTTTGCCCAACACACTGCGGTGCTCGCCTGCGCCCTTCATCTTCTCGCAACCAGACAGCGAGAGTCCATTTCTTGACACCACCAAACTGGACGGGAACGGATAGGACAAGCGCCACTGGCTGGCGCTAACAAGCCAGTCGCTCCGCTCGCCCTGTTCCAGCCTTCATCCACTTCCATCCCCACCTCACTTACATCGCTTGCAGCGACCTCTCGCGGCGCCGGCCAAAACGCCCACAACCGTTACTGGACAACGCAACAACTGGCACACTGCACATCATGCCGATGTCCTCAAATAACTCATTCAATGCGAGAAAGAAAATAGTACGGTCACGACAGCCTGCTCCTCTCAGCGCCAGACAGCGTTCTGCGCTCCGCAAGCAACCCTAGGATACGCGATATCCTAAGCCTGATTACGCCGATACAACTAAGATTAATATCGCACGGATAGTAAGCAAGTAGAGAATATGCTAATAACTTATAGGTAGGACGAATTCCATTACCCATAGGTAGTCAGATATTACTGTAACAGTTGGGCGCCTGCCGGGGTCCAGCTGGAAGTCTCACGTGACGCGACGCGCTCGGGGACATTTTCCCAGCGATTCGCTGGCGCATCGCCAATTGAGCTCTCCAAGTTCAGACGGTGGCATCCGCAGCCATTTTATACAGCTATTGCCTCTCTTGCCTGACTGAACCCTAGATAGTCGGGCGGTCGTTACAAGTATAGCGCTTTAAGAAGTAGTCGTTCGATAGAGGTAATTACAGGCCGATAGGAAAACGTTACGGCTATGTGTATATGTATGAGATCATATGCATCTTAATTGCCCTTATGTGCTCCTGCACTGTACATAACCTTCCTTCCTTTCTTGGATTGAAGCTCTGGGTTGACGCAGGCTGAAGCTTCGTCCCTCTCCGACCTCGGCAGGTGAGTGGGGTGGGGCCTCTGCCGAGATCGGCTAGGGGGGGGAGGGGAGGAGGGGCGGGGCACGAGTTGCGCTGCCAGCTGAAGCAACGAGCAAGCTGTCCCCGACTTCGCTCTCCTTCGGAATAGCTCTAAACTTTCTGACTTTCTCCGTCGGACCTCCTGCCTCCCGCCTCGTCTTCCACCCATTCAAGACGGACACTTCTTTGGACGAACTCCGTCGGACAAGTATCGCAACCATGGCGGAACACAACATTGTTGTTTTTGCGGGCGACCACTGCGGCCCAGAGGTGACTTGACTACCCCCGAGCGTTCTAGACGGAGAGAGGCTGACTTTGGTCAATTGATAGGTTATTGCCGAGGCAATCAAGGTACGAGTCTGGTATTTGCGACCTTCAATTGAGCACGTCTGACGCAGGATTCAGGTCATCAAGACGGTCGAGGAGCTGAGCCCGACTGCTGGCAAATTCAATCTGCAGCACCACCTGCTCGGAGGGGTAAGTCGTCCCCCCCCCCCGACGACGGATCACACGGGCCCAAAAGACATCCACGAGAGAAGTCTCTTGCTAACCTCGGTGTTTCTCCCCAGTGCTCCATCGACCAGACCGGCAACCCCCTCACGGACGAGGCCCTCGCCGCCGCCAAAGCCGCCCATGCCGTGCTCCTCGGCGCCATCGGCGGCCCGGAATGGGGCACCGGCGCCGTCCGCCCGGAGCAGGGCCTCCTAAGGCTGCGCAGTGAGATGTGCGCCTATGGAAACCTCCGTCCCTGCTTCTTCGCGTCCGACGCCCTCGTCGAGTCCTCCCCCCTGAAGGCGTCCGTCTGCCGCGGTATCGACATGATGTTGGTCCGGGAGTTGACCTCGGGCCTGTATTTCGGAGAGCGAAAGGAGTACGATGGGCATGATGCGTTCGACACTACCGTTTACACGAAACCAGAAGTCGAGCGTATCGCGCGCATGGGCGGCTACCTGGCCAGGACGAGGGGCGACTCGCGGGTTATCTCGCTAGACAAGGCAAACGTGCTGGCGACAAGCAGACTCTGGCGCAGTGTGGTTGACGAGGTCTTTAAGAACGAGTTCCCTGATCTCAAGGTCGAGCATCAGCTTATTGACAGCGCGGCCATGATCATGGTCAAGAACCCGAGGCAGCTGAATGGCGTCATGATAGCGCCCAACTTGGCAGGTGAGCGAGGCCCCCTTATCCACCTCGTCCACGTCGAAGGCGATTTAGCTAACGAGTTTGCAGGGGATATTCTCAGCGACGAGGCGAGCGCCATAGCTGGAAGCATAGGGCTCCTCCCGAGCGCGAGTCTCTGCGGGATTCCAAGCTCTCCAGTGTCTGCTATCTATGAACCGATTCATGGTGCGATTCCTATCCTCCACTCGAGCCCTCATGTAGACATCAGTTGCTGACGCAGATGACAGGTAGCGCGCCGGACATATCAGGGAAAGGGATTGTCGTACGTCAAGACCCTGTTTCGGGCGATTCCTATCCATTCGCTGCAAGTACAGAGCTGACATCTATTTCCAGAATCCCATTGGCACCATCCTTTCCGTGGCCATGATGTTCCGGTACTCTCTGAATCTCGCCCACGAGGCCAAGATCGTCGAGGACGCGGTCCGCGCAGCCATCGACGCCGGGCTGAGAACCAAGGACATGGGCGGCAGCATGGGCACTGCCGAAGCAGGAGATGCCATCGTTGCCGAGCTGGGCAAGATTCTCAAGGCGTGAGATGTCTCAACGCGAGAAAAAGAGAATGGACAGAGAGGTTGAAAGGGGGAAAACAGCGGTGGACGGGTGGAAGATTTGAAGAAAATAGTGGCTGGGAAGCGAAAATGAGCCGAGAACCGAAGTGGTGGAGGACAACAGTGGTTGACAGAAAAGTTGTTGAGGCGCAGCTTTATCAAGTATTAAGGAGGGATCCTAAACATACAAGCAAAAGCCACATGAACAGAGGACAATGCAAGTGGGTAGCCGTTGCGTGTTCAACGCAGGGTGTCGTCTGCTTTCCATCCTGAGCAGAGCAAAATAGCTTGGTGCGTGGCCTTGATACTGAGTCAACCGGAGCATGCCATGGCATGGGTCCTGACTCCTGAGTGAGTTGACCAACCAACTCCCTAACTTAGTAGGTGGCATTGAGGCGCATGTCCATGTACTCGCTCGCGTTGATGGGCTCGTACTTCTTTGGGCGGTCGGGCCCCCAGCAGCCGGGGACGCAGTCGATGGTGCGGTGGCCGTCGGCGCCGACAAAGTAGGGGATGGAGTAGCGCTCGCGCGTCATGCGCGGGCGGCCGGGCTCGACGTCGCGCTCGTCGACGGGCGGGGTGCGCACGTGGTGCAGCGTGGAGCGCAGCTCGTCGTTGCTCCAGCGCATGAGGAAGTCGCCGATGTTGACGACGACGGTGCCGGGGATGTACGGCGCGGGCGTGAACCCGCCCTTTCCCTCGACCGTCTCGACCTCGAGCCCGCCGACCTCGTCCTGGAAGAGCATCGTGACGGTGCCAAAGTCGGTGTGCGCGCCGATGCAGTCGACCTTTCCCTTGGCGAGCAGCTCCTCCTCGATGGGCGGGTAGTGCAGCAGGCGGATCTGGTTGCTCCGGTCGCGGTGGTAGTCGACGAAGTAGTCGGCGTCGAGGCCCATGCCGACGGCGATGGCGCGCAGCAGGCGCAGCTCGAGGCGGTAACACGCGTCGAAGAAGAGGGCGAAGAAGGCGCGGAAGCCCGGCAGGACGTGCTCGGCGGGCATGATGTTGCGGAGGCGCTCCTCGTGCTCGCCGCCCATCTCAAACGACTCCTTGCAGTCGGGCACGCTGCGCTCGCGCGCGATGCCCTCGGCGTCGAAGACGTTTTGCGACACCTTTTCGCGCCCGACGCCCGAGTAGCCCCGGTGGTACCAGCCCTCGGCCGGGTGCGGCACCTTGTCCTTTTCGCTCTGCGGCAGGGCGAAGAACTTGCGGCTCTTTTGCCCGTCCCCCCCTTTCAAGTTAGCTGATGTGTGAATCTCTCTGGCCCGGTGATGGAGGGCATGGACAACACGAGGGGGCAGCAGACGCACCCATTCAAAGGCCTCGTCGACTATCTCCTGCGGCACGCCATGGTTCTTGATGTACGCGAAGCCGGCGTTCTTGAAGGCCTGGTACACCTCGTTGCCGGCCTGGGCGTACTGGTCCGGCTGCGCGTCGTCGGACAGGAGCGGCGCAAAGTCGATGATGGGGATGCCGACGTGCTTGTCGTCGGCCGCGACGGTCATGGTCACCCGCGAGGTTTGTGCGGCAGGGAGTTTTTTAAAGCCGTGAGAGTCAAGACGCAAATCCAATCCAATTAATTAATCATGCGGTCGCGGCAGGCGTCCGGGACGTTGGGCTGCGGTTGTGACACTTTATTGCGATGCCGTGATGTAAGCTGCAACGTGCGCTGCCTTCGGAGTTTATCTTACAAGTTGGGTTGGAGGCGCTCGACCCCCCGACCCGAGACTGTGAGAGAAACTAATAACCCTACGTTAGTACCCGAGGGCGCCATGGATCAGGTCTCCTGCGTCACCACCACTACCTTACCTGGGCATCACCTTCCCGCTGGCAAAAAGGCGCCACCACGCGCGCGTGCCCGTGCCGACGAGCGGATTACCAAGAAACAACCCAATCGGCGTTGACGGTAATTTACGAGCCACTTGTTAGCCAAATGCAAGCCCCGCCGTGCGCCACGACCCGTCCATCCCGTCTGTCCCAGGTCGGGTCGGAATTCGTCGTCGTCCTTCCGCGTGGCCTGCATTGCATTGCATGCATGCGTCGCGACCTGCAGCGTCGTCGAGTTGGCCGACGACCACCCTTTCGTGGCGGCCGTGGCTTCTTCCCCGACTCTCCTCCTCAGGCCCGTCCAGCGAGACACCCATTGAAGCAGACCTCTTCCTCTCGATTCATTGCATCACGGCTTCGACTCGTCGACGACACTCCCGCCATCAGCCATTCCCCTCCCCCTCCCCCACTTACCCCTCTCCACAATCCAAGAGTGCAAATCCTCCGCGGCCCACATCGCCACACCCAAAATTGATCGACACCTCCCGAGCCGTGGCGCTCTTGAGCGGGGTTCCCATTGATGCGTATTATGTGAACCACTTATTGGTCTGCTCTACGTACCAGCCAGCCTTGGTCCACCACATCGCCTCGCTCAAAAGGGACAGGCATCAGGCAATCAGGCAAGACGCGCCCTGCCAGTTGCCCGACACGCCGCTTTCATGGCCGCCATCGTCGGTAAACTGCCTCGAGTTCGCCGGCTCCTCGTCGCGGACGCGCGCGTGCGACGGCATCCACCACGACCGTGCCAGCATATCGCGAGGATGCCACAGCACCGGTACACACGCTTTGTGCATTGTCCGCCCGACGAGTACTGTATTGTAGCACCATCTGCCGATGCACTAGTACGCACGCCCTGTGCTTTGTCCGCCCAACAAGGAGCACCATCTGCCGATTTTCTATTGTGACCTGTTGGTGCAACGCACGCGCCAGTCCAACTCATCGGCTGTACGTCCTCGACAAGCCACACTTCGCCGGTCGCTTTGTTGTCGCAGATACATTTGGAGTACCATACTAGCACCGGCCCTTGAGCCTAATGCACTCGCCATCAACTGCCAAGGTAGTCGTTAACCGACGCGGTGCTATGCTATACACGTTTGATCAAGCACTCGTAGAACATCGCCAATGGCGACGTGGCTCGGCCGACTTCGGCATGTCGAAGCATAACCGCAACGTCAAGGGTGGTATGCCAACTGTCAAAAGAGCTCTACCCCGTCGCGGTGCTAGAAAGAGTCGTTAGCTATCCGGCTTCATTCAGGCCGTGCAAGCACAGGCACAGACGCGAGGCAGGCCGAACATACCTTGTATTTGAGGTTCGGCGCCTCTCATCACTATCTGAGCACGTTTGCGCTCGTGCCAACATCCAAGAAAGTCTGGGTATCGCGTGAAACTAAGGAATCCTTATATTTGGACCCCCGAAAGCGTAATCTCCCTGAGGTCTGTTGACCCTGAGCTCATAATTCGTGACGCCTGCGTGAAGAGCGTGTCCATCCGCAACACGACAGGGCGTAGTAGGGCAACGGCATCCTCGTTGCTCGCAATTCCACGCAACCGCTTGAGCGACGTGTGTACGCTCTCTAGTAGCCTAAACGTCGACTGCACCTCATCTGGTGTCGGAGCCGTGAGAAAGAGGTATACGAGGAAGTTGCCGCTGAGAACCAGATGTGACCGAGCATCTATAGTTGTAAGCAATTGTCGCACTTGAGGCGTACAGTCCAGCATCGACTACTTACGCGCGCCCCAGAAGCCATGTAGGCACCGAGAGTTGATGCTCTCGATGAAATCCGCGAATATCTGAAAGTCGGCTACCGCCCTGTCAAAGTAGCGGCGAAGGGCCGATGACGGGTCGCGCTTTGCGGCCATGCTCACAGGCCACATCAGCGAGCGGTACAACAGCGTCTTCACGGCAAAGTAAGCAAGATGGAGCGATGCTGTAACATGTCAGTCGCGCGCCTCGAGAGTCAAGTCTCGTTCAACTGACCAATGTTGCTCGATCCAGGAGCGGAAATGATGTTCGTCCTGCCAAGGCAGCTCGGCAGCAAAGACAGCCAGGTTTCCAGAGCTCTTTGTATGTGCAGTAGCCTCGTTTCTCGGGCGGTGTGGTCGCTGGAGGATTCTTTGTATGACTTGTCGGAGCTGGCATTCAAACTTAGCGACAAAAGCACTCACAGTAGCGAGCCATGACTTACTAGGAAAAGTCCAAAAGGTCGTGGAGTATGTGGGTGAGCTTGATGGCCTCGACAAAGCGAGCGCTCGCTGTGATATTGGGGGAGAAGCTTGACGGGTCCACGAGGTATTTCAAGTGGTCCTCGACGTCCTCGTCAATCGACAGTTCATCTATTTGTGGTGGCGCGGTGGTAAAGGAGCTTCTGTGTATGTGAGGCGGGTTCCCGTGGCAAACAGATGACCAGACATCTGTCATGTACGCTGCGTACCACAGTCGCCTCCGAAGACTCTTTTCCCATGGTGCGATGCTCCAAAGCTGGGGCTCTCGATGCAGGCCGACCATCTGCGCCGACGCAACGGCTGACGAGGACAGCACCCAGGTCCTCGGCGTTTCCATGGTATAGGTGTGTCCAGGTCTCTCATGAACGAGAAGTAGAGATGCCTGCAGGTTCCACAGGTTTGGCGCGTGATATTCTCTGTGTAGAGCGTAGTGAGCCTGTTCGAGGAGCGTCCGCAGGTCGAGGGCCAGAACCCCGTGATGTGAGCTCGGATCGTGGTGCCAGAATGTCGCACCGAGGGCGTAGACCACACCACGCAACGAGGCGGGGATGGACAACTTATCCCTCGCATATGCTCGAAGAAAGCGGGCCTTGGAGACGATGCAATTGGCGGGATGGACGTGCTGGAAGTAGAGTGAGACCAGCCTTGGGCCGTGCCGCCCGGCAAGCGCCTCGATGGAGTCCGATGCCATACCCTTGGCAAGGTTGTCATGCGGGATGAAGTCGTCCATGACTATATTGAAGTGCACGGGAGGCTCGCCCTGCAGGGGATTCCCTGCAAAGACCTGTACGACGCCGGCATCCACCTTGTTGGTCTCATTGACGATGACGGAGCGGAATGAGGCAAGCAGATCTGTGTCTTGCTCGCCTGCTAGGCCGATGCAGTGAGCGTGCCTCCTCTCACCGTCCTCCAGGGTCAGGACAGAGGGGTCGCGTGACCCGTGGGCGGGATCGGGACGATAGGCCTCAGGCGGCGGCGCACTTGCTACAGGTTTCTCGGAGAACTCGCTACCGTGGTCACTCGGATTTGTCTGAGGTGACGGCAGGACGGCAGCAGCGTCGGGGCCGTAGCCTTCGGACGTGCTCTGGCTGTGCCGGCCGCGGTGCGGCACCTCGGCAGTGAGGGCCGGTCCCGGCATGCTGTGTGACGTGAAGGAGGCAGCGCTGCCGGTGACGGTGGAGGGCCCTGCGTCAACGCCGTCCCGGGCAACCAGGCTCTCGGGACTCAATGCGACCTCGGGACGACCTGGCCTTTTCCGAGCCGGAGGTGACCTCTGGCTGGCTTCACAGGGGATGCCTCGCGACTCGCAGAAGCGGCCTATTCGCGGGGGGAGGGCGGTCAGACGAGAACGAACAGTACTAAGCGCGAGAAAGAGATGGGGACACGAGAGTACAGGGCCAAGCGGCATGAGAGACACAAAGAAGGAAGACTGACATGGCGGAGACGTCTCGATGATGCAGGCCGTCTTGCGGCGGCGGCAGGCGTCGCAGGGTCTGCTCTTGCGGCTTCGCCACTGCCTGGCGCCGCCAAACTCGGATCGGACCCTGAAGGCGGGCCTGTGCGAGAAGGCTTCGACGTCGTCGGAGGACTGTGAGGCCATGAGGCGCGGGCTCCGTGGGCCTGGCAGGCCCGGCCGAGTGAGGGTCTGGTGCGTGCGCGCGGTGTGTCAGTAGTGGTCAAGGCAGGCGGGAGATTTACCCGGGGCTTGCATGAGCTACAGCGATTAGCCGCGAGAGTCGGTCTGGCAGCCGGATTGATGGCTGGAGATCTGGGGGGAGGGAGCCACCAGATCTTGGGCCGAGAAAAGGTGGGCGGCGCGCGGCTCCCGATTGACGGCGGGCGCGCGCGGATGTGGGGGAGGGAGTACGAGGAGTGGTGACAGACAGGCTGGAGAAATTGAGATTTGAGATTTCGACGCGCGACAGCGTGTGGGCGGTTTTGATTGATCGATTGATTGCCTGCCCTGCCTGGCCTGGCCGGGCCGGGCTGTGCGGGGACTGACGATTGATGAAGATTGACGCGCAGCCGATCCCGCAACAACCCCTGGAACGTGTTGGCCAGAGCAATGGTTGGCGGCGGCGGCGGCGGCGACTTTGCCCGCCCGTGCGTCCGTCCGTCCGCCCGGTCCGTGCGAGATCTGTGTGTGTAAGGTTGTTGGTTGGTGGTGCAGGCGCTGCCGCGCTGCTGCCGCGATGCTCAGGGATCTCTCTCCCGCGCTCTCTCTCTCTCTCTCTTTCAACGATGGAATCGTGCTGGTCGTCTCCAAGGCCGTCTGGACACCTCACCTTGCAAGTGCCTAGTGCCGCTTCGTCGGTCGGCGCACACCGGTCGGTCTCCGCCCCCGGCTGTCGGTGGCTGGCGCGAAATTCGCAGGCTTGGCGGTCGCACGAGCGTGCCGCGATCTGTCAAAACTTTTGAGAGGATGCTGTGCGCCTTCCTCTCGCCGGCTCATGAACTCGCAAAGTCGAGATGATGGCCTCAGGCGCAGACACGTGCTGGTAAATGTACAATTCCAAAGTCTCAAGTAACTTAGTACCTTAACTCGCGGAGTTTCGGTCAGTCCCTCGGGCAGTCGCTCCGTCAGACGCACTTGCCTATTCCGGAGCCACGGCGTGCCCCCGCGATTGCCTCCATGAGTCGTGACAAATTATGACGCTACGCACCTCAAATATATTCCATCCTCATCCACCAACAACACAAGCTTCGTCCGTTCATCACTCCTGTCGCTGTACGGCTCCGACATCTCCATTCCTTCATCTGCGGAAAATACCCGACCCTTGCCTGGTCCAGCCCCCGTCCGCGACCTCGGCAAGGGCCGTTGCGTCTCTCTCCCATCGTTGACCGCCGCGTAAATTCCGCCCTTTCCTTCCCAACAAGGCAGCCGCACAAGAGTCGTCAACTCTCTTTCGAGACCCTGACCCTGCACGAAACTGCACTCACGTCGCCGTCCGGTGATCTGTCCTGTGCGATTGGCACGCGGGGTATTTAGATGACGTGAGCGCTATCTAGGATCGGGCCGGGGATCCCCTGCCACGGGAGACGTCTCCGCGACATCACAGCTCCAGACCGGCTCGGCCCCTCACAGCTCAGCCGTCTGCAAACGCGAACTCAGTGCTGCTCATCCTTTCTGAAGAAGCTTCTCGTCCGGTCTCGGGGCGATCTGTACGCCAGTGCCAGACCGAAAGCCCCGGGTTGCGTGATATTCTCGGTTCTCGGAGTTCTGCCTGATTGATGCCATCTCTGCAAAGCCCAACCTAACAAGTAGCAACAGTCGCGCGTCGTCATCCTGTGTTTCGTGCGGAGTGTTCCGCGACGCCACGCGGGTTCTCGGCCGCGTTGCCAGCAATCCCTGTCCGCAGTTGTTGTGTCTTGAACGATTTTGAGCGACTTGCGCGTCGCTTTGCGAGGCTCGCCGGCATTAACATCTCGCAACTGAAACCTTCTTAGTAGATGCAGGCAACTCTGTCTCTTCGACGTACAGCGTGCGAGACGTCGATGCTAGTGGGCTCCCGTCAGATAATGTTTTGGTACCGACATTGTGACAATGGAGGGGTTCACAATGTAGTCTCGTCACTGTCACTCAAGGGTCCAAAAGGAGGCGAACGCGCAAGGGATTGCCGTTGATTTTTGCTTTGTGAAGTTTTACTCTTACAGCTAATGTCTTGTGAGACTGTGATGAGCTACGGGCTCATGGACAAGGGCTTCGGAGAGGCATGTCACCCGCGTTAGTCGTAGGCACTCAGCGTTTCATTCAGACAAGAGTCTGTGATGATAGCATCGACGGATACAGATATTACACGCAAGAGGCTTCGTGAGGCTTTTGCGAATGCATCGTGATTGAGTATGTGCACGTATGAGTTTTCTCATGCGACGGCTGCTTCGTTCGGCTCATCGCTATCCTATGAGGCTGTAACACGATGTTGGCAACTGCAAGAAGCATCCAACTCGGCTATAATTACTCCGTTTGCGCGAGGATCAGTCTTGTGCGCTTCCGAAGCATCTAGATCATGCACATGAACCAAAGTCTATACACACTGCCGTCGCTTCCCTTGCAGGCCACTTGTGAATCGAGACTGGAATTCTCAGACATGTAACGACATGAAGGCCGCAGCAGCAGGTCGCAGACAGACTCGGTTGCGCGCGGCATTTCTTTTCACCGTCCAACCAACGTTGAACCAACAGCATTGTCAGGGATAATAGGCTTCTCTCCTGCTTGGGAGGATCTGATCTGTCATCCGCGCCTTCACCGGCTCCGTGTGGTGCATCTCCGCCCCGTTTCGTGTGTGCATACCCGGCAGTTGAAGGAGGCTTCTCGGAGGGCGGGCGGGCGCGCTTCTCCCGCCGCCTCGGCATGCCAAGTAAGCTTTCAGCTGTAGAAACCCTGTTCTTCACCGTCGGGTGTTACTAGACGCAGCTCACAGCGTTGGTCCAGAGGACGGCAGAAGGAGCCAGGCAGGGTAATGAAGAACTCGGGTGGTCTAATGTTGCGCCGCGCCACGTATGGTATTTTGGAATACCTGGGCGGAGGAGATTCGGCCACATTCGAACCCAACGCGCGCACGCACTCGAGACTTGGCTCGACTAGTGCTATGGCTCGGGAGGTCTCCGTCAGGAGGCAACAGCTTCAGACGGTCTCACTATAGTGTTCTCACGACAGATATATCGGAGCTTCCACCCGGGAACATCGCCGAGATACGGCTTGGCAGCCAACTCAAGACGCTTACCACACACACCGAATACGCTTGAACGGTTTCCCACCTTGTTCGTTGCTGAGACGCATCTGCAGCACGGCTTGTTGTCCGAGCCGCACGGCCATCATTGGCCCCGATGGCTCACTTTGATACCACCCCCAAGTCCTCTGGTTTGGTGATACGGCTGACTATATTGATAACAGGCCGAGATATACAAAACACCATTCCAGGGACGAAGCCATGGCGGCAGACAATGCAACGGCGTAGATAGATGCCCTCGTCTGGCACGCTCGTCCCACCGCGCGAGTCAAGCAGAACCTGCTGCGACGCAATGACGAGACGACATACCCGCACCATCTCATGCACGTGGCTGCCAACCACCGTCCCCTGACGTTTTGTGCGCCCACCGCCGTGACATGACCATCACAATTTCCCTCTTCGCTGGTGCCTACATAGTATGTAGAAACTTGCAGAAAAGCCGTTTCTCCTGCATGATGCACATACACAACGCGGGCGGGCTGGGCGCACATGCGCATGGCGGGCCAGACTGCTACGCTATCTGCATTGTGCACCATCACGTCGCGGAACTCGAGAGACCGTGACGACTGATGACGAAGACGTCGAGATGACTGGCTCTTCACATGAGAGGAATTGCGCAGATATGGTCTCGTCACGTTCGTCGTGCGTGGTACGCATTGCCATCGTGATTCCTCCCGCACGCCCACAAGCAGCGTACGTGCGCATAGCACCTCCACGCCCGAGTCACGGCCGATGCACAGGTACACACATCCAACTTGATACTCTGTCTCCCCCTCTCACAGCCGCGTCGCCATTCCCCCTCCTCCAGCTCCTCGTCCTCGTCCTCGTCCGAGCGCGAGCGCATGCGCATGCGCATGCGCCCTGCAGTACGCTCCCCCCAAAAACCGTCCCAACCAACGCACGTCGTCAAAACAAGGTACAGTAGCCGCTTCTCGCACAAGCCGCCCGGGCCCGCCGCCGCCCGCCGCCATCGCCAACCGGCGCTGCTCGGCGACAGGGGTTGCGCGCCGCGCGCGTTCGTCGTGCCTGAGCTAGCTACAGAACTAAGGTCCCTGGATGATTGGCACGATCCGCACAATCAGCGCTTGGCGCATGCGCGTGCCCGACTGACATCCATGGATCTGCCCACGGGCCGCCCGCTGGAGATCAGATGGGATTTAAGGGGGGGCGGGGGGGAGGTCAATCGCGCGCGCGTGTGCGTCGGATCTGCATCGGGCCCAGCCGCTCCGCAAGGGTCAATCAAAGCACAAGATCTGCTGGCAGGGTTTCTGAAGAGGGGGGAGGAGGAGGAAACACGAGATCTGCTATCTTGATTGAGACCTGTACGGTAAAACCTTACTGAAAAATGAGATATAAACAGTCGGGATGTCGGCGGGGTTCGCGCGGTCGCTGGTGCTTCGGGGTGGTAAAACTGCCGTCGGCCGAGGTGTCACGTTCACGCGGTATTAGTGCTGTTTACTGCCCAATCGTACGAAATGCGGTTGACGTGCAGGCAGGGGGTTCAAATATCCTGTTGTGCCTGTCTCGCAGTAGGCCCGGGCGGCTGGCAGCAGCGCCCGCGGACGGGCCCGAGACACGACAGCAGGCCATGTCTCTGCCGGCGCACGTGGCGCGCAACGACTCGACGGGGTCAGCCAAGACATTTGCACGACCTGAACAAGCTCAGGCAACTTTTTTCACATCTGCGATCCCATGGCATGAGCATTCGTGTGAAGATGTTGGTTGTTCCCAATGGTGGGAGTGGTAGTTTGTCTATTTTCCGCTTTGTGCGTGATCCCAAGTCTATGTGTCCAAATCGCGGTGAAAGGTTTGTATAAAGTATGTACATGAAGATGGGGTATATAGTCTCCTCCAAAAAAGCACCAAAATGTTTGTTGAGAATGAGCGTAAGAAGGTCCAAAAGTATGAACGATTGCCAGCTTCGAGAACCGGGGCTCAAGACGCAGTGGCCTCGAGGCGGTCGACGAATCTGTGGTGGAGAGAGATTGGTTTGCACCAGGCCCCTTAACAAATGACCCCAAGTTCCGGGGGTTTGCGCCTGTTACCCGCAAAGTGTGCTATGTCCTTGTTGTCCCATGTCCCATTTTACCTCGGGTCCGTTGCAGACTCGCGAGGGGTATCTCAGGTGTCCAGCATCTTCTTTTTGTCGTATCATCATGATTGTATTCCCTTTCGCCGAAAAAAGTGGGCGGCGCTCAGCGCCGTGGTGAAAAAGGAGAGAAGATGGCACGCCCAGGCGCCGATCTAGCGGCGAAGCGCGGGGCGCGCTTACTTGGCAAAGTTGAGACCGGTGGAGCCGGAGCCGAGCGTGGTGATCAGCTCGGTCTCGGAGGTGACCTTGGTCTGGACGTCGTCGGGAAGCCAGTAGGCGTTGTCGCAGGGGAAGACCTCGCAGCCAGACATGGGCTGCTGAGACTTGGCGGGCCACATCTGCTTGACGTTGTCGTGGTCCTTGGGGTCGACAATGGCGGAGACGTCGAAGTAGGTCTGGCCGTTCCAGCCACCGAAGTTGAACTCGGCGAGCATGCCGGGGACGTTTTCCGCGCCCTCCTGGACAGCGTAGGCGTTGCCAATCCACTCATCAGGGAACTCGACACGCGTCTTCTCGGCGTTGCTGACCTTGATGGGCTCGATCTCCTTGTAGCCGTTGCCGGCGTTGGGAGTGAAGTAGATCATGCGGGTCTTGCTGTCCAGGGTCCAGAAGGTGACGCCGGCGGCGTTGGCGACGGCCGCGGTGGCGGCGAGGGCCAGAGCAGAGGCAGCGAAATGCATCTTGGAAGGTTGCGTGGTGGTAAGAAAGATTGTGGTTGTGGTTATGTCAGGAGTCGTGAAGAGACTGTATAGTGGTCAGACGGGCCGTGCCGCTGTGAATACTCGTTGCTTTCAAGGAATGAAGAAGCGTAAGAGCTTGAATGAAGGAGTGATAGTCCGAAGACAGAGAAAGACTGGTGGGACAAAAATGACTGTTGCGCAAGAAGAGATCCATCGCGGCTGCGGAGGGAAGGGGAGGGCCGCTTTATAACCAAGGGCGCTTGGGGGGGAATCTGGGGGCCAATGCAGCCGGGCCCTCGGGAGATGGCGTGGCACGGACAGATTTTGCAAAAAGAATTGTCTCGTGGGTCACTAGAAGCACGCAGAGGTAGTTCGAGAACCGTCCGAGTGGTGGAATCAAGGGACTGGAGCAGCGTGGTACCTGGGCGCCGGGCCGGCAACACCACCAGCGGCGCAAGGACTAACGTTGGCAAGGCACGGCGGCATGGCCAGGGCTGTGTGGAGCCGCCCCCCTGTGGGCTTCGACGTTTCCCTCTCTCCCAAAGGACTGGGTCAGTCATGTCGTGTCGTGTCGTGCTGGCCGTCAGCGGTGGTGGTGGTGGGTCGGGTGGCCAGAGCAGCGGCGGGCGCTGGTGGCGGTTTCGTCGCGATGGGCCCCCGAGGTTTCTTTGTCGCAACGCCCGATACTCAGTTGGGAAGTCGGCTGCCGCGTGGTGGACAATGGGGCCTTTGGCGCCGTGGCCCTTAGTCGCGCTCGAGGCCGCCACATTGCCAGTGGCGCGCGCGTTGCCGTTTGGCCAGCGAGGTCTGGCGCACGAGTTGGCGCCGGCGGTCCGTCCCCGCCAGGAACAGAGTTTGGCATCGGCTCTTGGTCCGCTTGGCCCAGAGTCATTCGCGCACGCTCCTCCGCAAAGAGGCGCCTACCGCAAACCCCTTTCTTCGCTACTGTTTCGCTGAGTAGTTGCTTCGGCTTGGCGCGTGACTCGTCCGTCTGGAGAAGGACGGCATGAAAAAACTGACATTGACAGCGGCCTGTTGTGTGCCTGACAGCGGAAGTGGGGGAAGCGCTCCTCAGCCGGGCCAGGGCTTTCCGTGGTTTCAGGGGGGTCCCCGGCTGGTGCGCGGCGCCGCGGCGGCATCGACGGCAAGCCGGAAGAACGGATCCTATCCACGGGTACCCATGGACGCCATTGGGAACGGACAACATTGCACCGCTGGGGCGCGGCAAACCCTAGTCGAAAGGCCTTGTTTTCTCCATCAAAACGGGCCTCGACCGCGCTGAGCGTGCGGTAAGGCGCTCCCTCCAGCGTTCACGTTTCGGACGCAAGACCCCCAACATCAAACCACCAGACTTGCAGGCAGCGGCAGCCGCCCCCCCTGCGATCGCATCGCCCGACCGACCCTTGCGCGTCGCCGCCATTGGCTCGGCATCTTTCCACTCGCGCCAGGCACCTGGCGCCTCGCAGCCGCTACGAGTACAGTACCTGTGTGTGCGCGGCCCTGACAGGGACGAGAGACGGGGGGCCGGAGTTAGCCCCGTTGGCTCGCCCGCTCAACTTCAGTGGACGTCCACGGGTGTGTGTGGACCGTGGCGGAATCGCTTCCACAGGCCTCGTCAGCAGTGCAGCTCAGCTGCTGCCCGTTCCTGAATCCTGAATCCCGTACCTTGCATCCAGCCCTGCCTTGGCGCGCATGCACGCAAACCAACCCAAACGTGTCCGCAGTCACCCGGCGATTTCCTGCTCTCACGCGCCGTTTTCTGGCCCTGCTCACCTCACAGGAGTCAGTCAGGCACCTTCGGCCCCCCGTGAGTTGCTGCAACTCTCCCAAGTCACCATGCTGAGGGGGGGAGGGGGCCAGCACCCGCAGCGGGCTCCGAGATGTCACCGCCGAGCGACGACAAGCGCATGGTGGTACGAAGTTCCCTACAGTGGGCGGTATGTGGTACGTCTCCGCCTGACCGTCGCAACTCTACTCGTACTTCCTACCCCGTGCTTTGTCTGCACATGCATCTGCCCTCGGCGTGCCGGGCCACGTAGCACGCCTTTTCAGAAGCAAGGCACGCTGTGCTGGCTGTGCTCCCTGTGCTTGGTTCCTGGCGATCGGCCCTCCCACGAGGATGGGAGATTCCGTGTTAGTGCGGGCTGGCTGCGGCGCCACTTCACCACGTATCACCAATCAGCGACCGGAGTCAGCCATCCGACGCATGCTCCATCCCCTTCGGGGCGGTTCCTGTGCTGCTGCTGGCCGTCGTGGAAAAAAGACCCGCTGGGCCCGGGCGACGCGAGTAAGACCGCAGCGACTTTGCAGAGTCTTGCAGGCTGAGTTCCCCGATGGACAGGCCTTTGGGACCCAACTGAGAACAGTGCTGGCCAAAGGTTGTACCGTAACAGCCTTTGACCCATCGCCGTCGCAGTTCTTGGGTACACGCTTGCATTCGAGTTGAACGTTTGAGTGGCATTCGGACGGAAGACCGCCGCAGCTCCACGCTCAAACGCGGCACAGGTTGCGCAATGGGGCTGGTGACCTGTGGCTCCTTGTGCTTCGCTTCCCCCCTCGCACCACTGCATGTGACGATACCTCTGCTTGCTGACCTGATTGTGCAAGGCCTTTGCGCATGGTTGTCGCCCAGGAGCTGTCCAGCGTCGCCCAATTGTCGTGTCTGGTCAGGCATCGACTGATCCGTGGGCAGAGGCCCAGGAAAAGCAAGCAACGCAGGTCCGCCTGACCGATCGTCCTCAAAGCGCACTCGCGTTTGGCCTCTCACGACACGTCGACGGATGGTGCGCTATTCACCCCTTTGCTCAGCGGTTCACATGTCGCCTCCAGCCCTGGCCGGTGGTCGCCGAATGGATGCCGACGCGGCTGCTATCTCATGCACGGCGGCGACCCGCAATGGTCCAGTCGATGCAGTCGCCGCGATGAAAACTCATGACGATTCTTGCCCCCCGAAGTTCGTGCTTGTTTCCAAGGGTGGCAACTCCCTCCTCGGAGACCTGGCGAAAACTCTTCGCGGGAATTCCGTTTTCGGCTTGATCGCTTCAAAAGGGAGAAGACGACTCGCTCCACTTTTTGGTCATGACAAAAACCACTCGCGTTGAGGCTCGGTAGGCGCTGTGACCGATTTGGTGCGGGCGCCGACTGCACAGTACCAGGTACTCCTCTTGTGCCGAAGGCATCACCACAAGTCAGTGTCGCCGTGACGGCGATTCAGTAGCTCCGGATGCGTTAGAGTTTGCAAGTGTCGCGGACGACAACGCTGGTTGGAAGGCGATGCCCCGGGGTTCCACCGAGCCAGCGCGACGCCTACAACGTTGCAAAGCGAGGGAGAGAAGTCGAGTGGACCAGGGAGAGAACATTTTCCAGCTCCGTAGGACAGACTCTTTGCTCTGAAGCGTAGAAACTCAAGATGCAAAAGAGTTGTGCCGCGGATCAGCCGGCTCACGTTCAGAGCACACAGTCGCACATTCAGAGAGCGTTCCGGACTGGGTGGCAGCTCATTGGCCTAGCCGAACGGCTAGCCAAGTTCGCGGCCTGGCGAGGAGTCAGTCTTCTTTGCGTGGTTGAGGCCTTCTGCCCCTCATCCAGGCCCGTGTAATCCCAGGCCGGCCTAAGGATTGAACCTGGTGATGCGGATGCGGCGTGCTGGACGTAGGAGGCGTATTTGGAGCCGTGCCGTAGATTCGACAATGACGAGGTGGCAAGCAGCCAAGTGTGGTCGATTTCACCACGGCCACAAGCCCTCCGTGATGCCGCGACTATTCCAGGACGGTCGCCCAAGAAAGACGGAAAGGGAATTGGCGCACAAACTGAGGCTCCTTGAGAGAGATCGTAAGCAAAGCTGTCTCTGTACGATTTCTCACTTGCTGTAGAACTTTCTCACAGCCATCCCCAACACTCGTTGGATCGATTGTGCTCGGCGTGAAGCCACAGCTCAGCATCCATCGGATGGCATCATCTCAGGGCGCTCACACTCGTCCGGAAAACTATCCCGTACACATGCGGGGCGTCTGCAACCGGCGGCGGTGCGGCCACTGGCGGTCCGTCAAGCAGCATTCCTTCGGGCACTCATCGGGAGGCGTCTGAGTCTGACGACAATGCTCTTTGTCGGAGCATAGGTGGGCAAACGGCATGCGTGTTGCCTGAGAGTTGAGACAGGTGCGCTTTCCCCGCGGGGTACGGGAAGGTCTGCGCCGCAAAGCTGCTTGTGAGGTCTCAGTGAGGGTATTTGACGAGAAGGAAGAGGAGACCCGCGGTCTGTCGCCAAAATGAGGGGGAAATTGGCCTCGTGAGCTTCAGGAGCCGCAGGACAGGGGCTAGGGCCGTAGCCCCCATGTGACTCGCACTATGAATCGCCCGCGTCTGCCCCCACTGCAGCACTGTGTGATGATTGATCGTCTGCCAGAACCTTGGAAGCCAGATGGAAGGAGCCGCGCCGGGTGCCCCTGCCCACGATGCCGGCACTTCGGCAACGTCACGAAAACCTTCAACACGCGCCGGGTCTCACCTGTCATCAACGCCATTCATGGGTAGCACGCGATTATTTTCCGAAGGACCCTGGGCGTTTCTCGCCAAGCCGTTCCTATCCGTGTCTTGGGACTTGACTCTCGAGCCGCATGCGACCGTTTTCTCGTCGCCGCCGCACGAGACAGACAGCCCGACCGGGAATAGAAAGAGGCTCGGCCGCTAAACGCTCTCATCAACACCCACCGGTGACGCCACAGCTTGAACCCTTGCCGTCAGTCACCAAGACAGAAGGATTTTCCTTCTCTCGAAATAAGCTACGCGGCGGCCAGCCCGGAACAAACTCCAACCGAGAAGACGGCCGCTTTCGGCGGCCATGGTGGTCGTACGCCGAGGTGCTGCCCTCGAACCAGGCCAGGCATCACGAACAGCATTCCAGTCTACGAGACAAGGCGAAGCTTGCTGCGCCAGGCAGCCAATCAGCGCGCCCGACCTGTCCCTTTCTGCCCACCCGTTGCTGTGGCTAGCTGTGCCTAGCTCGGCGGCGAGGGCCGGAAGCAACCAGCCGCCCCGTCTTGGACAGCTCTGACAGCCTGAGCTTCCAGGGCACCGACGACATGCTCGTTGATGTGGATGGGCATCGTCGGGCCGGCCAATTCTGCGCCCTCGCTCTGTTCCCGTCCCGTCGAATTGGCCCGATTGCTCGTAAATGCCCGGCCGACTTGCCCGAGCCTCCCGCGTTGGCGCCATTTTGCGTCGAGTACGAGACGCGAGGAGCCCATGGCGTCGCTGGCCAGCACCCGTCCATCGACGATCATCAGACGCGCCCCGCGTGGGTGACCTCACCAGCCCCGGATGCAGCGCCGACACGCGTTGCGGGCAGCGCTCGAGGACAGGAACGCAGCCATTGAGACACGGGCCGCCTTCAATGGTCCATTGATCTCCCTCAATGGCATTCTGCGCAGCGGACGAGCAAGGCATTGGGCCCCGGCGACCGGTTCCGTGGCGCCGCCCTCCCTGGCTCTTTGAGTTTCCTCGTTGCCAGAAACAACGGCGACGAACATCTTGTCACATCTCTGTTTGCAGGCCCACCCTTGCCAACCGCACTGCCGGAGCCGTTCAACTTTATTTCGGCTCGAACCCACAGGAGCCAGCCTCCCGCCTGTCTCATTGCATCAATGTCGGGTGCTCCCCCTCGCTAGCTCTCGTATTCCCGTCCTGGGCATCGCCCTATTGCCTTGGGATGCTTCGGCAGCTTCTCCAGAGAGCCCACCTTGGACGGATGCAAGGTACTTGGCATTGTTGTATACCGTCTTCGTCGATGGCCCCAATGGATGACGTTCGAGATACTTTGCGCGCGTGTATCTGTCTCCGGTGCAGCAAGGACGACGCTAGCGATATCTTTTCACAAAGCATAGTTGATTCCTGATCCGGCGAATCGGCCGCTTGGCGTTCGTGATGCTACCCAGGCACGTCTGAATGCAGTGATGGGACGAGTCGGCCTGCTCCATGGACAGGACTACAAAGGGCTGCTCGACTCCCGACATTCCGGCTCTCGTCTTCTTTCCTCCTTCATCCATCGTTACTTCGTTGGTGTTGAGTTGATACAGGTCTTGCTGCTTGCCCTTTGGCTACCCCAACTTCATCGACCTTCGCTGGCCCCTGTCTGCCTCGACCACCAACCACCATTGGCACCATGAAGCTCACTGCCATCCTCTCCACCGCGGCGCTCGTCTCGGCCGCCGCCGCCACCCCCCAGGGCGGCTACGGCTTTGGCCGCCGTGACGCCTACGAGAAGCCTGGCTATGAGAAGCCTACCTGGTCCAAGGGTATCTCCAACACGACGACCACCTCTCATGTCAAGCCGTCGCACTCGACCACCCACATCAAGCCGCCTGCCTCGACCACCCATGAGAAGCCTCCTCATCGCACGACGGAGAAGCCCATCAAGCCGACGCACAAGCCGCACCACAATGCCACCACCACGGTCTTCCACACGAAGTTCACCACCTTCTGCCCGGTACGTATCCCTCATCCCTGCGCATCATGGCTCGGCACTCCGATTGTGTCAAGCTGCCAATGTCGAGGCATCGGTGTTGAACCCCGTGCTGACTCTGCCATGATAGGAGCCGACCACCATCTGCGTCAACGATGAGACCATCACCGTCACCAAGCCAACCACGTTGACCTTCACCAACTGCCCCTGCACGTTCCACCCACCCAAGCCCACGCACCACCCGAAGCCGCCTCACCACAAGAGCAGCGAGACTCACGCTCCTCCTCCGGAGACCAAGACCAAGACGGAGAAGCCGCCGCCTCCCCACACCAAGACCGAGACGCCGGCTCCTCCTGAGACCAAGACCGTGAAGCCGCCTCACACCAAGGTCCCTCCTCCTCCTCCGGAGACCAAGACCGTGGTGCCTCCTCCTCACACCAAGGTCCCGCCTCCTCCTCCTCCTCCCGAGACCAAGACTGTGGTGCCCCCTCCCCACACCAAGGTGCCCCCGCCTCCTCCTCCCCCGGAGACGCAGACGGTTGTCCCGCCCCCCCATACCAAG